GGTGTAAAAAATAACGATTGTATCGTACTCAAAAATTAATGCATTTGTACTTTTTGCATAAAACCGATTAAAAACTAAACAAGAAATAACATAAAATTCACTCAGAAACTCAAAACACTAAAAAAATCGTATCAATTACAAATATGTCAAGTGAAACGTTGAACAAAACTGTCAAAAATTAGAGTGCGATGGCTGTGTTAAATAACAAATTTTAATCAAGGAGCCTTGGAAAAATAGATTTGATCGTCTAACAACACAATGGTGGCTCACTAGCATATTTGGAAAAGGATTTTTTTTACGAATAATTTGGTACCACACACTTAGGTATTTCGAGTCAAATTGTCATTTTGAACTGCATGTTACAATTTCAAATATACCATATGCGAAAATGTCTAAAGTTGACATATGATATATCGTTATATTCAGAATGATATTTCCTATCAACTCAAGTAAAAAAATATTGAGGGTGTCATTTAAAAAAGGTGTAGACATTTCCGGTGAAACAGGAAGTGACGTTAATCAATCCTAATTTATGTCATAACATACCAAATCTCGTTTTTTATTTAAAAAAATAAAAAGTATTAAAGGTGAGCCACTTTTGAGACGCACCCGGTATATACATTTGTTGACAAACTGTTTATAAATATATCAATTTTAATTCGTAAATAACAGTTTCATTCGTAATTTAACAGTAATACAGGCACGAAGAGTTATCAGATGCATAAATGGCATTCTATGGAGCACTGAAATTACAAAAAACAGGAAATATAATATATACGAGTTTAACGCATATTACTCTATGGATGTGAAACATTGCGACTCACTGAAAGGAATAAAAGGAAATTAGAGACAACAGAAATGGACGCGATTAGAAGAGCAATGAGAATTTCACGGAGGGATAAGATCAGAAATGAAGACATTAGACAACAGATGGGAATAGAGGGAACAATAGTAAATGATATAGAACAAAAACAATTAATATGGTCCGGCCACGTTCAGAGAATGCACAATGAAAGAATTCCAAAACAAGTCATTCATTGGATACCACCTGGTAAACGAAAGAGAGGACGTCCCAAGAAAACATGGATGGAAGGAATAAGAAGGTCGATGAGCGAGAAAAATCTGACCGAAGATCAATGGGAAAATCGCACAGGGTGGAAGTTAGGGATCGGACAACGTCGTAGGACGTTCTGACCCGAATTTATATATAAAATAACAGTTTCTTATAAACTTTCGTAATGGCCAGTAATGGTCTTTATTATACATGGTATATCGAATGTGTTTGTTTTTTACCTTAACTTAAAAACACCCTGTGCAATGATTTCAGTCAGCAAATTTTCTTAAAACATTATTTTCCTGTCAGACCATGCTTTCTGAGCATTTTGTTTTTTGTCTCATGTCAATACATTTTTTGGTCAATCTTTAAGAGCGAAATGAACTTGCCACCAATAATTTGCAATATTTTCAATTCTCTTGATGTTATTTTTCAATATGACGAGGTGGCTTTGGTGACTATTGTCGTAATGTCATTATACTGTATTAGATACTCTATCCTAATATAAAAAAAAACGTTAAAGAGATACAGTGTTGGTTTTCATAAACATTAATAATGATAAGAGATTTACGATATTAAAGAAAAGATCTGTAATCTGTAATAATCAATGATACAAACAGTCCTTACTAAAACAAAATGATTTAAGGCAATACTAGTAACAGAAAAAATAAGGTTTAAAATTTAAATAATAAATATTGTTTGAAAAAAAACAGCACACAAATTAAAAACCAATTAATGTATCGACTTGATTATTTTTAGTTTAAAACTTAATTTCAATTTTGGGAATATAGTTAGGATTCGAACTTCTGCTGTTACAACAGCAAAATAAAACACTAATTCGCACTATACACCAAAACACTTTATTTTTCTCCTGGATGCGCGTTTCGCAAATCATGTTAGCATGTAGTGTTATCATTAGTGTAAATATGAACTAACAGTTTTAATCACCTGCTGACGATGTTAACATGGTTAGCGAAACGCGCGTCCACTGTTTTAAGTAAAGTGTTTTGGTGTATTGTGTGAATTAGTGTTTTATTATTTTTTTTTTAAGTTAATAACTTAATTTTGATTTTATCGTAATAAAATATAAATACCCAATCTCACGTAAATAGCTTGTCACAAAGAGTACTTTGTGACAAGAAATTATTCTTTTTCCGTGATCATTTGCAATTTTAGTTTAAAAACAATTCGTAGCTAGAGAGCCACATATTGTAAACGGTGAACATTCTATCAACAAAGAAAAAATAAATATTAATAAACACATATTTCTAATCACTTCAACAGGGTGTTTCAAAAAACATGTGCAATCCCTCGTGGGGAGATTCCTCACGTAAAAATAAGATTTATTTTTCATATCAACATAGGTCTGTTTCTGCTTTGTTTCATAGCTACAGGAGGGTTCATCTTTTTTCGATTTATTATAATTTTCTTCCAAGTGCTTTTAGCGATTCGAATGAAATTTGGAGGGTAAAAAAATTATAATAAATCGAAAAAAGATATAGACTTTAACCCCCTGTGCCTAGGAAACAAAGCAGAATCACACCTATGTTAGCAAAATAAAAACACTAAATCACCACAATACACCAAAACACTTTTATTTTACACTGGACGCGCGTTTCGCTAACCATGTTAGCATCATCAGCAGATGATTATAAACTAAGGAAACAACCTATGTTATATGAAAAATAAATCTTATTTTTACGAGAGAAAGAGTCTCCCCAGAGATGGCACATGCTTTTTGAAACACCCTGTATAAAGAATAAACTCATAAAAATTATTGAACCACACTAATTCAACTGACAAAATACATAAATACAGATTCGTCGAAAAAAAACGACGTCATAGTAAGCGTAGAGATAAATTTTCAGTTTTGGTTAGGTTCTTGTCGAGTTCCTTGACAATGACAGTGATAGCTTTACGTGATTTATTTGAAGGGCATATTAAAAAATATATAATTTTTTGAAAATTTGAAATCGAGTAAATCCGCGAAATTTTTGTGCTGAAATCGGCAACACCGCGGTGCGAATTCTTACTCATCCAGCCCATTTGAAACCGAAGCAGCGACATTCAAACACCGTTGGCAGGGATTTTTGCTCGTTTTCGTGCGTTGCATCACTGATTCCCCGCATTCAGATTGCGGGAGGACATCTAACACCGCAACCAAAAGAGGAGATTTTTGCTTTAACACCTTGTTTACTCCGTTATTTTGTTTTGAAAGCGTTAATATCAACGTTAAAAATGAAGCTATTCTACAGATAATCCGATAGAGTTCTAATTTATTTAGTTTAAATGTAAAAGACTGTAGAAGAAACACAACAAAATTAGACACAACGGATATTTCTTATACGTTTTTGAAAGTAGCGCGAAAAATTCTTCCAATTACGCAATTGACTTGGAACATTTTATTTTTAGTCCTTTCAGCTATAACATTAGTCCTGTTTTTTTCTCTAAATTTACTGGTTTTATTTTATTTTCAACTGGTTTTATGATCATAGCCCCATAAAATACAACCTATCTTTTTCTATTTTAAGTAATCATCCGTAATATTCTTAATTTTATTTATGGAGTATGAGCTAAAAGTTGGTCGTCGAAAAATAATATGAAGTAATATTGAAATAACATGTTTCGTGCCACGTATTTAGCTTGGTCCAAAAATATAATTATGAATGGTTAAGATTTTTCTAACATAATGTTGAAGGGATTTACGATGTTCTGACGTCACCAACTTTATGTTTTTCAAATAATGAACACTATTGTTTTGGAAAAACACCAAAAATGTCATGGTATCACTAAAGCATCACACGCGTCGATTAGTTAATTTTAAACAGTAATGTTCGTGCACTTTAAATAGAATGTGTGTGTTCCATCTTCCACAATCAGATATCTTGAACAATTCTTCGTCTGAAGAAGCATTCCTCAAGTAAAGTCGGTCCTACACGATGCTTCCAACGTTGGAACCAACGTTGGACGCATTATTTGGCATATGTTTCGACAAAATTGCAATTCACAAGTGTGTCTCCTACACGATATGACCATGGGTTTATGTGTCCAACGTTGGAAGTTGTTTGACACATTTGACACAAAAAGGCCCTTCATTTATCTTGGAACTGCTTCACTTGCTTCATCCAATTTGAAACACCGCACCGTTCAGCTTCATGTTCAATCTTAGAATCAAGTACAGGCTGTAAATAAATCTATGATATCTGAAAGCATTGTTTTCCTTTTCATTAAAATTCCTTGGTAAATCCATTATTTCTTCCAGCTCAAACGGCCAGGTAGAAGACACCGACAACGAAAAAATCTCTGAAATTTGTTCTGGCTAAATTTCTTAAAGCAGTAAAGTATCTTCAAGAGAAGTTGAACTTCAGAAATTATATAATGAACTCAATAAAGGTACTTACTTCAAGTATTTCTGAAGTTAATTCCTTATAAGTTCTGTAAACGAGCTGTAGTTCTTGTAGGAAGTATTTAAAACATCCTAAGTGGTAAACACCTGGTAAAGAACGACAAAGGTCTCCAAAACAATGTGGTATATCTTAAGAATCTCCGAAATGTGTTCTTTATAAGTTCCTTCAGGTTGTAAAGGAGCTCCCGAAACATCTTCATTCTTCTTAGCCCATGAGTTATTTTTTTCTACCTGGATAAGTAAGTTACACTGCAACATCATCTTGTTCTTCATAAATTAACTTGAAGTAGCTAACTCTTCGTAGAAACTATTAAACATTATGTAATTTAAATTTGTTCCTATTTTAATGATGACCATTGGGCAAAACAGAGTGTACTCCCAAACTTCTTCTTCATCAATTTCATAAAAAAAGCTCATAAAAACTACCAAGATCATTGGAATTATATCCAATCTTGGATCGGCGAAGTAAAATAAAGCATTTTTGGAACAGAAGTAAGGCAATAATCTGGAATATTCGTGTTAGAGTTGGATGGTACTTACACCAAAAGACAGCGACGTATCCCTTATCCTGGAGGACCCGGTCCAGCTGCTTGGCCGTGACCTCTTCGATGACGGATTCCTGGTGCTGCTGTGGAGGGGGTGAACGTTTGGCCGCCGCCACCAGCGCCACTAGGAGCAGCCACCTCAGCATGCTGCAGCCGCTACACGACGTCGTAAGCTGACTGAGCCGCACGGGGAGGGATGCGGACGCTTCCAGGCGCTGCCGGTCCAGGCGCACGTCCCGCTCGACGCTCGTCGGGATCAGCGCGAGGCCAGGCAGCGTTGCCGGGTGATGTATTCTTCCGCGAATTTGGGGAATTTTGTATTATGAGCAGGGTTCGGAAAAAGTTAATTAAGACCGTAATTTACCTGATTAACTACGTGTAGTTTTTCTTCAAAAACTACGTCTTTTCCTGTTCATTATATACATGAAAACTACGTTAATAAATTACGTATTGATATTACGAATAATTTTCCTTTGTATGAGCGGTCTAAATAATATTATGTGAATATTATATTTAAAGCCATACTTCTTCTGTTTTCTTAAATACATTATACGTATACCATATATACATTATGTGTTTTCTAAAGCTTCAACTTATTAAATGTAGTTTATGTAGTTTTTAAAAGTAACATGTAGTTTTCCGAACCCTGATTACGAGGGTTGTCTTTTATATTTTGCATACAGGGTGTCCCAGGTTAATCGTGCATCATAGGTTTCTAGAGAACTACAATATCTAGATCGAAGATTTTTCGCACATCATTGTTTCACAACGAGATCTATCGATTAAAAATATTTTCAATATGGTGGCACTTCCGGAAATATCTGAAGTTGACAGCAACTCCTTATTTTAAATGGGTGCCCCCATTTTTTATTACATACTTAAATTCTCTGTAAAATTCTATGAATATTGATGTTAAACACTCTATACCTAACATTAACCGTTTTTGAGAAAAAATTATTAAAATTTTTCGACGAAAAAAACTACCTGTCAAAAAAATTTGTACAGCCTAAGAGTCAAATTTAGTGATTACCACTGCCACTGTGACATAAAGAGAAGGCATGTGGCTATCTATTTCCAAAGTTAAATTGTTCAAATGTCATATAATAATGACGACAGCTGTCATGGAATTGAGCGATTAAAAAATTATCATAAATCTTGTTTTTCAAATGGAAACTCACTTTTTTATTTCACTAGTGAAAATGCCTTTCAATTCGTTACTTTTTGGCTATACATATTCCTATACCTAAAATAAATCGTTTTTAAGTTATTTAAGATTTAGTTTTAAGGTGTATATTTTTCTTGATTTTAACCAGACTTTAAACGCCTATCACCTATGACTTTAAACGTCAAGTGATGTAAAACAATAGATATGGCCATGTCATATTGTGACACTTTGTTCAAAAGGTATGGTATCAATCATAACATCAAAGATTTATTTTAGCATATTTTAGCACCTTGCATTGTATTCTAGTTGACCGATGTAGCTAAATTCTTTGACTTTCTAGTGTCTCTTTCTAAACTAAAAATGAAATTTCTATCTGTCAATTATACGAGGGAAAACAATGATATTCTGGTGTAAGTTTGAAACACCCTGTGGAGTACGTTAACAAAGCAAGGAATTTAAAACTCATTTTAATATCTAGATGTATCTTTTTTCGATAGTTTGTTTTGTTGAGTCATTAGCTTAATTTTTTTTGGATATATTCGCTTTTGAAGAAAACATTAACATTTTTTCGTATTTTTTATATTAAAACCATACCTTTGCTTTTGGTTCTAGTCAACAGACCTGTAAAAGAACGGCTATGATTTATGTAATGTCGCTCTCTTTGAAAAATCATATTATTATTGTATGTTGGGCAATTACTCCCGCAGATATGGTTTTAAGTCCAAATCCACCATGATCAATTAAAGCGACAATAGTCGATACTTCAGTATCTATATGTACTTAAAACCATTTCTACTAGAGTAAACATCAATAAACAATAATATTATGACTTTTCACTGACAGTGACACTTGTATTTATTATTTTATGAGTGACACTACATAAACAATAAACACTATTTTACAAGTGTGACGATGACGTCCCAAAATCAATGCTAACATTGCGTTAAAATCGTTACTGTTTTATTCAAAAGTGAATATCTCCAATAAAAATAAGGCTATTGAGACGAATCAAAAAACAAACTATCGAGAAAAGGCCCAACTAGATGATAAAATGATTTTTAAATTTCTTGCTTTGTTAACATATTCCCCAGGGTGTTTCAAACTTTCACCAAAATATCAACATTTTGTTTTCTCTCGTATAATTGACAAGATGGAAATTTTCATTTGTAATTTAGAAAAAGACACTAAAAAGTCAAATAATTTAGCTACAAATTGCTTAAAAAACCATCAAAATCGGCCCATTGGAACAAAATATTTAACGTATTTTTAAAATACATCAAAAGTTTAAGCTGCCCGTTTTTCGTGCCGGTGAGCGTAGAACTGGAACTTATAAACACCATGAAATACAGGAATCTGTCCTCAGTCATATAACTATATAAACCACAGTCATATAATGAGGAACGAGGAATCTCTACGAGTTACTGCAAGAAATCCCTTGAGGCAAAATTACTAGACCGGGTCGCAAGGGGAATATCTTGGTTTGCTGAATCTTCAGCAAGACATCAGATAACAAACAACCGGAATGGATACACATCCGGAGAAGATTTTTAGCCAATGAATTTGTGTTATAAAATAAATAATAGAGTTATAAAATAAATAAAAAAAGTTATTAACATTGCATATATTTAAAGTTATATATTACAAATTACAAGAAAAAATTGTAGAAAAGAAGTTTAATAGGTACCTACTTAGGCACATGGATTTGCTAATACGATTCTAAAACTAAGAATAAAATCTAAGGTAACAGTCTTCAGTTCATCTGAGAAAGAAAGTAACTAATAAAAATCTTCATAAAACTATAAATCTCAACTTACATCGTAAAAAACATCATTCAGTCTAATGTTAAACTGGCTATAGGTATGAGGTTTGAGTATAATAAAATTTGTTTTATGGAAACTCGTAAAAATTTATAAACAACATGTAATAGAGAATTTTGGATAACAATGCTTTAATGTATTTTTGAAAATTGTAATAAATTTGGCAACGATTATTACAATTTTAAAAACAATTAAGTGGGTAATCATTATTTAATATTGGTTAATTAAAGCATTTAATATACTGAAATATACAGGGTGGTCCAAACTGTATTCCAGAAACTTCAGCAGCATATTCTGCAGATAAAAATAAGTAAATAAGTTCGTAGAAATGTATGTCATTAAATGCTTAGTTTCTTTAGTTTTTGTTATACAGGGTGTAGAAGTTTCATTTCTATTTCGATTTTTTCCAAATAATTTCTGAAGTAACGTCAATATTTGGATGAAAATTGGTGTGTGGGAGTTTTTTGACACGAGAAATTTGATTTTGATGTTAATATGACTCCTAGTAGTAGGGGGCGCCACCTATATATTTTTAACTGATTTGAAGGGTAATAACTTTTCGTTCGTACCTGTATAAAACTACTGAGTAAAAAAATATATATTTGCGACGTTTTTTACGTAAAAAAAGGTATCTTGGTAAAAATTGCTACCAGTAATGGTTCTCGAGATATTTGGAATCTAAATTATCAATACCTGTCATGATTGACATAAATTAAACATGTTGACTATAAATAGTTATTAGACTGAAATCATAAATTTGAAATGTTTTTGTGCCAAAAATTAAAGAGAAACTGTTTTATCGTCATTTTTCGAAGAAAAATTTGATTAATTTAAAAAAATAAAAAGTTCCCAAATTTATCATTTCAGTAAAATAACTATCTACTCAGTAATATATTTTTTTTTTTGTCAATAATGACATGTATTGACTTTTTCCATTTTAAATATCTTGAGAACGGTTGCTCGTAGCGATTTTTATCAAGAGACATTTTTTACGCAAAAAATCACGAAATTGCATATTTTTTCACTCAGTAGTTTTATACGGGTACGGATGAAAAGCTATTATTCTTCAAAACAGTTAAAATACATGTAGGTGGCGCCCCCTATAAATAAGAATCAGAGATTAATATCAAAATCAAATTTCTCATGTCACAAAACTACCAGATACCAATTTTCATCCAAATATTGATGTTACTGCAGAAATTATTTGAAAAAATATCGAAATAAAAATGAAACTTCTACACCCTGTATCTCCGAAACTAAGCATTTTAGGACATACATTTATACGAACTTTTTTACTTATTTTTATCTGCAGAATATGCTGCCGAAGTTTCCGGAATACAGTTCGGGCCACCCTGTATAATAAAAAAATAGTTTCATAGGTTAACGAAATTTGAGTTTATACGATTTAGTAAGTAAATTAAAAAAAAACAAAAATACTAAAAATAGAACATATAGGGTGACAATTTCAATAAGGAAGGTCTTTAAAGGCGTTTTCCGAATGTCTAGTCGTACCTTTATGACAATATATTTTATCTAAGAGAAAATAACATTACTGGTTTGCAAAAATGATATAACTTTGTATCATATTTTTAGTAAACACTTTGTATATCATACATATTTAAAGAAAATAAGAGAGCAAATATAAATGCACTACAAAACAACTATAATACAAAAAAATAACAGCATATAAAACAATTTGATAAAAATAATTAACATTATCGATATAACACTACACCATTTTTTAATTTTTATGTAACTAATACTATACTAAAACCAAAAAAATAAATAATCCACCTTAAAAATCAAGTTTTTTATCTTGCACTTAAAGTTGTTTGTGTTCGTTGTCTACTCCTTTTTGACAAATATTTAGGAGTACTTATTTCAATATATCACTACAAACACTAAACACTAATAATCTTTGAGCATGTTTTGGACTTCTACACTTTAAAATCACAATATTTATTCTATAATCAGTTCGGTATGTTCCGGATCTTCCAAGTAATTGTATTTTTGTTCGTCAAACATTTCTTTCAGGTGTACGACGAATTTCGAATGGTATTCTTCTATTTGTTCATGATTGGGATTGTCAATTTTTGGAATGTCTAAAGGTTTACCAACTGAAAAACACAAATTAAGTTAATTATGTTATTAAAATACAGGGTGTGTCTCAAAAGTGGCTCACCCCTATAAATGTTTAATTTTTTGAGATAAAAAACAAGATTTGGTATGTTACTATATGACATAAATTAGGATTAATTGACATGTTCAACTGTTTTTGGTCACTTCCTGTTTCACCGGAAATGACTACAATTTTTGATTTTTTAAATGGAACCCTAGGTATATTTCTACTTTATTCGATAGAAAATGATACTCTGAATAGAATGACATATGATATGTCAACTTTAGACATTTTCGTATATGGTTTATTTGAAATTGTAACATGGGGTTCATAACGACAATTTGACTGGCAATACCAAGTGTGTGGTACCAAATTATTCATAAAAAATGCTTTTTCCAAATATGCTAATGAGTCACCCTTGTTCCATTTGAAAAAACTGAGATATGATTAAAAATACGATTTGGGTATCTTTTAACCAGCAAGACACTAAAAACATTAGACGATCAAATCTATTTTTCCAAGGCTCCTTGATTAAAAGTTAGTGTTTTTAACACAGCCATTTTGTTGTTGAGCGAATATGTCAAAAGTTAACATATGATATGTCATTCGATTCAGATTGTAATTTTCTATCGAATAAAATAAAAAAATACCGTGGGTGCAATTTAAAACACTTCCTGTTTCACCGGAAATGACTACAACTTTTGATTTTTTAAATGGAACCCTAGGTATATTTCTACTTTATTCGATAGAAAATGACACTCTGAATAGAATGACATATGATATGTCAACTTTAGACATTTTCGTATATGGTTTATTTGAAATTGTAACATGCGGTTCATAACGACAATTTGACTGGCAATACCAAGTGTGTAGTACCAAATTATTCGTAAAAAATGCTTTTTCTAAATATGCCTATGAGTCGCCCTTGTTTCATTTGAAAAAATTGAGATATTATTAAAAATACGATTTGGGAATTTTTGAACCGGTCAGGATAAGACACGAAAAACATTAGACGATCAAATCTATTTTTCCAAGGCTCCTTGATTAAAAGTTAGTGTTTTTAACACAGCCATGGCACTCTAGATTGAAATTTAAAATAATAATTTTCTTAGGCGAAAATGTCAAAAGTTGATATATGATATGTCACTCTATTCAGAGTGTGATTTTCTATCGAATAAAGTAAAAATATACCGAGGGTGCCATTTAAAAATCAAAAGTCGTAGTCATTTTCGGTAAAACGGAATGTGACCCCCCCCCAAAAACAATTGAATACTTAAATCAATCCTATGTCATATACTAACATACTAAATCTAAAATATAAAAAAGTTATAGAGGTGAGCCACTTTTGAAACGCACCCGGTTTTTTTAACTGACACATCAGATATATGAAAGTACAAAAATGATCATCTTACCAACTACGACTATACGTTTTCTTCTTGGTACTAAACCGAAGGAGTACTGGAAGAATCCTCTACCAACCGGTACAACTGGCGCTATACCAATCATCTTTCTGAGGGTTTCTTGAATTTTTCTCAAGGTACTGCCTTCTACTTGATCGAAAGTGTCCGTTTCTCCGAAAGACAGTACCGGAACCAATGGAGCTCCGTTTCTTAGGGCCAGTTTGATAAAACCTCGCCTCTATATAAATATAAACATTTATTAACAAATTATTAAAAAAATATTCTAACACACAAGGTGGCACCTCTCATAGGAAGCGGATGGTCCAAAGTAAACGATAGTTTGTATTGATATGAAATGTTGAGCATACGTACGTTAATTAAGAGCATTTTTTAGAAATATATAGAGTGTTCTCAAAAAAGTTACACATCAAAGTTGTGTTTTTTTGTAAAGGAACGTTCTAGTATAAGTATCTAAGTATATAAATTGATTTTCGACTGTTAGGAAAAAAATAAAGATGTTTCATTAGAGAAGCATACGTACTAAAATGTAAAGTTTTTGACATTTTTAACATTTTTCAAAAACGAAGAAAATATTTTAATTTCAATAAGAGCTACTTGCATCAGGTAAAAAATCAATTTTGCCCAGATAGTGGGTATTAAAAATAATAGATTCGTAATCATCAGTAAATTTTGGATTTTTTTTGTTAGAACCATTTTTCCCTATCTTCTAAAATAAAGTGGTGTGGGAAGATTAGATTTGTCTTAATTTAAATGTTAATAACTTTGGACTGGGCGATCAGAATCCAACAAACGAGGGCTCGTTTAAAAGATCGTTTCTTACTATATATTATACCATAAAAATAATAATAATAACGTTTTGAACGTAGACGCTAGGGGGCGCTTTCTTACAATTTACCAAAAAAGCGCGTTTTTTCAAAAAAATTAAATACGATAGTATATGTAATTTTAGCTGATAGGAAAGGGTAGTAAAAGCTTAAAAGTCAGCGAAAACCGCATCTTGATATCTTCTTTCAAACCGAAGATATTAGGTAAATTATAATAAATACCAAAAAATAAGCCCTTAATTACCTTATTTTTTATTGCCTAGGATATGCAGACGACATCGTAATTGTGGTCAGGGGCAAGTTTGCTGGTATGATATCAGAAAGAATGCAGACAGCCCTAAACAAAGTTGACAAGTGGTGCAAACAAGAGAGACTGACAGTCAATGCTCAGAAAACACAAATTGTCAATTTTACAAAAAAGATAGCACCAAAAGGCCTAAAACCACCAGTGCTAGGAGAAACGGAGATTTCATTTGCCAAAGAAACAAAGTATCTTGGGATATTTTTTGATCAAAGGCTTACATGGAATACTCACATAGCGAAAGCAACACAGAGGGCTGCCATCTCTTTAGGTAGGTGCAGAAGGATGTGTGGAAAAAACTGGGGACTTAACCCTAAAATGACTCTATGGCTATACACAAGGGTAGTAAGACCCATGATAACCTACGGGTCGGTGGCGTGGTGGACAAAGACATCGCAAGTGGGTGCGGTAAGGCTGTTAAGTTCCACACAAAGGCTTGCGTGTCTGTGTGTAACTGGGGCCATAAAAACCACTCCTACAAATGCGATGGAAGTCTTGTTGAACTTACCACCACTACATATTTTCATACAAGGCGAAGCCAGATCTGTCATGCACAGGTTAATTCACGGTCAGCAGCACATAAGCCAAACGCATAGTGCTGCAAACCAGAAGCTAATCGAAGAGCTAAAAGCAGACAAAGTATTGGGATTACCAATTGATGCAACAGCTACTAGGTATAGCTTCAACAACAAATTTAATATAACCATACCAGGAAGGGAAGACTGGAGTAAAGGTGTACCCATTCAAGCTGAGGCAACCTGGTATACAGACGGCTCAAAAACGTCAGAAGGCGTAGGAGCTGGAATAGTAGGGCCGAAACAAGGGAGATCCTTCCACGTAAGCCTATCCAAGGATGTCAAATTTTCCAGGCAGAAATAACGGCAATCCACTATTGTGTAGAAGAAATAATAAGGCAACAAAGAACGAATCGTTCTGTGGCCATCTTCACTGAACAGCCAAGCGGCGCTAAAGGCACTCAGCTCCGCGGAGGTCAATTCTAGACTAGTGTGGGACTGTGTGCGTGCTCTAAATACTTTGGGCGGACGTAGCACTGTTACGTTGGCCTGGGTGCCAGGGCACGAGGGTCACAAGGGTAACGAAAAGGCAGATGAAAGGGCCAAGCAAGGCTCATCAATGCCATTCATAGGCCCAGAACCCTTCTGCGGCGTTGCAAAGGCGGTCACGAGAATGGCCACGGAACGATGGGTGGCCAACAAATCTCTAGAATGGTGGAGAAACTCACCAGGGCAGAGACAGGCGAAAAGGTTCATTGTAGAACATTCACCAAAATTCACGGTAGACTTGATAAGCAAGGGCAGAAAGACAGTCAAAGCTGTAGTAGGTCTACTAACAGGGCATTGTAAGCTAAATAGGCATCTAAAGCTGATGGGATTGACAGACGAAGCTATGTGTAGGTTCTGTCAATCTGAAGAAGAAACGTCAGAACACATTTTATGTCGGTGTGACAGCCTGGCAAATGTGCGGTTCCCGGTAATAGGCAATGATAGGCCATTGCCAAGGAGCTACATGGAGGGTTCAGTCTCCAAGTTGCTAAACTTTGTTAAAAGGATAGGACTGGAGAATGTAATCTAAGGATCAGAAGAGGACCACAATAGATCTGAGAAGGTCGCAGTGGATCAGGCCGAAAGCCACCTCTAAGAATCTAATCTAATCTACCTTATTTTTACAACACGGTATCAGTAGACCTCTTGATTGTGCCCATTCTAACAAAAAAATAAGATAGAAATAGTTAGATTGTGAAAATTAAAATCGACGAAATACCAGAATACCATAATACCAGATGTATTAATATCTAATAATTAAGATATTAATAACAGTGAACAAGAAACGATGATTCAGTGAAGTCATGGTAGGCTTTGGAAAAAAGTTGCATTTGACGTAATAGTATAAACGTCAAATTGTTATTAGATCAACATATCGATAGTCTTAGCAGCGTTTTTTATCTTTTAATTACTTTTTCAAAATGCCAACAACTTTAACTACTTCAAATTATAATAAAGACATTTATTATAATTTTGCTAATATCTTCGGTTTGAAAGAAGATATCAAGATGCGGTTTTCGCTGACTTTTTAAGCTTTCACTACTCTTTACTATCAGCTAAAATTACATATACTATCGTATTTAATTTTTTTGAAAAAAACGCGTTATGTTTGTTAAATTGCAAGAAAGCGCCCCCTAGCGTCTACGTTCAAATCCTTATTATTATTATTATTTTTATGGTATAATATAGAGTAAGAAACGCTCTTTTAAACGAGCCCTGTTTGTTGGATTCTGATCATCCAGTCCGGAGTTATTAACATTTAAATAAAGATAGATCTAACCTTCCCCCACCACTTTATTTTAGGTTAAAAAAAAATGGTTTTAATAAAAAAAATCCAAAATTTACTGAAGATTATGTAGCTATTACTTTTAGTACCCATTATCTGGGCAAAATTCTGTAAAAATTCTATTTTCTTATTTTCCATAGCAGTTGCGCCCTCTAGCGGCCGTTTTACAAACTTGAAAATAATTTCCAGCAATTTCTCATAGCCCCTTTAGTTATAAATATTTTTTTTTCCGTAGGACCTACGGCTAATGCTTTCCGAGATAGAGCCGAGAGCTATTCTTAGTGGTACACCCTGTACATACCTGCTTTAAAATTATCCTGTATTGTCCAGGTTTACAATAATAGCTTTCCTGAGCTCCTCCAGGCATCAAAACGCACACATTTCCACCTCCTGGTTTTCTCAACACGTACTCTATCGCGTTGGCTTCCGCGGATATGCCACCAAGGGCCAATCCCATCTCCCTGAAGAAGGGCATGATGTAGTGCTGGGATAACGTGACCACCCTTGGGGAATGATGGGGGAAGTAAATCTTGAACTCCCCATAATCGCTAGCTAAAAATATACAATATTAAAAAATAGTTATTTATTTTATTTAAGTGTTTAGGAGCATTGTATCAACACAAATGTAATACAACGTGAAAATACAATTAACTAATCTGATACAATTTTAATTTACCATATTCGATACCAATTAAACTTTTAGTTACTTAATCAAGCGCGATTTTTAAATTCATTGTTGCCAATCATGGACATATTCAACGCCGGGCTGACTAACTGGAATTTAAATTTCCCGCTAGGGATTCAGGTGGTAGCTCTGCAGTAAAAAATGTCAAGTTGTCACATTTATTTATTTATTTCCTACCATTGTCATTCGTTTTGACACTTTAGTTTGGTATCACGAGTTTCTGGTTTAAATGAATAGGTAATTGTGTTGTGATACTTTAAGCTTAAATTTTTTTTACAGATCTTGCAGTCGAAAATTGTTCTTTTTAGAACCTCTTTTACTGCGAAATGTACCTATAAGATAGCTTAATAGCCGTAAAAAATTCATCGCAACTTTATTAGAATACATATTTTGAAAGGGAAAGCGGTGTAATGGCCCGTTATGTCCCTTAAATGCCGTTAAGAAGGTGAGCGTTGTTGATGTAAATAATAACTGTTTATATTTTTAGGAGGGTTGTGCGGCTGGACTATATTAGAAATTCAATTATTTTTTTATTTACCAAAGTTGCAGAAAACTCCTAGAGATAACATTCCATGTGGAAAACAACAAAATAAATAATTCTTGTTCTTATCTAACTGCACCCAAGGCAACCTTTCCATTCTGGCTGGAAAATATTCCTTCATATAGTACCACCATCTAGAATAAATAAATAATGGGTAGTAACAGCTTTATTGTCAACCATTATCTAATTTCTAAGCCATAAAAATTCTTAAGTAGCTAGAATTACTACATAATGTGAATTTGTAGTCATTCAACGACCAATATCTGTTTTAAATACATATTATCAGACAAGTTGAATATCTGGCCCATTAGCTCAGTTGGTTAGAGCGTCGTGCTAATAACGCGAAGGTCGTGGGTTCGATCCCCCCATGGGCCATAACGTTTTTTTTAATTATTTGCAATATAAAAGTTATAACAATTATGTAATAAAAATTTACTTAACAAACAAATTCAATTACCACAAAAATATTGTTTTTTTTTAAATTTATGTTCCACCATTAAAATGAATGACGTTAAAACAAACAAATTAAAATTTTTAAAAATATGTATGTTCCTGTAATTATGTTCCATATCATTGTCATTCATTTTAATTATCATACTTTTTACTATTAGACTATTAAGTCATTTATTATACTCGAAAAATATATAGTCATTATTTACCATTATTTATTATTGTAGTGTACTGTGTACTTGTTTAATTATTTTTAAATTTCATTGCCACAAATTTAAAAATTTTAATGAAGCGATTATAAACGCTCTATTAGGTATATCGTCTACATTATTATTTATCAAAAATATTATTAATATATAGCAAGACGGTTTAAATTGAAACATTTTTGGTATTATGTAAAATTAATATACAATATGATCAAAAAGTTTTCTCATCAACTCTTTGTATAATGGCAGATGAAGAGATATTAAAAAGAATATTTTTGAATTGTTAAGGTATTCTATATTTGATAAAAGAGTAAATAAATTTAAGTTAATTCCATAAGTAAATTTCCCTAAAAGTAGATTGAATTTGTTGTCATTTTTTGTATATCGTCTGTCTAAATCATAATATTTTGATACGAAAATAAAAAATTTTGAGATATTATTCATCAATCTTTTGTGTTTATTATTATTAACTAGTTAATTAAAATTTGAGTGTTGTTTTTTTAATTCTTTAGAACAAAAATTAAATTTTTAAATAAATTGTATTTTAAAAGCGTAGATATAAATATTAATAACTTAACCAACAAATCAACAAAAGGTGAATATGAATTAGAAATTGAATAATTAACATGAATTATAATAAAATTAACGAATGTCACAGATCTGCGAAAATAAAATAAACACAGATACAAAGAATCTTTGATGTGTATTATTTCTACATTTCTATAAGCACTGGTGCTACTTAAAAAAGATCTTAGATATTACTGGACGTCATATTGGGCATACTAAATATACCGGGTGCGTCTCAAAAGTGGCTCACCCCTATAACTTTTTTTTTATTTTTTTCAGTTAAAAAAACGAAATTTGGTATGTTAGTATATGACATAAATTAGGATTGATTGACGTATTCAATTGTTTTCGGTGACTTCCTGTTTTACCGGAAATGTCTACAACTTTTGATTTTTAAATGGCACCCTCGGTATTTTTTTACTTTGTTCGAAAGAAAATAGCACTCTGATTAGAATGACATATCATATGTCAACTTTTGACATTTTAGCATATGGTGTATTTGAAATTATAACCTGTAGGGATATTTATATAATATATAGTTCGTAACGAAAATTTGATTCAAAATACCAAATGTGTGGTATCAAATTATTAGTAAAAAAATGTTTTTTCCAAAAGATGCTAATGAGCCACCCTCGTTCCATTTGAAAAAATTGAGATATGATTAAAAATACGATTTGAGCATTTTCTAAATGGCCAGGACAAGACACTAAAAACATTAGACGATCAAATCTATTTTTCCAAAGCTCCTTGATTAAGAATTAGCGTTTTTAACATAGCCGTGGCACTCTAGATTGAATTTTAAAATACGATTTTTCATTAAGTGAGAATGTCAAAAAGTTGACATATTATATGTCATTCTATTCAGAATGTCATTTTCTATCGAATAAAGTAAAAAAATACCGAGGGTGTCATTTAAAAATCAAAAGTTGTAGTCATTTCAGGTGAAACAGGAAGTGACCAAAAACAATTGAATATGTCAATCAATCTTAATTTAAGTCATACACTAACATACCAAATCTCGTTTTTTTATCTGAAGAAATAAGAAAGATATAGGGGTGAGCCACTTTTGAGACGCACCCGGTATAACACAAGGTGTCTCGTCAATGCAATTTTAAACCAGATATACAGGGTATCTAGATCGGAGATTTTTGCATTTTATTGTTTCACAGTGAGAGATCTATCAATTAAAAATATTTTCAATATGGCGGCACTTCCGGAAATACCGAAAGTTGACAGCAATTTTCTTATTTTAAATGGGTACCCCCATTTTTTATTACATACTTAAATTCTCTGAAAAATGTTATGAAGTTTGAATCAAACAATTTAATTTTTGAAATATATAGCCACATGTCTTCTCTTTATGTGGCTGTGGTAATCACTAAATTTGACGTTTATAGGCCATTTAGGCTATACAATTCTTTTTGACAGGCAGTTTTTTCATCCAAAAATTTTCCTCCACTATTGTTTTCTCAAAAACGGTTAATGTTAGGTATAGAGTGTTTGAAATAAAAATTCATAAAATTTTAAAGTTAAATATATAATAAAAAAATGGGGATACCCATTTAAAATAAGACAGTTTCTGTCAACTTTCGATATTTCCGGAAGTACCGCCATATTGAAAATATTTTCAATCGATAGATCTCGTTGTCAAACAGTGATGTGCAAAAAATCTCCGATCTAGATGTTGTAGTTCTCTGGAAACTTCTCATGCACGCTCAGCCTGAGACACCCTGTATATAATTAAATGATTTATAATGAAAAGCAAAATTTTGATGAATCTGTCCACATAATATAGCTTAAATTATTTTAAAGTAAGATATACAATACTCAAGTAAAGAACTTACCTCCAATTTCGAACCCATTTAGATGGTCTACCTCCCGTTTCGCTGGTCTTCAAATCCCATAGTACCCACAGCAAATACACGCTGGTTACTAACCAGTATTTTGTAAAAAGTACAAGGTACACCGAGAATATTAAGCAGATAAAGCCTCCGAAAATGAGCCAAATGAAACCGCAAGCGGCTGCCAAAGTTTGGAGTCTGCGGTCCAGAGACACGTTTAAAGGGGCAAATTTAATACCAGCAAACTCCATTCTTCAGATAAGTCAAGTTGAACCTAAAAAGTTTATAACTGGTAATTTAACGCTATTATAGATATTAAGGTTACCTTTTAAAAAATACTTTTTTTCAATAAATATTGCTTGAGTTATTTTTCAAAAAGTAAGTTCATATCAAATTGTGTTGTTACCTGGTAAAAGTAATAAGTGTACTAAAGTACAATGTTTATATTTTTTCTTATCTTATCTGTAGGTAGATTCACCATGCATTTCAAGATTATTTTAGAATCAAACTTGTATTTTAACTCTTTAAAAAATTGTAATTAATAGTATGTAATTAATAACATTTAAAAGGAACTTTTTTTGAAATGAAATATCAAGACTTCAAAATTGTCACAAGTCATGGATTTACAGGGTCCGGCAATAGTGCGTCGGGTATTTGTAGCTCCCTTGTAGCTCCTATAATAAAAAATTTAGGAATTTTGTATAAGTGCAAACCATAGACTTAAAATAAATATTTTAAGTCTATGGTGCAAACCTAAAATATTTATTAGGATGTATTTCAGGAAAATATTTTAACTTCTACAGGGTGGCTCTCTATGTGTGAGTGGGTCGGGATGTTTTTTTTTGGAACACCCTATATATTATTGCATTTTTAGCTTCCTTTCTGATCACTTTACATTATCCTAAGATATTATTAAATATGTTTTTGATGGTTTCAGAAATATTAATAAATAAATATTTCCGAAACCTTAAGTAATTTTATACCGGGTGCGTCTCAAAAGTGGCTCACCCCTATAACTTTTTTTACTTTTTCAGATAAAAAAAAACGAGGTTTGGTATATTAGTATATAACATAAATTAGGATTTAGGATTGATTAACGTATTCAATTATTTTCGGTAATTTCCTGTTTCACCGGAAATGACTACAACTTTTACTAGGTAAGTATTTTTTTACATAGCATAATATGTCAACTTTTGTCAAAAAGCATTTTAAATTTTAATTTAGAGTGCCATGGCCATAAATGTAACGACAATTTGACTCGAAAACTTTGACTTTATAAATACTCTTATACTATAAACTATTCTTAAAAAAAATCCTTTTTCCAAATATGCTAATGAGCCACCCTCGTTCCATTTCAAAAAAATTGAGATATAAAAAATACGATTTGGGCATCTTTTAACCAGCCAGGACAAGACACGAAAAACTTTGGACGATCAAATCTATTTTTCCAAGGATCCTTGATTAAAAATTAGTGTTTTTAACACAAACATAGCACTCTAGATTAGCATTTAAAATACGATTCTTTTTAGCATAAAAGTTAACATATGATATGGCATTCTATTCAGAGTGTCATTTTCTATCGAAAGTAAAAAAAATACTGAGGGTGCCATTTAAAAATCAAAAGTTGTAGTCATTTCCGGTGAAACAGAAAGTGACCAAAAACAATTGAATACGTCAATCAATCCTGATTTATGTCATATACTAACATACCAAATCTTGTTTTTTTTTCTGGAAAAATAAAGAAGTTATAAAGGTGAGCCACTTTTGAGACGCACCCGGTATAATAAGTATATAATCATTCTATATTCATATGAACTTTTTTCTTAGAATAGGGTCCAAGAATCACCTTAAACATTAGCATGTCATTAAGGAACACCCTGTTTAATAAATTAAGAATTGATTGTATCTACATTTTACTAATTCAAAAGTATGTTACATTACGAAATGACCTACTGTTGAGAAATTGCCTATGGTAAATAATGAAAGTAATATGTGTGGCACGGTTAATAATAACAAATATACAGTAGTAATGCCAAAAGTATTTTGATTATAACAATAACCTGATAAAGCATCAGCACAATCGGTGGGAGCTTTTTTAATTATTAGTAGTGCTAGTATTTTTAATTTGGCATTATAGACTAGCAGACAGACTAACTTATATAGTCTTTGCTGTTACCTAGTATTATTAACATTTTTGGAGTCTATGGTTAATCTTTCTTTTATTACTAACTAGCGTGTACCAGCGACTTCGTTCGCGTCGAATTAATCATTTGTAATGGTGATGATAAAGCAAAGCAAGAATTTCCATTAACATATAAACTGGATAAAATTTTCTCACATTTATGTCAGCTTGAGAAAAAACAATATGGCGATATTATTATATAACTTGGTAGTATTTGAGGGGTAGTTTCATCTCGTTAGAATTTGACTTTCGAAAAATCCGTTTGCCAAAAATAAGCTTTTTACGTCAAGCAGTTTAAGCAGAATCGTGGTTAAGAAATGACCCAACTTTTTGGAACACCTGTATGATTTTTAAAAAAATTCAAAATATGTAAAAAAACCAAATAAATTATGCTTGTCCAAGCGTTTTCCCGAAAGACTAACCGTTTTTTAAATAACAAATATTGTAATATTTGAGAGGAGTTTTCACCCTCTTGGAATTTTAGATTCGAGAAATCCCTCCTTATCGAACCTCTACACCCCACAGTCAATCCGTTTGCCAAAAATCAGCTTTACACGTCAAGCAGTTTAAGCAGAATCGTGATTACTCAATGGTCATATTTTATGAAAAACCCTGTATAAATTTATAAAAAATCTTAAAATATGTAAAACAACAAAATAAAATATACGTGTTTAAGAGTTTTTTCGAAAAACTCACCGGTTTTTAAATAAAAAATATTTTAATATTTGAGGGATAGTTTCAGCCCCTTAGAATTTGAGTTTCGAAAAATCCCTTCTTATCGAACCTCTACACCCTAAAGTCAATCTGTTTTCCAAAAATCAGCTTTTTACCTCAAGCGCTTTAAGCAGGATCGTGATTAATCAATGACCAGATTTTTCGACACACCCTGTATACATTTTTAAAAAATCATAAAATATATAAAAAAAATAAAATATACGTGTTTAAGCGTTTTTTCGGAAACTTAACCTTTTTTAAATAAAAAATATCGTAATATTTGAGGGGTGGTTTCACCCTCTAGGAACTGGAATTTCGAAAAATCCCTTCTTATCGAACCTCTACACCCTAGAATCAACCTGTATGCCAAAATTGAGCTTCTTACGTTGAGTGGTTTGAGCAGGATCGTGATTAATCAGTATGTCAGTCACTTAAGGATTTTATATATTAGTATAGATTACTATTTGCATTACAATATTAATATTGCTAATTGCTAGACTATATACTTACTTATTAGAAACCAATAATCAAATCAAAAGCTTTATCATCTAAACACACCTTTAGGTAATCATTTCAAAATTTCATTAAAAGATAATTAGAATTCAGCTCAAACCTGATTTCAGTACCATCAACAGGTAATTAAAATCCATCAGCACATGATTAATAAGTAATCATTGGAGCTAATAATGCTCATACGGATACAAAAAGGACACGTTTTAGTTTAAATATTTCTTAGAAACACATAATGTTAATGAGTCTAAGTTAAATGATCGGTACCTATAATACTTTTATTCATTGTTAAATAAGCTCTAAAATCTTTATTTTCAATTTAATGTAGAGTTTGCTGAAATAAAAAACCTTGTCAAACCCGTAATAAATGACACAATCCTTGTTTTAGCAAATATTTTCAATTTAGTATGCATTATTGCGGATTGGTATTCAGATAGATTCAGATATTTATGGTTTTGACATTGAGCTAAAAATGAAGACGAACAGGTTTCAAAATTTCTAGTTTCCATATGAAGGTAATAATACCGCTGTTAAACTTTGTACTTAAATTTATCGTTTGTATACCTAAACAATGTAAATATATATTTTGAAGTAGTTTGATAAAAAAAATTGAGAAATTACTTGTTAATACATAATATTTCCAATTACTTATTGGTAATATAAATAAACTAAAAAATAACAACTAATAAAATAAGTACATCGCGTATGTGTCAAATTTTATTCTGTATAACTCAATTAATTAAAAGGTCTAAAATGTATCACAAGGTCGCTTAATATTAATAAGAGATTCATTGTTAAATTGTATAATATTTTGTCTATAATTAGTGACAATAACACCTAGCTTGTACTAAAGATAAAGAATTGTAAGTTTGCCAACATAGATTCAATTCTTATAAATATACAGGCTGAGTCTTAAATAAGTGCAAATATTTTCAGGGCTGGTAGATCTGGATAAAAGAAACATTACATATTTTCCCTCTACCGTTTTTCAAATCCATCCAGAATAACCGAATTATTTTACTTTGAAAATTTCAATTTTTGTCAATAATATTGGTATTATATATACTGTATGATCGAAAAAAAAAACGGCGTCCAGTTGGCCAGGAAATGAACATCGATATAATTTTACGATCCTCATTTCATAGCCATCGCTGACGCCGTTTTTTTTCGATCATATTATACATATGTACCTATTTCTGAAAAATACGCCTACTTTTGCGAGCCAGGCAACTAATTTATAGAATGTTTCTTACAATTGGTAATTTGTAAGAATGCCTTTTACATCAGTACAATATGACCAAAAATAGTTATTCTGATCCAGCGCGGCCAGACCTGTAATTAGAACATAAAAATAGTTCTTACAGGAAATTATATTAATTGTTTTTTAATTATCAAGGTTATAGCCGTTGACCTAAATGTGCTGCTGTTAATAATCTGTTAATTTTACTAATTGTTTATTTTACGAATAGGAAAAGAAATGTGATAATTATATGATTCACATAATTTTATTTATACTATTTATTGCAAATTTAACAAACATCAATAACATTGTTTATATATTTATTTTAATTTGCACACTCAAATTAGCAGTCTATTAGATAAAATAGTTGGAATAATTATTTTAAGCTCATTAAGTAATTAGTTAAATAATTAAATAAATATTTCGGAAAATGTATAATATAAAAAATAATTATTTTAAAATGAGTTCCTACTAAATATCATACGAAGCAACTAATTTGGTAATTGATACAATTTTTTTTATACGCGAAGAAAAACTTCTGTATATTTTTTTGGATGATATCCCATTAATCATTATTCCAGAAATTAATGACTGTAAATATTACTTGTAAATATTACTTGAAAAATGTAAATTCAAAACTTCCTGATAAAAAATACAAAGTCCACTTTTGTTTTTTAAATTACGAATTGTTTATTACCGGTTATTAATAAATTGATAATTATATGATCATCTATCTACTTCAAATTATTGATCAACAATTTATATTATCGTAAATACAGAAATGTTTTTAAGTCAAATATATTTATTTTATTCATATCCATGCACACAATAACGAACATAATTATTATTACTATTTACAAAAAAATAAATTACATACACTCGGTCACCGGCACGAAAAAAAATTAAAAGTTTTATATCTAGTGGACCGATTTTGATGATTTTTAAGCACTTTGTAACCAAATTATTTGACTTTCTAGCAGTGGCGGATACAGAGGGGAGCCCATGTGGCCCAGCCCCCTAAAATATATAAATTGGGTTAAAAATGGCGCCCTAAATAGCTCATTCTACATTCCTTTTTATTTGGGCCCTCCTAAAATAAATTCCTGTATCCGCCCCTGCTTTCTAATACCTCTTTCTAAATTAAAAATGAAAGTTGCCATCTGTAAATTATACGAGGGAAAACGAAATGTTGATATTTTGGTAAAATTTTGAAACACCCTGTGGAGTACGTTAACAAAGCAAGAAATTTAAAAATCATTTTATCATCTAAGTGTAGCTTTTTGCGATAATTTGTTTTTTTTTTTGTTTATCTCAATAGCTTTATTTTTTTCCGATATTCGCTGTTGAAGAAGAAGTAATATTTTTTCGTATTTTTTACATTTAAAGCCATGCATGTCTTTGAAAAATCATATTATTATTGTTTGTTGGACAGTTATATACTACTTTAGCAGATATAGTTTTAAGTCCAAACGTTGATTTGTACCATGATCAATTAAAGCCATGCTAATATAAAAATAAATTTTAATAAATTATATATTAACGTTATATTAATATAAATATTTTAACTTCCACAGGGTGGCTCAAAAAAATGTGAGTGAATCGAAATTTTTTTTTAAACGTAACACCCTGTATATTATTCCATTGGCTTCCTCTTCATCATTTTACATAGTCCTAAGATATTATCAAATTTGTTTCAATAATTTCAAAAATATAAATAAATAAATGAAAAAAATATATTTTTGCAAAATGCAATAATATACAGGGTGTTCTGTTTAAAAGAAATCATCCCGACCCACTCACACTTATTGGGCTATCCCGTTGAAGTTATTTTTTTTTCTGAAATAGGCCCTATATAGTAAATAACTGTAGATAGGTATGCACTTCTTGTATTCTGTATAAAAATATACTAAATCATTTTTTATTCTTCTTTATTTGTGCACATCTCTATGCTGATCCTAAAAGAAATATTAACATTATTTTTTACTTTGACATTATTTATTATTGATGCTTTGATTATTTACTATAGCTGTAATATTTCATAAATAACAGTGAACTCGCTATAACTCGCAATTTTTAGACTTCGAACTTCCTAAAAATAAATCACTAAATTTTTCTGGAAACTATTATATTTATGGGTTTTATGAACATATTTCTTGTTTTTTTTTTCCAAATCAGTATATATCTATTTATAATGTTTTTATACAAAACTTTTATTTTTAGTATTATAAAAGTAAATCCCCCAAACACTTTACATAAAAATAAACTTTTTTGACACATCTGTAAATATATATAAAAAAAACTATTTAAGTCCGCCTACCTCTATATAAAGTATTTTATGATTACATACATTAAAATTATTAATTAAAAATATTTTATGTTGTGCTTAAAAACTATAAAGTCTCTTTTTTAATTTTGAAATTATATATCACTTAAATAATTTTTTAAAAGAGATAAGAAAAAATATAACTTAAATATTATTGATATGTATTCATTTTCAATATTCATTCAGTCTTATTAATTGCTGAATAATTAAAAACAATCAAAGCGCCTAAAAAGGTCTATATTTCACCGTTTAATTACTTAACAATCTCTGAACTATGAAAAGTAATCGACACGGTAAACACTTTCCATTACCTCAGTACCAACTTTCTCCCTACGAAGTTGACTAGCAAAAAACGAAACCACCAATCCAACGTACGTCGTTGCTTACATGCTTCAAACGGAAACAATCACGTTCACCGCCGATCACTCACGTTAAAAAAACGACATCCCAACATAGTTGGACGAATCTCTAAAAATACACTACTATACTCACTCCGGTTAGAGTTCTAACGTGGAAAAATTAAATCGTTTAGAAAAAAAGGAAAATTTCAAACGGTTGCGGAAAAGGTCAACAGTTGGTGGGGGAGGTCTTTCAAAAATGTGCCGTGTCGCGTATTGGGCCGCGTTTGTGATGATTCGCACGAGGTCGTAGTAAAAGCGGTGAATACTTGATGCGAACTGGAGCGCCGCGCGGGTAAATTTATTTTTGCCGCCAGAACGAGTGCCTCCTCGATGCCTCGTCGCATCCGCAAGTTAAACCAGCCGTACGAGGGATATTCGGAAAGTGCAACTTTATATTATCTGCACTGGTAGTTGAATGTCTTGTGTTTATTATTTTATGGTTGAATGAACGATTAAATGGTCCACTTCACGTACAGTTATAAATCATGATGCGCATTTTCGGAATCACACTTCCGGAATGTTCAAAACCGGGAAATCCCGGATACCGTCTTTTGAGACATCAAAGAACCGGGACTCTAAATTATTAATTCCCGGTTCTTTCGGGACTCGGTAATAATAATTAAATACATATTTTTTGTTACGTGCTAAAGACTTTTGATACTTTCTAGCGGTCGAAATCAAACTCTTCTAAATAAGTAGGGATGCTATCTCTTACTGTTCTTACTTCTGAAGTTATTTTGAAGTTTCTTTCATTGAAGTTTAAATATGTTATTAGTATAATATTGCTGAATGTATCAGTTATATTTTTTTGTGTTGTTTTTATAGGCATTTGCATGTTTAATTGAAAATGTTAAGTTTTTTAATAATCTAGTTAAGTTGGTTTCGAGGTTGGTTGATGTTGTTTGATGTAATTTTTAAGCTACCTATGTGTTTTCTTTTTTTTTTCGCTTGTGTTCATGTTTACTTTCTCAGGACTTAATAATTTGATAATATTTTCATTTGATTTGGAACATTTTCATTTTTTTTTATTTTAAACTCAATTTTTTATCCATTTTATTTTGAAAAACCATCCGTTGGTTTCTGACTGAACCGGGAAATCCTGGTTCCTAAGAGGCGCGGTACCGAACCCTAGGTGTGTATGAAAGACAAAACTTGCAGCTTAATAGAGTTATACCAGTTACCTATTTAAATAAAAAAAACAGCTTTGGTATGTTAGTATATGACATAAATTAGGGTTTGATTGACGTATTCTATAGTTTTCGGTTACTTCCTGTTTCACCGGAAATGACTACAACTTTTGTTTTTTAATTGGCACCCTTAGTATTCTTTTACTTTATTCGATAGAAAATGACACCCTGAATAGAATGATATATCATATGTCAACTTTTGACATTTTCGTTATATAGTTTATTTGAAATTGTAATATGCGGTTCATAACGGCAATTTGACTCGAAATATCAAGTGTGTGGTACCAAATTATTCGTAAAAAAATGCTTTTCCCAAATATGCTAATGAACCACCAAAAATTGAGATACGATTAAAAATACGATTTGGGAATATTTTAACCGGTCAGGACAAGACACTAAAAACATTAGACGATCAAATCTATTTTTCCAAGGCTCCTTGATTAAAAATTAGTGTTTTTAATATAGCCATGGCACTCTAGATTGAAATTTAAAATAACATTTCTATTCAGAGTGTCATTTTCTATCGAATAAAATAAAAAAAGGTGACGTTACAGACCTTAAAAACTATAGGCCCATCAGCCTTCTTAGCCACGTATACAAATTATTTACTAAAATACTCACCAAGCGTTTGACAAATAAAATAGACTTTTTTCTTTCAAGCGAACAAGCAGGTTTCCGATCAGGTTACGGAACAAATGATCATCTTCTAACAGTCAAGGTCCTTATCGAGAAATGCATTGAATATAATAGACCACTAATGCTTGTCTTCGTGGATTTCGAGAAGGCCTTTGATTCGGTAGACCAGCGGAAGCTTCTAGAGACACTAAGTGAGAGTCGCATCGATCATCGATACTCCTCAATCATAAGACATATATATATGATAATGCCACGGCAAACGTCAGAATATCGACAAATCAATGCACAGATAAATTCAATATCGATCGAGGGGTAAGACAAGGCGACACACTGTCCCCTAAACTATTCGTTGCTGTGCTAGAAAGTATGCTAAAAATGATAAACTGGGATTCAACAGGAATTAACATCGATGGCAAATTGATAAATCATCTCTGTTTTGCAGATGACATTATTTTAATAACAGACAACATACAGGAGGCACAGAATATGCTGGATATGCTGAATGATGCTTCGGAAAAAGCCGGTTTGAAAATTAACTTGTCAAAGACACAATACATGACGAACTTAGTACTAAGTGGAAATTTAAACATTAATAACATACCTTTGGAACAAGTGCATATATATATATAAATACTTAGGGCATGAGATTGGTATTAGAAGGGATAATCAGACCCACGAAATTCTACGAAGAATAGGTTTGTCGTGGGCGGCATTTGGCAAACTAAGGCATATACTGAGATCTGATATTCCCATATGTTTAAGAAGAAAGATCTTTAACCAGTGTGTCTTGCCTGTCCTCACGTATGGAGCTGAAACGCTTACTTTGACAAAAAAGAATATACATAGAATACAGGTCATGCAACGGAAAATGGAAAGGTCGTAGTGGGAGTTACACTCAGAGATAAAATACCTAATCATACAATATGAAATCGAACAGGAGTAAGAGATACGGTGATATCTGTCTTACATCTTAAATGGAATTGGGCAGGACATGTGGCTAGGATGACAGATGGACGGTGGACAAAGAGACTTGTGGAATGGAGACCGAGACACGAGGCCTATAGAAGCAGAGGACGACCTCCTAGTCGATGGACAGATGACATTAAGAGGGTGGCTGGAAACTGGATTCAAGTGGCACAAAATAGAAGGAAATGGCTGGAGTTAAGCGAGGCTTTTGTTCAGCAGTGGACGGTATAAGCTAAATGATGATGATGATGAAAGTAAAAAAATACCGAGGGTGCCATTTTAAAATCAAAAATTGTAGTAATTTTCGGTGAGACAGGAAGTGACCGAAAAGAATTGAATAAGTTAATCAATCCTAATTTATCTCATATACTAGCATACCGAATCTCGTTTTTATCTGAAAAATTAAAAAAGTTATATGGATTTTGAGGCTCTTTTGACGCACCCGGTATAATTTAGAAGGGCAAGTGTATAGTGTATACTACAAGGAAAAATGTATTGGTCCAAAAATTAAGAGCCGTATGCACCTTTTACGGTGGATTAATGAAAGTCATCTCGAAAATTATAAGAATAACTTTCATTTCTTTTCCTTTCGCATTAGCATGTTAAACCAACCCTACGGGGACATTCGAAAAGGGCCACTTTATATTAATTCCACTGGTAGTTGAATGAACGACTAAGGCGCGATTCTCACTATAACGTACTGTCACCCTCACGTCGCGCGTCGCGTCGGCGTCGAGCCGTCCGTCGCGTCGCGTCGTCTCGACATAAAACATGAAGTAAATGGTAGGTGGACGTTGCCACGACGCGACGGCGACGTTATGGGTAGTGTGAATATGGTATTGTTGGCAATTTAAGAATATTTACCGTAGTGTTGAAATGTCCATACTTGGATTGCTAAAAATTTTATTATTGACATTATTAGCAATCTATAAGTTTGGAAATTTCAACAATATGGCAACCACTTATAAAACGCTCCAATGCAGGTGTTCTTGGTGGAAAACCTCATTCTTGAGTGCACCCAGCAAATTCATTGGTGAATGCTCGGCTCTAGTATATAAGCTCAGTAGTTTTAGGATTTAGTTTAGTTTAGTTCACACTTGATAACGGTCAGTGATACTTCTGACTGAAAAGTAAGTAAAGTACTGTTGTGTAAGCAAAATAAATAAAGACAACGGAAGTCCGAAACTCTTTTAGTTTTAATACTGAATCGTCTACCATATTCAAAGTAATTACTATAAGTAATTACACAGTAAGTAATATAGTAGTATTACAGTAAGTAAGTAAGTAATTAGTGAATTACTTCCTTCATTCATGGTGCGATTCCCGAAATCTGGAGTATTCACTTGTGACGCCGTTTTTTTTCGATGGTATATTTATAATTTGTAATTGTAAAATAGTGTCTTCTAATGACAATACGTAGTATGAAGTTTTTTTAATTTGATTTTTAGTGACAAAAAAAAACAAGTAATATACTAACAACTTATATTTGAAAAATACTGTCTTTTTGAACGTCATACAATATTGATAACTTTGGCTAGATGCATAAGCCTGAGATTCAACGTAACAAAATATCAACAAACATTTTAACTTGAAAAACTACGTAGATGTAACACTTAGAAACTGAAAGGAACATAAAACAACAAAATTATGGCTCTTAATATTAAATGGCAACTATATATCCTCAGATCTTACTTTAGAAAGGGGTTCTAATATTTTATATTCTTAATTAACTTGTAACAGAACATTCAAGGACTCATCACTTAGATTTAGATTAAACTTAAGATATACTTAGAAATCTAAAAAGCATTGTAAAAATCAAGATTTAATAATATAATAACTACAACTTCTTAATATTAAATAGTAACTAACTAAAATGGTCAAAGCTTACTTCAAAAAATGGTTCTTATATTTTTAGGTTCTTAAGTAACTGCTTGACGTATTCTGGATCTGATTTTCTACTGAATATCGTTGTAAAAGTCCTTCTGTACAGGTCTTCATCCTCGATCTCTTTAGCGATAGTGCGGGCTCTGGCAACGACTTCGGCCTTAACGCCAGCCAGTTTGGCCGCGTTGAAACCATACGACTTAGGACACCTACCTTCTGCCAGTTTGTACAGAAGAATGACTGATTCCTCTGATGGATCGTCATCGTTTTCCACCATACACGCCTGAAGATAAATACACGACTTATATGTTGTACTCGGTAAGAAAAAAAACTATGAATAATACCATGACCAACTTTAAAAAATAATTCTTTTGTAATTATCTTAAATGCCATTATTTTTTTTCTTAATTTGCAGTAGGTAGCACTGAACATCAGGATTATAAATTTTAATAAAATTTAATAAAAAATTAGATTCATTAAATAATAATTTATTTAATGAATTTTTAATTTTATTAACTGTGATTAATAAAATTGCATTTATCTCATCAAGGAGATTGAAATCGACAAAAATGTCAAGATACAACTTTTAATCGGCATTAAACGGCCTACACAATTTTACTAAGTGAAGAAAAAGTCAGTGGCGCACATGTTTCTTTTAGAAAAATATTCTAGTGATAACCCATATGCACGTCTCAGGTGAGCCTGTCAACACTTTTTTACCCTTAAAATTTCATTTGAATCACTAAAAGCACTTGGAAATTTTTTTAATAAATTAAAAAAAATTAAGACTAACTCCATGTAAAACTTTTCATCAAATTTATTTCTGGCATATTTAAACCTCTTTTCAAAACTAGTTCTTTTAGTATAAATTGTTTTACATACCATGTGCCCCAAATGCACGTTTTTATCATCAACAAAATGATCAACCAAACTGTGATAATGCGTTGAAAATATTGTACGGCATTTCATTTCCACAAGCTTCCTCACATAAGCTGTCGCTATGGCATTACCTGTATTTTAAAAATAAAAAAGACCATCAGAAATACCTAAACATATACAGGCTGGTTCGTACTATATTTACTGTATTCCGGAAACTTCGGCAGTATATTCTGCAGATAAAAATTGGTAAAAAGTTCGTATACCAAAATATATGTCCTAAAATGCTTAGTTTTGGAGATACAGGGTGTAGAAGTTTCACTTTTATTTCAATTTTTTCCAAATAATTTATGAGAAGTATGGTCAATATTTGGATGAAAATTGGTATCTGGGAGTTTTTTGACATGAGAAGTTTGAATTTGATGTCAATATGACTCCTGCTTGTAGAGGGCGCCACCTACATATTTTTTAACTGGTTTGAAGAGTAATAAATTTTCGTCTATACCTGTATAAAACTACTGAGTAAAAAAAATACATTGTCGACGTTTTTTACGTAAAAAAAAACGTCTCTTGGTAAAAATCGCTAGGAGTAATGGTTCTCGAGATATTTGGAATCGAAATTATCAATACCTGTCATCATTGACATAAATTAAACACGTTGACTAAATAGTTATTAGACTGAAATCATAAATTTGAAATAATTTTGTGCCAAAAGTTCAACGGAAACTGTTTTATCGTCATTTTTTTGTAGAAAAATTTATGATTAATTTTAAAAAAATAAAATTTCCCAAATTTATTATTTCAGTCAAATAACTTTCTACTCAACGTGTTTATTTTGACATGTATTGACTATTTCCATTCTAATATCTTGAGAACGGTTGCTCGTAGCGATTTTACCAAGAAACATTTTTTACATAAACAATGACGGAAATGTATATTTTTTCACTCAGTAAAAATAGTAATAATAATATAAACTCAGTTTTATACAGGTACGGACGAAAAGTTATTACTCTTCAAAACAGTTAAAACACATGTAGGTGGCGCCTCTACAAATAGGAGTTATCTTGACATCAAAATCAATTTTCTCATTTCAAAAAACTCCCAGACACCAATAAAATATTGACGTTACTTCAGAAATTATCTGGAAAAAATCGAAATAAACATGAAACTTTTTCACCCTGTATCTCCGAAACTAAGCATTTTAGAACATACATTTATATGAACTTTTTTACTTATTTTTGTCTGTAGAATATGCTGCCGAATTTCTGGAATACAGTTCGGACCACCCTGTATAGTAATAAAAATAGTGCAAATAAATAAATGAACGTTTGTATGAACACATAATCTTAGTTTATAATTTTACTAGAATAAGATGTAAGAAATGATAAACTATTTCTTACAAAGAAAGAAAGAATTAAAGAAAAACGTTTTTAATGTTAAGAATTACACCTAATAAAATATTTTTACCATCATGAGTTGAGGTTCCTCTTCCCAATTCATCAACAATTAACAACGACTGCTTCGTGGCGTGCTTCAGTATCATCGAGGCTTCACTTAATTCGACGAAAAACGTGGATTGTCCCCTAATTATGTCGTCGCACGCCCCTAGTCTCGTGAATATCCGGTCTATTAAGCTCAATGAACATTTCGATGCTGGTACAAAACTACCCTGTCAATTAAAGAGGAAGAATGTATTTTTGTTTATTGATAATATTCAATTATACAGGGTTATTCACGCTATTCGATGCGGAGTATTGTAGATAGATTAGATGATTAGATTTTTTTACTGCATTAGGAATTATTGTGATTTCATTTCATCAAGACGAAAAAAAAAATTACCTAGAAATTTTTATTTCCGTCTATATTTATGAAAATTAGTAAGTACATAGATATAGTTTTGTAATTAGGAATAACTTCTATACTTTATTTACATTTTTGGTCTAGTTTTGGTCTAACTAAAATGTTATATATTATTTTATTTTTAGCCGTATTTCCTTAATTTTTTTGGCAAGCTGTATATATATATATATATATATATATATATTATATATATATATATATATATATATATATATATAGGGTCCGTTATTCCCCAAGTTGATTATTTTTTAGCTGCCACCCTCTGAAATTTTAGTTTCTGCTCTAAAGAAATTATCCAACGTAAACAAGCTCTTAATTTAAATGAACCTACAGCTTTGACAAAAACATATTCTAATACAAAATTTTACACTCAACAAAAAAGGTCTATTTGGTTTTTTCCATAAAAACATTTCTTTAAAAGTTATTCGCGTTCAAAGTAATGCACATAGTTTATAATCAAATTTTTCTATAATCCAACTGCTAATTCTAATTGCGCCTTTTAATTTTGACTAAAAATTAATCTAGATGTAATATTTAAGATAAAAACCACTCGAAATTTGTTCGTTCTTTTCAATTAACACATATTTACGAACACTGAGAGGCAATGAAACAATATCCTTAAATTATAGTTTTGATCAGTTGATCATAGATGGCGCGATATTAGTTTTCCATATTAAAGTTGGTAAAGAAATATTGTTTTATTGAAAAAAGTATGGCTCTAGATCCTTTTTTAGTCAAAATCAAAAGGCGCAATTAGAATTTTCAGTGAATGATAAAAAATTTGATTATAAACTATGTGCATAACTTTGACCGCGAATAACTTTTAAAGGAATTGTTTTATGGAAAAAACCAAACAGACCTTTTTTGTAGAGCGTAAAATTTTGTATTAGAATATATGTCTTTGTCGAAGCTATAGGTTCATTTGCTTTGGAGATAAAAAATTAAATGCAAAAGGTCAGAAAATCCCGTGTTATTTAAATGGGAAAAGTATCATGATTCCGACACGGTTTAAATTAAAAATTAAGAGCTTGTTTACCTTGGATAATTTTTTTAAGAGCAGAAACTAAAATTTCAGAGGGCGCCACAGTGAGGTATTTGACACAGATATTTGATCGAAATTTTTTTATGTAGACCTTATATAAATTATTGCTATTTTCAATTAAAGAGGAAATAATATGAACAAAATAAAGGATAATTCGTCGATTCTAAAAAAAGAAAGAAAAATCACTGTTCCAGTGTTTCCACGGTCAATGCCACTAATGCCAGTAGTAATATCGCAACTAATACTACTAATGCTACGACTGATACGCGAGCAATGCCCATACCACTAAAGTCGCTACTAATGCCAAATTGTGCTATTATATACTGCTAATGGCACTAATGCGATCGCTTTGTACACAACAATGTCATCGCGGTTTACACCTCGCATCAGTATATCAATGATTGGCAAATTAGAGGAAACCAAAAATGTTTTTCTCATTTTATCAGCAAAGTGGCAAAAAGTCGCAGTATTTTATTTTACTGTATGAAAGCCCAATGTTTACTAAGTAAAACGTATATAGACAATATGCTGAATTCTTCGAAATGCGCAACTAAATCTCTAAGTATAATAAAAATGTCACAAATTTAATCAAATTTTCTGAACGCCTAACTTTTAGTTGCAAAAAAAATCGTTAGTATAGAGAATATCAAAATAAATAATACGTTTTTGTAGAATACATACCTGCAGCTTGCTGAACCATTTTCAATCAAAACAATAATATAAACGTAAAAAGAGCACAAGAACAACAACAATTTATAATTTTAAACATAAAATTTAGCCATTTACCTCTTATCTGTGAGAAGTAACAACTTTGACGTTTCGTTGAAACAAATGAATGCAACTAAACACACACACCCATAGCAACGCCATTCATGGCAGAGATGATTTAACTTATCATTTATCTTTTTTTGGGAAATCTTAAACACATTTGTTTTTTCGAATTTCGATCACCTTTTTCATGCAACCGTAGAGCGGCAGCAAAAAAATAATGAACTTGGGAAATAACGGACACCCTAATAAATATATTAACTTTAAATTCGTAAACTCAGTTTACTATAAACTTTAATATTCGACTTATTATACAGGGTTAATCAAAGAGTTGTTTCTAATTCTATCTTTAAACCACCCTGTGCAATAATTTCGTGAGCAAATTTTCCTAAAACATTATTGTTAGGTCAGAACCATGTCTCCTGAATATTTTGTTTTTTAACTCATGTCAAAACATGCCTTGGTTAATTTTTAAGAGCAAAATGAATTTGCCGCAAACGTTTTGAATTTTTTTCAATTATCGTTACTTTTTGATGTTATTCTTCATAATGACGAGGTGGCTTTGGTAGTTATTGTTGTGTAGTTTACCCCGGTATTAACCTTTGAACTTCCGCTTTAAAGGCTGAACGTTTTCTCGCCACATGGAGACTTGTTCGTTTTATATTCAATACTAGAATTTAACGGACTAAATAAAAAAATATAGGAACTTCTTTCAATGCGCAGTAGTGAACGCAACGTCTATCGGCAGCCAGACGACTCACACGCTGTTATAGAGAGCATAGCAAAAGATACATTAAAGAGGCAGCTTTTTTAAAATACTTTCTCGAAACCGTTAGAACTCGCTCTTAGACTATAATGACAGTTGAAAAAATTGCAAATTGTTGGTGGCAAGTTCATTTTGCTCTTAACAATTAACCAAGGCACGTGTTGACAAACGTGTTGCGTGTTGCGGAAAAGTTGCACGTGTTGCGGAAAATAATTGAAGAATATGCTAAATGGGGTCTCACAGTAAATACAGAAAAAACAAAATACCTTCCAATTGGAGCTAATACAGAAAATCTTATTTTAGACAATAATATGGAAATTAGGGCATGTGAAGATTACAGGTACCTGGGATCGATATTCACAGGAGATGGAACGGACGATAGAGAAATAAACAACAGAGTAATACAGGCACGAAGAGTTATCAGATGCATAAATGGCATTCTATGGAGCACTGAAATTACAAAAAACAGGAAATATAATATATACGAGACACTAGTTAAAAGCATATTACTCTATGGATGTGAAACATTGCGACTCACTGAAAGGAATAAAAGGAAAATAGAGACAACAGAAATGGACGCGATTAGAAGAGCAATGAGAAATTCACGGAAGATAGATAGGTAGATGATAGAAGAAGAGGTAGATGATAGATAGGTAGATGATAGAAGATAGATAGATGGAAATAGAGGGAACAATGGTAAATGATATAGAACAAAAACAATTAATATGGTACGGCCACGTTCAGAGAATGCACAATGAAAGAATTCCAAAACAAGTCATTCATTGGATACCACCTGGTAAACGAAAGAGAGGACGTCCCAAGAAAACATGGATGGAAGGAATAAGAAGGTCGATGTGTGAGCGAGAAAAATCTGACCGAAGATCAATGGGAAAATCGCACAGTGTGGAAGTTAGGCATCGGACAACGTCGTAGGACGTAAAACAAAAAATGCTTTTTTGCTTAAATTTTGAGAACCACTGGATCGTTTCTGGATTTTCTTTCATGTAAATTTAATCTACTACCTGTGTTGCCATATTATCAAGAAATTATGTTTTTTCACTTAACTTAAAACTAAAAAAAATTCAAAATTTTTTTTTCAAAAAATTCCAAATTTTCAAAATTTTTTTTTTCGCAAGAAAAACCTCATAGGCGTGTTTCTGAGGCAGAAATATACTACCAGTTAAAATACTTGCACTTATTTCTGGGACACCCTGTATAAAGAAGACTGTAAAATACACTGATTTAATTATAGTCTATTATTTGAAAACAATACATACCATTTGTGCCATGATGCAAATTATGGAAACCTGCCTCATCAAAGTGGATTTACCGCCCATATTTGGACCTGTCAAAATTAACAGCGGCGCTGCATCTTGGCCACCTAAACTCGTGTCGTTTGGTACAAAATTATCTATGTAGGGGGCGTTAGGTAATTTTCCATTAGCAATTGAAATAAACGGCTAAAAGTAAATATTATTACGAATTAAAATATCTACCAAAATATGCATAAATAATCTTACGTTTTTAGAGAATTCTTGGACATCTGGTTTGCAAATATCTCCTGAATATTTCCGGGCATATTGTGCCAATGAGCAGAGAAGGTCTAAAACTGTGAGACAGTGGATTACTTGTTGCCATTCTTCAGACCTAAAATACAGAACATGACGATCCTATAATTGTTCGTATAACAATCGTTTAATGGTCGTTAGTTTTGGTTGGTGTTTCAATTTATAATTTTAGGCGAGATTTGATAAAAATTCCTCAAATATTCCTTCAAGTATGCTCCAGAATTTTGTTGGATTAAAGCTTGATTTTCACGCATCCGTTATCCGACGATACAATATTAATTTTATTGGTTGAATTTAAAGATTCCATTGGTTAGAAAATTACGCAGTTTTTAAATTTATTGCATTTTCATGCCTCCGTTCGTCGGATATACGATTTGCTTGTGATTGGTGTCATTTTATATTTTCATTTTTCATTAACGATTTCGCTGTTATACTTATGGTCTAAGAGCTAGCGATGTTTTCGAGAGAGAATTTTAAGAAAGCTGGTTCTTTAATATATCTTTTGCTATGCTCTGCTGAACAGGGAGGGTGCGGAAAATCTGGCTGCCGGTAGACGTTGCGTTCACTACTGCGCATCATATCTGTATTCAACATCTGTTCACTACTGCGCATCACAAATTCGCTCTGTATTTCAGGAACTAAGGAGGCTAGGATAAACATATGTTTAGCATATTTAGTTTCATAAAAAAGTAGCAAAGTAATGTGAAAATCGCATCATTGCATCTCTACTCATAAACGAGACATCCCATTAACCACTAGAAAATGGGATACCCTTACAGATGTGATGCGCAGTAGTGAACCGCAGTAGTCAATCGGCAGTCAGACGACCCGCACTTTGGTCAGGAGAGCAAAGCAAAAGATATATTAAAGAGCCAGCTTTCTTGTTTTCCCGACGTTGCTAGCTCTTGTACTATTATATTTTTATTAAGGTTAGATTAAACTAGCCAAAAAGTGTGAAAACGTCCTTTATCGTACGATCTTTCTTCGTTGACAGGCTGGAGTAAAAAAATTACGGATGAAAAGTGGCGCGAAAACACTATTACCAATCAGAGCACCGTCGGACCATCGTATCAACGTATAACGGATGCATGAAAATCAAGCTCAAAGCTATGTTTTCGCGCCACTTTTCATCCGTAAATATTTTACTTCAGCCCGTCAACGGACCCGTTCATACGATAACGGACGTTTTGACACTTTTTTGACAAATTTAATCTAACCTTAATAAAAATATAAGTAAAATAGCAAAATCGTTATGGAAACAAAAATATAAAATGACACCAACGTATATCCGATAAACGGAGGCATGAAAATGCAATAAATTTAAAAACTGCGTTATTTTCTAACCAATCAAAGTCTTTAAATTCTACCAATAAAATTAATATTGTATAACGTATCGTCGGACAACGGATGCATGAAAATCAAGCTGAACGCTGTCTCAGTTAGATTAACTCAGCCGGATTTACAAAAAATAACTATTTTATTTTAAAATTACTTTTGACTAAATTTTTCAAAAATTCTCCGATTCAAGTCTCTGATTATTTTATTCCTTTCAGCTTCAGCCTTCATCATCTTTTGAAGAAGTTCCTAAAAATAAAGATATATATGCAAATTATATTTACATGTTGTAGCTTTTATAGTTATTTAAAAGATGTCATACCTTTGTTGTATCTGTTGTAAATCTCTTCACTGGTTTTGCTCCTTTCTTTTGTCCTTCTAAATAATAAGAATCATCAGCTTTACGGGCTTTATTTTCAGGAATTACCAACTGATACCTATTCAAATAAATCATTTTTAAGTTTCTTTAAAAATTCTTAACTTTATTTTTACATATTACCTTTTCTTGTCTGTTCCAAAATAAGTAACTTCACAGCCAAAATATTTCGATTGTTCCTTAAGATATTTCTGCAGCTCTTTATTAATTTCTTCTATGTCCAACTGAACTCTGTCATAATCGCTATCAACGCCAGATTTAGGAATAATAGATCCATCTTTCTCTGCTTGTTCGTGATTGAAAGCCCCCTAAAAAAAACCACACGAAAATGGGATACCCTGTACATGATGTGATGCGCAGTAGTGAACCGCAGTAGTCTAGCCAGACGGCCCGCATTTTGGTCAGGAGAGCACAGGAGAGCATAGCAAAAGATATATTAAAGAACCAGCTTTCTTAAAATTCTCGTTTTCCCGACGTTACTCTTCTACTATTATATTTTTATTAAGGTAAGATTAAATTTGCCAAAAAAGTGTCATCTTTCTTCCTTGACGGGCTGGAGTAAAAAAATTACGGATGAAAAGTGGCGCGAAAACGATATGACCAATCAGAGCACCGGCGCCGCGGCCGTCGGACCATCGATCGTATTAACAGATAACCGATGCATGAAAATCAAGCTTTTAGTCTGAAAATGTAAAACTTTCATACACAATACCTTAAAAAACTTCAAAGTGTCTGTTAAATCAGGAAATATCCCTTTAGGTTCATACTGAGTTAAGTTTCTCAACAAAGAAGATTCGCAATCTGAAACAAACAAAAAATTCAATATTGTACCCCCGTCTGTAATAAAGCGTATGTAACCTTCATATATGGAAACTATTTGCTGAGACAACTCGAATCCTCTCAAAGTTTTGATAAAGTCCATAATCTTGGTTTTGGAATAAAACTTGCCCTCATAGAGAATAGCTCTGCTATCAGGATGATTTGTCGAATAAACTTTGTTTCCGTAAACATGAATTCTGTAACATGAAGTAGTTCAAATGTACAAGACATTACCGAGGGGCAAACCGCTGGTGGTATTTATTGTACAAGCACTTGGTAATACTGGTATTTTTTTGGTACTAATTTGGTATTTTTGGTACTAATTTGGTATTTTTGGTACTAATTTGGTATTATTTGGTAATAAACTGGTATTATTTGGTAATAAACTGGTTTTATTTGGTATTAAACAGGTATTTTGTTGGACATCTGGCAACGATGGATTAGACGCACGTGGCGACGACGCGACGGCCGGGAAGCTGATTGCATCATTTCTAGCCCATTTGCATCTAAAGCTAACACTGAAAAATATCTATATTTCTAACCCCAAGTACATCTAAAGCAAATACTGAAAAATATCTGGAATCTAAAGGTGCTTTGACAAAATCGTTTAGTTCTGGAAGTCTTTCAGAAGATAGCACTCTACGTGTTTTGGAAATTGATTATACCCAAGAAAATAATATAGTTTCTAAAATACTAAAGCAATGGTTAAAGTCAAAAATTGGTGATGAACTCTGGAGCACTCTAAACTGCAATAGTCTGTTTAATAACATTATTTTTAGAACATCAATTTTACTTCCAAATTCTACTGCAAACTTCGAGGCAAACTCGATTTCGGGATCGACTTTAATATGCAAAATAACCTGCTTTTGTAAAATGCAAGTAACTTTACAAATAAAATATAATCCTTCTACAAAAACCACAAAAACAAGAGTTACAAAGGCACGCTGGGTAAGCTCAAATTTTCAACACACTTGATAAAGCATTTTGATATAATATATAAATTATTTATACCAAAAATTAGTAATAATCGCAGTGTTAAATCCGAGGTAAGCAATAATTCTTCAAATATCTCTGAGGCACAACCAAAAATAACCTCATTTCTAAAAAAGCCTTCTACCGAGCCTTCTACAGAAAATACCGAGGAAATTACAGAGGCATGCAAACCCTCATGTAGCAAAATTGTACCCCCTAATCTAATATGTAAAAGCTCCCTGTAATCAAAGAAATCCTAATGTAAAAATATTAGACTGCGTAATTATCCCCCCAACTAAACGAGCCTCGAAACTACCCTTATCAGCCGCCACTTTAACCATTACGGTCAACAAGCAATAATTCAATTTGGAAGTCTTATAACCAACTTTATTTCGATATTAGAGAAAATAAATTCTACTCTTAAGGAAAATGGAGAAATATCGAAAGTTCTTAAGGAAACGATGATGGTTTGTCTAAATGAACCCGAGAATGAAACTGATGAGAATAAGCCAGAATCGAGGCCAGAATCAATGCCAGCAAACAAATTTTTAAATATGTTGCTTAAGACAGACTTTTGTTCTAATTTGGTATTTTTTTGGAAATAATTTGGTATTTTTGGTACTTTTTTCCCAAAATTGGTATTTATTATACACCATTTTTGGCAGCGGTTTGCCCCTCGGACATTACTTTCTGATATTGCCAAAACATTTTGCAAATATAATAAATAGTTTTTGATAGGTAGAGGGTACATACTTGGCAACTTGTCTTTCCAGATCGGGCAGTTTACTTAATATGTCTTGTGTTGCTTTAAATATTTGGGCATTTCCAAAAATTTCACTGATAGCTCCTTGCCTACATTTTATTTCGTTGATGTTGCAGGATGGTCTGCAGATCCATAATGGCAACATCCTTAAAGAAGTAGAAATCACTTGCAATAGTTTAATATTGTAATTTCATATATTATTTTATTGAAATTGTCCCTAACTATATATTTTAAGTTATACAGTTATAAATCTAAATAATAATGTCCATAGACTATATATTTAACTATATATTTTAAGTTATACAGTTATAAATCTAAACTATAGCCATAAACTAATATCCATTTTTAAAATAGTTACTAACTCTCACTAGAAAATCGCCATGGCGACACCAGCCATCTTGATTACCGTTTTATTGAGAAATAGCTTTTTATTCAAAATCTGAGCTAGATAGATATAGGAAACCCTAATATAGTTTGAAAGAGAATTCGAATCCGCATCAATTTATTTTAGAAAATAGAGGGTGTTGCATTTGAAATAACGAAGGTTACAAATAATAATAGAAGGTGTTACATTATGTAACATAAATATTTAAAATAGATCAAGAATTTTTGATACCCCTGTACAAAGTTAAGGAAACAATAAAATTTTTCAGTAAACTTTATTTCTCTATCTTTAAACTCAGCAAAACAATTCATTCTGAAAAGTAATGTACAGGGTGTTGATAATCTATTCTATCGTAGCATGTGTATTTAAATATTTATAATTATATTAAATGCCTTTTTTTAGACCCATGAATCCAAAAATGAAATAAAATACCAGGTGTTCCGTAAGAAAATATAACTTTGGTACGTATTTTAGTTCTGAAACACCCCCGTATATTCCAAAATAATTTTAAATTGACCACATTGCTTTCCCACATATACCTATAAAAAAATCCGTCTTTTTTTTCGTTTCCGTATAACCAACCAAGGCGAATGAGGTGCGTCACCCTGTATTTATCTTGAATTTATGAAACTGGTGCGCAAACCTAAAATTAAACCCAAAAAAAAATTTTGGAAATTTATTCATTATTTTATACACTTATTGATATGTAAAGAGAATTTATGTAATTTATTGCAATAACAGTTCGCAAAGCATTTGCCAAAATGATCTATTTTGTTATTGGGTATACTGAAGAAATTCTGCACATTTTATTTTAACTAACACTATAATAACAACAAATCGATGTTGTGAACATTTTGGCACACTCTATACGAACAATTCAAAAAATGGGAAATCGATAATTTTTGTATAAAAGAATCCACCATTTTCAAAAAAAAAACTCTTTTCAAAAAAGAACAATCTGTTTTTTTCAATCTTATTCATTTACAATATTTTAAAATTTAGAAAAAGTAATTGACAAAAATACATAATTTAAAAGCAAAAATCTATATTTTTCGGTTAAAAATTGTTCTCCAACTGTAAGAACCAAAAAAATTGGCGCCGGGAGGCACGTATAGCCGCCCATACTAAAATATGTCAATATCTCAAAAACTGCGACTTTGACTGATTTTGATGTTATTACAAATTTTGTTGCAAATATTATTCCTAAACTTAATTTGAAAACCGCGTTTCGCTAGCTACTGTAATTTCGGAGTTACGATTTTTTTAAATTTTTAACCCCCTCCTATACCCCCTTACCAATCCCCCACCCCCACCAAAAACTAATAGCCAGATTCTCGGGTAACACAGAATTTTGTGCCAAATTTGGTTAAAATCGGTTCAGCGGTTTTTGAGTTATCGTGTTACAGACGGACAGACGGACAGACAGACAGACACCATGAAAATATTTTTTACCAAACCAAACCACAAACCCATTTTGAGTGAAATTAAAAAAACTTTTTTTTTGCTGATCTTAATAGCCTACCATACTTATTGGTATGGTCGGCTAAAAATATAGAAAATAAAAATATGACACATCGTCCACAGTTTTAAACATATAATTTGACTATTGATTAACTCACCTTTTACCAAAAGCTGTTTTGCAAAAATCAAGTTTCCTCTCAAGACTTCCAGCACCACCTAACAAATGTAAATGCTTGATTGTGGCAGAGTCTACGACCATGTGATCTCTTTTATATATTGCCTCATTTTGACCAGCATCCTTTAGAACGATAGGATTATATAATTCAAACTGATTCATGGAAAAAACCTGTATGTCTAATTGTGAATTTTTCAAGAACCAATGAACACCTCCCAGCGACTTCAGTGCTAATTCATATTCTTGCTTTGGATTACCTAAACAGTTAATATTTATCAGATTTAGTTAAAATTTATACAGTGTATGATAAAAAAACGCGTCACAGTGGCCTTTGAAATGACAATTATTTTTGTTGGGCCAACCCCTAAGTCATTTATTCCTAAATAAATTAATATAACTTGAAAAAATAAATAACATCTAACTTACATTCCTCTGCGACATCATTAAAAGCGTGGGGCCATACAAACTTGCCATTTTTGTCTTTGAAATAAGCGTGCGAATATAAGGTCTCTAATGTTTTTGAAGCAGCGTAAAACTGTGTCTTTGGAGCTAAAGTTTCTTGCATTACATCCTTCATAATACTGGATAAAATGCTTTTAAAATAGCCATAATTTGATGTTTTCTCGGTTAAAATCTACAATGACAATAAATTTGAAATTTTTAGATTTCGGTAAATTTTCTATCTTACTAATCCAGGTGGATATTCTGAGAATATTGTTAGTAACTTTGAACAGAATTTGTCATCATCAAATTCAGACATATAAAATTTGCCAATTGAAGTTTCAACAAAGGTGACTCCAAATCTACTCGTTCCATCACTTGATACCTAAAATATTTTTAAATATTCTTAGTTAATAAACTATAAAATGACGTATATAAATTACTTTAGCTGCAATTCCATACAGGTAGCATCCCATATTTGACTTTGCTTCAGGCATTTGAGGTCCATACACACAAGACGCTCTAGATGAGATTTGACATAGTTCTCTAGTTACAACTTTATCAAACTTTGTAGTTTTCTTCTGTTGTTTACATCTATAATGGTATTAAAAGTATTTCAGAATACAGGGTGCTACAAATTCGAGGGTACGAGCATTGGTAACTCGGTAACCGTAATAGATACGAACATGGTTAAATTGAGGCAAAGTTGCCGCTTTGGGATGTTCACCAAGATGCCATCAAAAAGTTTTAAAAATTTCAAGGATTGCTGAGTTTTTTGGAAAAAACGGATATTTTTGAAAATCAATTTTATTTTTTCCTGTCAATACTTTTTAGAAAATCAAAAAACTAATTGCGCGTTCTCATAGCCACTTTATTAGGGCTATCTGATAGTATTTTTAGATTTTCAAATCAGCAGATAATTTGTGAGATACAGAGGCCAAGTTAATTTTTTTAAATACGGACCTGTATTTTTTATTTCAGATTTTGAAAGAACTCGCTCTCCTGAGTACAACGGTAGGTCACACTTAATATTTTTTTTTGTTTTGGAAATTTGGACACAATTTATTTAAACTAATTTCAAGTCCGGCTCTGTTTTTTTTTAATATTTAATATATTCATCGTTACAATATTGATAAGCTTTCAAACTTAACAGTGACGTGGGTTGAATATGAAAAATCAAATGCAATAAAAAAATCAAATCATTTCCCTGGAAGATGGATTGGACATGGTAGAGCAATCGACATCTATGAAACTATGAACCCTTCCTGGACACAAACGGTACATTGTGAGACAGGAAATTGCAGAGAGAAACAAGCCCTATAACATAGGATACAACATTTTAATGAACAGTGCTTTCCATAAAATCAATAAAATGAAAAATATACGAAATAATATACATGTTCTGACTTCTCTCGAAAATCGACATCTATGAAAATATGAACCCTTCCTGGACACAAACGGTACATTGTGAGACAGGAAATTGTTGAAAGAAACAAGCCCTATAACATAGGGTACAACATTTTAATGAACAGTGCTTTCCATAAAATCAATAAAATGAAAAATATACGAAATAATATACATGTTCTGATTTCTTTCGAAAATCGACATCTATGAAACTATGAACACTTCCTGGACACAAACGGTACATTCTGAGACAGGAAATTGTAGAGAGAAACAAGCCCTATAACATAGGATACAACATTTTAATGAACAGTGCTTTCCATAAAATCAATAAAATGAAAAATATACGAAATAAATGTACCGATTTCTTTCGAAAATCGACATCTATGAAAATATGAACCCTTCCTGGACACAAACGGTACATTGTGAGACAGGAAATTGTAGAGAGAAACAAGCCCTATAACATAGGATACAACATTTTAATGAACAGTGCTTTCCATAAAATCAATAAAATGAAAAATATACGAAATAATATACATGTTCTGATTTCTCTCGAAAATCGACATCTATGAAAATATGAACCCTTCCTGGACACAAACGGTACATTGTGAGACAGGAAATTGTAGAAAGAAACAAGCCCTATAACATAGGGTACAACATTTTAATGAACAGTGCTTTCCATAAAATCAATAAAATGAAAAAATATACGAAATAATATACATGTTCTGATTTCTTTCGAAAATCGACATCTATGAAACTATGAACACTTCCTGGACACAAACGGTACATTGTGAGACAGGAAATTGTAGAGAGAAACAAGCCCTATAACATAGGATACAACATTTTAATAAACAGTGCTTTCCATAAAATCAATAAAATGAAAAATATACGAAATAAATGTACCGATTTCTTTCTGAAAATCGACATCTATGAAAATATGAACCCTTCCTGGACACAAACGGTACATTGTGAGACAGGAAATTGTAGAGAGAAACAAGTCCTATAACATAGGATACAACATTTTAATGAACAGTGCTTTCCATAAAATCAATAAAATGAAAAATATACGAAATAAATGTACCGATTTCTTGCGAAAATCGACATCTATGAAAATATGAACCCTTCCTGGACACAAACGGTACATTTTGAAACAGGAAATTGTAGAGAGAAACAAGTCCTATAACATAGGATACAACATTTTAATGAACAGTGCTTTCCATAAAATCAATAAAATGAAAAATATACGAAATAATATACATGTTCTGATTTCTCTCGAAAATCGACATCTATGAAAATATGAACCCTTCCTGGACACAAACGGTACATTGTGAGACAGGAAATTGTAGAAAGAAACAAGCCCTATAACATAGGGTACAACATTTTAATGAACAGTGCTTTCCATAAAATCAATAAAATGAAAAATATACGAAATAATATACATGTTCTGATTTCTTTCGAAAATCGACATCTATGAAACTATGAACACTTCCTGGACACAAACGGTACATTGTGAGACAGGAAATTGTAGAGAGAAACAAGCCCTATAACATAGGATACAACATTTTAATAAACAGTGCTTTCCATAAAATCAATAAAATGAAAAATATACGAAATAAATGTACCGATTTCTTTCGAAAATCGACATCTATGAAAATATGAACCCTTCCTGGACACAAACGGTACATTGTGAGACAGGAAATTGTAGAGAGAAACAAGTCCTATAACATAGGATACAACATTTTAATGAACAGTGCTTTCCATAAAATCAATAAAATGAAAAATATACGAAATAAATGTACCGATTTCTTGCGAAAATCGACATCTATGAAAATATGAACCCTTCCTGGACACAAACGGTACATTTTGAAACAGGAAATTGTAGAGAGAAACAAGTCCTATAACATAGGATACAACATTTTAATGAACAGTGCTTTCCATAAAATCAATAAAATGAAAAATATACGAAATAAATGTACCGATTTCTTTCGAAAATCGACATCTATGAAAATATGAACCCTTCCTGGACACAAACGGTACATTGTGAGACAGGAAATTGTAGAGAGAAACAAGTCCTATAACATAGGATACAACATTTTAATGAACAGTGCTTTCCATAAAATCAATAAAATGAAAAATATACGAAATAATATACATGTTCTGATTTCTTTCGAAAATCGACATCTATGAAACTATCAACCCTTCCTGGACACAAACGGTACATTGTGAGACAGGTAATTGTAGAGAGAAACAAGCCCTATAACATAGGATACAATATTTTAATGAACAGTGCTTTCCATAAAATCAATAAAATGAAAAATATACGAAATAATATACATGTTCTGATTTCCCTCGAAAATCGACATCTATGAAAATATGAACCCTTCCTAGGTACCTGGACTTCTTCCTTATTAGGTACCAGGTACCTTCGAGGTACCTGGACCGTCTGATGACGCCAAGTAATTCGACAGGTCCAAATTTTACAAAAAAAGTGAAATCAACACATCTCGGCAGTTACAATAAAGAGTAACAAAATGCATTCGAAATTATAAGAACATCTATTCAACAGCTATAAATAAAATTGAACGAAAAATTAATTTGTGCAATAGGGAGGGTGGTAACCCTTTCGAACATGTAGACTATGTAAAGCATTAGAAACTAGTTTGTAGAAGTTAATTTATTCATAATAACTACGATTAATATTATGCAAATTATTAGATCGTACACTGAGAATTTCAAATTCACAATAAGAAAAGTTAAAAATAATATCTTTAAATTGCTGATCTGGATATTATTTATTTGAATCTTTCAATTGGCTCAATTTTCCTTATTCAATGTTAATTAGCACTGATCAATATTGTTGCGATGAATATAATCGGATTAAATAATTTAAAAAATAGAGTCGGACTTGAAATTTTTTTAAATAATAATTAAATAGTTTTGTTTACTGTTGTGTAGGTACTCAAAACAAAAAAAAGTATAAAGTGTGGCATATCATTGTACTCAGGAGACTGAGTTCTTTCAAAATCTGAAATAAAAAATGCAGGTCCGTATTTAAAAAATTAAGTTGGCCTCTGTATCTCACAAATTATCAGCTAATTTGAAAATCTAAAAATACTATCAGATAGCCCTAATAAAGTGGCTGTGAGAATGTGCAATTAGTTTTTTGATTTTCTAAAAAGTAACGACAAGAAAAAATAAAATTTGTTTTAAAAAAAATCGTTTTTTCCAAAAAACTCAGCAATCCTTGAAATTTTTAAAACTTTTTTGATGGCATTTTGGTGAACAGCCCAAGGCACAACTTTGCCCCAATTTAACCATCTTCGTATCTATTACGGTTTCCGAGATACCAATGCTCATACCTCGAATTTGTAGCACCCTGTATATGTACAGGGTGTCCCACTAAGAATAGCTCTCGCCTGTATCTCGGAAAGGGCCTACAGAAAAAAATATTTACAACTAAAGGGCTATGAGAAATTTCTGGAAATTATTTTCAAGTTTGTAAAACGGCCGCTAGGGGGCGCAAGTGCTATGGAAAATAAGAAAATAGAATTTTTACAGAATTTTGCCTAGATAATGGGTACTATAAATAATAGCTTCATAATCTTCAGTAAATTTGGGATTTTTTTTGTTAGAACCATTTTCCCCTATCTGCTAAAATAAAGTGGTGGGGGAAGGGTAGATCTATCTTTATTTAAATGTTAATAACTCCGGACTGGATAATCAGAATCGCATAAATGAGGGCTCGTTTAAAAGAGCATTTCTTACTCTATATTATACCATAAAAATAATAATAATAAGGTTTTGAACGTAGACGCTAGTGGGCGCTTTCTTACAATTTAACAAACATAGCGCGTTTTTTAAAAAAATTAAATACGATAGTATATGTAATTTTAGCTGAGAGTAAAGAGTAGTTAAAAGCTTAAAAAGTCAGCGAAAACCGCATCTTGATATCTTATTTCAAACTGAAAATATTAGCAAAATTATACGGTATCAGTAGCCCTCTTGATTATGCCCATTCTAACAAAAAAATGAGATAGAAACAGTTAGTTTATTTTAAAATCGACGAAATACCAGAATACCATAATACCAGATGTATTAATATCTAATAATTAAGGTATTAATAACAGTGAACAAGAAACGGTGAGTCAGTATTCAGTAAAGTCATGGTAAGCTTTGGAAAAAAGTTGCTGTTGACCATGCTTTTGACGTAATAGTGTAAACGTCAAATTGTTATTAGATCAACATTTTGATAGTCTTAGCCAAGGACTGTATATATATACTAAACGATGTATTTAAACAGCCGTTAAACGGTAGCCTACTAAAATGCCGTTAATAGATATTGTGACGTCGTTCATGTCGGCGGAAAGTAATGCCTAGCCTTAAGCTTTTTGCAAGAGCACCTGTGGGTCAGTGGCTGAGGCTATCGCTTCGTAAGCGGATGGTCTGTGGTTCAAATCTCACGCCGACCAAGACTTTTTTATATTTTTTTTTGCTTATAGTGTGATCTTATTGCATTGGTTTCACACTTTTTGGTTGGATTGGTTTAGTTATTTGGCGGGTTGGTTAGCGTGGTTATTTGGATATTATTAATTCATTGGTTAGTTGGTTATTTGGTGGGGTTGGTTGATTTTTACTAATTTATATTAGTTTTTTTTATTTTTTATCAGTGTCGAGGTTAGTTGCGTTGGTTAAGTTGATTATTTGGTGGGGTGGATAGCGTTGGTTAGTCCTTATAAAATTCCTATATTTCATAAAGCCGTCAAGTGCGTCACATCAACGACGTCATACCTTTTAACGGCATTTTAGTAAGCTACGGTTTAACGGCAGTTTAAGTACAGCCTATACTAAAGGACTGTTCGATCGCGTCAAATCGCCGCTGTTGTAGTCGCCGTGGAATGCTACGTCACGCGCTGACCAGCGCTCCACAGTGTGGCGGATGGTTATTCTAGCGGGACAAAATCTCAAAAGCAATGTTTGGGACTTAAAATCTAAGAACGTAGCAAATGGTCTAATATATAGCAACTATATGGTTAAATTTATTTATTTATTAACAACTTAATTTATTAATAAATAAATACAAGATAATAAAACTATGATATTATTCATACATGACACACAAAAACCGTATTGTAAACTATTGTCAAATACATAAAATTATGATATCAAAAAACTCTTTAGCAGTTTTTTTTTTAATTAATTTGTAATCTTGTGACACCCTCTATAATTTATTTTAAAAAAATATATTTTATTTTGAAAATAATAAATAAGATAGATATTTTAATTTTAATTTTAACACTCGGTAATTGTAAATTCATATATAGTAAGTATCTAAGACAATTTTTTAAATTCAGTGCTTTTTGATAGAGTTGTTTTGTTTTTATACTATCCGATTGAAATGAATCTTTTTGGGCATTCACCTGTTAAGCTTGAACTCCCTGTGACTGTGACTACCTGTGTTGGTAACTATTGGTAACTCAAAAGATCTACATCATTCAATATATCGATATTTGAAAAAAAAGTGAAAGTTTGATATCTGCAGAACAAAGGCACGAAGGATTTTAACAAATAATATACGTACAGTAGAAAAGTACATACCTTTGGCAATCTTCAACATAATTTGGCTTTCTAATAAAATATATAAGCACTTGTAAATATTTTATTTTCGTATGATCTCTGCCTTGCTGAGCAGAAAACGACCAAATTTGGTTGATAAAAATGTATCGAAATACAAAGAATATTGATGCATTTTTGTATCAATTGGAATGTCTACTATTTATTCTTATAAGTACACATTTTTTGGCTTATTTCTAACTAACTAAAAGATAAAAGACTAACAATGTTAATCTAATAACAATTTGACGTTTATACTATTACGTCAAAAACAACTTTTTTCCATATATCTTTTCTTGTTCACTGTTATTAATATCTTAATTATTAGATATTAATACATCTGGTATTATGGTATTTCGTCGATTTTAAAATAAACTAACTGTTTCTATTTTATTTTTTTGTTAGAATGGGCATAATCAAGAGGGCTACTGATACCGTGTTGTAAAAATAAGGTAATTAAGGGCTTATTTTTTGGTATTTATTATAATTTTGCTAATATCTTCGGTTTGAAAGAAGATATCAAGATGCGGGTTTCACTGACTTTTTAAGCTTATACTACTCTTTACTATCAGCTAAAATTACATATACTATATTTAATTTTTTTGAAAAAAACGCGCTGTTTGTTAAATTGTATGAAAGCGCCCCCTAGCATCTACGCTCAAAACAAAAAATTATTTTTATGGTATAATATAGAGTAAGAAACGCTCTTTTAAACGAGCTTATTCAATTCTGATCATCCAGTCCGGAGTTATTAACATTTCAATAAAGATGGATCTAAGCTTCCCCCACCACTTTATTTTAGCAGATAGGAGAAAATGGTTCTAACAAAAAAAATCCAATGTTTACTGCAGATTATGAAACTATTATTTATAGTACCCATTATATAGGCAAAATTCTGTAAAAATTCTATTTTCTTATTTTCCATAGCAGTTGCGCCCTCTAGCGGCCGTTTTACAAACTTGAAAATAATTTCCAGCAATTTTTCATAGCCCCTTTAGTTATAAATATTTTTTTCCAAGGGCCTTACGGCTAATACTTTCCGAGATACAGCCAAAGCTATTCTTAGTGGGACACCCTGTACAATTTTTAATTTATAACAGTTATAAAGCTAACAGCTAATCCTTAAGGGTGTTACTCAGTACTCAATAAACAAATTCTTAAAAGATACACATTCTAAAATATAGTAACTATAAGTTAATTTTGTTTATTGTTTATTACATTATTAGCAATATTTAGTATATGCCTATTAAGCAATATTTAAACAAAACTATACCTTTCTGTCATCATTTCTGGTGTTTCAGTTTGTTCAACTCTAGCTACTTTGTAACCCCTATCAACTAAAGTAGTGGCCATCTTTCCATAAGCTTTTTCAGGAAAACCAGAATGAGCAGTTTCACCCTAAAATATTAATTTTAAAATATATTAAAGATACCTTTTATTTATTTCTTACCTTCATGTAAGATATTCCAAGAACTTGCACTCCAATCACTGCATCCATGTGATACAATTCATAAAATTTGCCCATTTTGAAAAACAAGATACAATCCATGTGCTGACTTTTTAACATCCACCACTGTCGCATACCCGGGGTTACTTGATTTAAAAAATCAGGCGGAACATATAATGTACGTGGATCATACTCTGGATGTGAGGGCTTCCTATTTAATAAAGATTATAAATATACACTTTTGTACTTAAAATAATATTACTTACCTCTTTTCTGCATCTCTTATTTTTTCAGGTTTTAAGAATTCTAACTTTTCGTGTGGCCAACTGGAATCTGTATTATTCTCCACTATTTTTTCTTTCTTTTTTTCCGGCTTTTTCACATCAACAGATTTTCTCACTTCGCCGTTTTCTTCTTTTTTTTTAAATCCAAATGAATTTATTAAGGATTGCTGAGATGAAGAAGAGATTTCAGATTTTGATTCGTTCAAGGATTTCTCACTATCAGAGTCTTCAGATTGAGATTCATCAGATGCAATTTTTTGTTTCTTCGATGGCCTACTATGGGGTGCTGAGGACTTCCTTTTAACTGGTGTGTCATTCTCAGATTCAGACTCACTATCAATTAAAGCAACGCGACTACGTTTCTTTTTGCATCTGATTTCCTCATCGCTTTCTAAAAGTTGATTAAACATAAATCAAAGCATTTTGTGTGTTTTGTACCTTACCTTCATCTCTAACTTCTTTCTTTATGTTTTCTTTGTTTTCTAAAGGGGTGTTAACTGTTTTACTTGGTGTGTTAGAAGTTTCTCCAGTTTTTTTGGGAGTCAATTTTCCTTTGGGAGAAGAGAAATAGTTAAAAAGTGTATTGGTTTGACTTACTCTTTTAGACATTTTAAATGAGCTTCAACAAAAGACTGAAATGTTTTTGAACAAAATCGTAAAATTTGAGGACAACAAACCGAACAACAATAAAAATCAAAAATTTTGCCGGCAAAATATTGACAAAAGTGACATCTTCTTCTTCTTGCTTCACGATGACCACGCGCCAAAATTGACATATTTTGACATTGCAAAATTTCTTCTTCTTTCTTGATTGGTTTTAGGGCCTAAGTTTCCAGGACTATACGGCCAGATTGTAAAATTTGTGGCTTGTGTAGTATTTTAGTTTAACGACCTGAACTGCCAGGGCTATTCGGCAAAAAAAAAATTGTGATACTTGTGGCAAACTTCAGAGCATATCTCATAATTCAACTCAGAGTAATAAATAGAAAAAAAAATTAGATGCATATCTGGTGCATATACAGCGTGACTCAAAATTATCAACTGATTTTTTAAATATATATTTTCTAATTTTCCAAGACAGTCCTAAAATGACATGTATTAGCGATGTGGGTATATGGTGGGTATTACCGCGATGTGCAATTAATAACATCTTGAATTGGGCTACCGAAGCTGTTAAAATTATTTAGAGAAATTTAGAAACAAATTTGTAGATGAAAATATATTTTTTTATTGTCGAATAATTATCCAATAAAATATTAGTAACCCGTATGAATGTAGTTCTTAACAAATTTAAAAACAAAATAATTATTCTTTCTCTAATAATATAGTCATTTAGACGTTGACAACGTCATAAAGTGAAAAAGAAAATGTTATCAAGGTTTATATTCAACAAGAAATTGCCAGCTAGGCGATACATTTCCATTTATCAAAAGCTACTAGGGAAAACATGGTATCCAGACACCGAATACTTTAATCAATTTAAAGGACCAGTCATGTATCCAGATGAAACGACGTCCAAATGGAAAACGTTACCTTGGTGCGCAAAGAAAAAGCCTAGAGAGATGACGGTGAAAAATATTCGAATCAACTTTGGACCTGCTCATCCGGCCGCCCATGGTTGTTTGAGACTGATCACATACTTGGATGGAGAGGTTACTATTATCACAGCTATTATTTGCTATTATTTCATGATAATATTCATTTTACAGTATATTATACAGGGTCCGGCAATAGTGCGTCGGGCATCTGTACCTCATATATAGAATAAAAAACTTGGCAAAGTGCTAACCTAAAGCCGTGCCCTGTGGCCGTGCCTAAAGTATGTACTAGGATGTACGATGTACCGTATGATCGAAAAAAAAAACGGCGTCAGCGATGGCTATGAAATGAAAATCGCTATCACTTTATATGGGAAATGTCATCGATCGTTTCGGATCGATTTCCCAGCCAACTGGACGCCGTTTTTTTTCGTTCATACGGTATTTCAGGAAAATATTCTTCTACAGGGTGGCTCAAAGAAGTGTGAGTGGATCGGGATGATTTTTTTTAAATGGAACACCCTGTATATTATTGCATTTTTAGCTTCTTTTCAGATCACTTTACATAATCCTACGATATGAGTAAATTAATATATTTCGATAGTTTTAGAGATATTAATAAATAATTAAAAAATATGTATTTTTCAGATTTTCAGCCTTTCTTAAAAAAATTATTAAAAATACAAGAACTGTCCTGAAATCAAAACTATATTAGATAGGTATTTACTTTAGATGATCTGTACAAACTTTGCTATAAATATGGTAATCGTATACTATACAGAATGTTCAAAATTTTGCACCAAACTTTCTAAAATATAAAATAGTTTTTCTTTGTTTTTTTTTTAAATGGAACACCCTGTATATTATTTTTTCAATAGATGGAGAATTAAGAAATGAACATTTTTTGCATTTAGAGTATTTAATTTGTTTTAACAGTTTCGCAGATATTCGCGGTTTAATATTTCATATGGCATTTTCCATAGTAAATTTTTATCAAAGCCACCCAATGATTTTTCTCTCGTATTTTACCGTTGAGAGAGCCATATGAAATAATACTGCGTGTATCTGCAAAACCATTAAAATTTTTGAAATACTTTAAATACAAAAAATGTTCATTTTTTAATTCTCCATCTAATAAAAAAATAATATACAGGGTGTTCCATTTAAAAAAAAACAAACAAAAATTATTTTCTATTTTAGAAAATTGGGCGTAGAATTTTGAACATCCTGTATGATTTAAAATTACGATATTTATAGCAAAATTAAGTATAGACTATCTAAAGTAAATATCTAATATAGTTTTGATTTCAGGATAGTTCTTGTATTTGTAATATTTTATTTTAATGAAGGTTGAAAAATATATTTTTTTATTTATTTATTAATATCTCTGAAACTTTCGAATTATATTTTGTAGAATATACAATGTTAAATCTACATATTGTTACTACAAGTAATACTGTATCTATAAGGTTTGATAGTCGTAGTTTAGATAGTTACGGTGTCTACTTGTGTTAATAGTCGAAAGTGTCGAGAATAAGAGTTGACAGTTAAGTTTGTAAAGAAAACCCTTTTTGTTTCTTTTATCAGTTCTGTATTTAAAGTATTGTTTATTAACAATAAACTTTTACCTTTTATTGTTACTTTGATTCACGTCCAACAACAGGTTATTGGCCCAGTCAAGCCAGTGAAAGTACAATAAAAGAGTAATAAGTGTGAAAAAGAAAACAGGGTTAGAAAAGTCAACGCGGTGTTCAAGTTCAAAAAAATAAAAATGGAGAATCAAGGACAGATTGTAACAACATTAAAGTTAAATGGAGAAAATTGGGTCCCATGGAAGTTCCAGACGGCAGTTATCCTAAAAGGAAAAGGTCTCTATGACATAGTTACAGGAGAAAAAGTAAAGCCAGAAACGGAAAGCGAAAAATGGGTTAAAGACGATGCAAGAGCTCAAGAAATTATTGTTACACGAATAGAACAAGGTCCATTGACTCATTTATTGACTTGTGAAACATCGAAAGAAATGTGGACAAAACTCAGATCAGTTTACGATAAGGAATCAGTCGTAAGTATCCACTTGATGCAACAAAAGTTTTTTATGTTAAATTGTAGTCCAGACGATACAATATCGACATTTATATCTAAACTTGAAGATATAAGAAATAAGTTAAAACAAGCTGGAGAAAACTTATCAGAAAAAATGATGATTACAAAAATTCTAATGTCATTACCTGAAAGATATAGGCATTTCTGTTCAGCTTGGGAGTCAGTTCCCACTGAGAAGCAGTCACTTGATGAACTAACCTCAAGATTATTAATTGAAGAGGAGAGATGGAAGACAACAGAGCCAACAACCGCTTTAGCAAGTCTTCAGATAAAATGCAGAGAGCCCACACGGAAAGGGGGTGCAACAAAACAGTTTCAAGGAGTGTGTTATGTATGTCACAAACCAGGGCATATAGCAAGAAACTGTACGAAAAGAAAAGAGAGAGATCAAGAAATAAAGAAATGCACATACTGCAAAAAGGTAGGCCATCTACAGTCTGAATGTTGGCACAGAAAAAATAGAGAGAGACAAGACAAAAAGCAAGAGGAAAAGGTCGAAACAAATGCGTTCATAGGAACACCGAAGATGTTAAATGATTATGATTGGTGCATGGATACAGGAGCAACAGAACACATGTGTAGAAACAAAGACATGTTTGAAGACATGAAAATGACTGAAGTAAATAGAAAAGTTAAGTTAGGTGATGGAAATCTTTTAGAAGTCAAAGGTATAGGGACAGTTAGAGTATATGCAGATAATGGAGACGAGATTATACCAACAGTATTGTCAAACGTGCTGTACGTTCCCAATCTAAAGGTGAATTTATTTTCAGTTGGTTGTGTTTTAGATAAAGGGTTCACTATGGTATCAAATAGCGACAGATGTGAACTAAAAGATAAAAATGGAAAAGTAAGAGCAATAGCTGAAAAATCAAGTAAGCTATATAAGATGAAGTTTTCAAGAGTAAGCTATGGATGTGTAGCAGAAAGCTCTAATGAGAAAAAGCAAGACATTGTAACTTGGCATAACCGGTTGGCACATCAAGACATAAATCATATAAGAGACGTTCTAAGAAGAAGTAACATTAAATATAAAGATAATGAAGCAGAGTTTGTATGTGAGCGATGTCTAGAAGGAAAGCAGCATAAGTTTCCATACCAAGGAAGTGATTCTCGAGCGTCAAAGGTCCTAGAAATTGTACACGCTGATGTTTGTGGCCCCATGGAGACAGAATCACTTGGTAGTGCTCGCTACTTCCTACTACTAAAAGATGACTACTCTTCTTACCGCCATGTATACTTCATGAAGAACAAGTCTGAAGTAAGAAAAAACATTGAAAAGTTTATATTAAAAGCTGAAAACGAAACGGATAACCAACTGAAGGTCCTCAGAACCGACAATGGTCTTGAATTCACAAACAGAGAAGTCCAAGGAATGTTAGATAAAAGAGGCATTAAACATCAAAGGTCAGTGGTATATACTCCTCAACAGAATGGCAGAGCTGAGCGAGATATGAGAACTCTTGTAGAAGCAGCTAGAAGTATGTTAAATGGAATGAACAAGAAATTTTGGGCAGAAGCTGTGAACAATGCTGTTTACACCATAAACAGAACCGGAAAAAGTCATGTGAGTAACAAGTCACCTTATGAAGTTTGGTATCAAAAAGATGTCAGTCTAAACCAGTTCAAGGTTTTTGGTTCAAGAGTGTCAGTACATGTTCCAAAAGAACAGCGATTGAAATGGGATTCAAAGAACAAGATTGGAATTCTAATGGGTTACAGTGACACTACAAAAGGCTATAGAATTTACTTTGAAGATTCAAATAAAGTAGAAATATATCGTGATGTTGTATTTTTACCAGAGAAAACAGACCAAAAACAAATAGAAGTTACAGAACAAGTTAACAGTAGTTTTCAAAGCGAAAATGAAGAAGATACAGAAGAACCAGAAAGTGAAAAAGAGCAAGAAGAAAGACATGACAGGTACAACCTACGCCAAAACAGACAAAGACCATCCAGGCTTGATGATTATGATGTTCAATGGGAAGCCAGTTTCCTAAGTGTATATGAAGAGGATGAACCAACTACATATGAGATGGCAGTCACATCAAATGAAAAGGACAAATGGAAAGAAGCAATCCAAGAAGAAATTAAAGCACTGGAAGACAACGAAACATGGACATGCAATGAGAAACCTTATGAAAACAGAGTTGTTGAGTGTAAGTGGGTGTTCAAAAGAAAAAGAAATGAAAGTGGTAGTGTAGTGAAACACAAAGCTCGTCTAGTAGCTAAAGGCTTTCAACAGACTGGTATGTTATTTAATGACTTTTATAGTCCAGTAGCTAAGTTGCCATCCATAAGAATTTTCTTAGCAATTTGTAATTATCTTAAAATTGAAGTATGTCAGTTAGACATATGTAGTGCGTTTTTAAATGGTACTATTTCTGAAGATGTTTATATATCATTACCAAAAGGTTTTAAACAAAAAGAAGGCACAATTTGCAAACTAAGAAAATCCTTATACGGCTTAAAAAGTTCACCAAAAAGCTGGTATAATAAATTTCATAATTTAATGTTATCCTTAAAGTTTAAAAGATCTGAAAATGAATATTGTTTTTATGTAAAAATTTCAGAAACTGACAAATTGTACATTTTAATATATGTGGATGATGTATTACTAGCAGGAACAGATAAGAGTAAAGTTGAAAAAGTTAAGAATGCTTTAAAAGAAAATTTTAAATTAAAAGATTTAGGTTTAGTAAGTCACTTTTTAGGCATGATAATTAAACAAGATATAATTAAAGGTGAAACAATAATAAGTCAAACAAAATATGTAGAAAATATATTGCAAAAATATAACATGTTAGAATGTAAATCAGTAACAACACCAATGGATGTAAATTTCAAGCATGATATTTTAAAAAGAGATTTTTCAGAGAGTCCTGAAATCGAGAATAGATGCAGAATACTGATAGGTTTGCTTATGTACTTAATGCTATGTACTAGACCAGATTTATGTATAACAGTTAGCATTTTAAGTAGATATCAGTCTTGTGCTTCTATAGATCTATGGCAGTCATTAAAGAGAATATTAAGATATTTAAAAGGTACCAAAAATTTATGTTTAAACTTTAAAGTTCCAAATGAAGATATAAACATGTTAACGGGATATGTTGATTCTGATTGGGCAGGTGACAGAGTTGACAGAAAATCTACATCTGGGTATGTATTTAAATTGTTGAATTGTTCAGTATCTTGGTGCTCACGAAAACAATGTACAGTAGCCCTGTCAACTACCGAAGCAGAATACATTGCTCTGAGTTTAGGTGTAAGTGAAGCATGTTGGATTAGATATTTTGTACATGATTTCAAATTAGATAACGATTTTATTTGTGTAAAAATCTTTGCAGATAATCAGTCCGCTATAAAAGTTTCTAAAAATCCCGAGTTTCATAAGAGACTAAAACATGTAGATATAAAGTTTCATTTTGTAAGAGATAAAATTAATAATGGTGTAGTAACAGTTAATTATTTAAGTACTGATAACCAGATAGCAGATATGTTTACAAAACCATTAAGTTTATATATGTTTAATAAGTTTAGAAACCAATTAGGCCTAGAGATTTACCATTGAGGGGGTGTGTAGAATATACAATGTTAAATCTACATATTGTTACTACAAGTAATACTGTATCTATAAGGTTTGATAGTCGTAGTTTAGATAGTTACGGTGTCTACTTGTGTTAATAGTCGAAAGTGTCGAGAATAAGAGTTGACAGTTAAGTTTGTAAAGAAAACCCTTTTTGTTTCTTTTATCAGTTCTGTATTTAAAGTATTGTTTATTAACAATAAACTTTTACCTTTTATTGTTACTTTGATTCACGTCCAACAACATATTTATTCATATCTTAGGATTATGTAAAGAGATCTGAAAGGAAGCCAAAAATGCAATAATATACAGGGTGTTCCGTTTAAAAAAATGGAAATATTCATCCCGATCTACTAACCCTTTTTTGAGCCACCCCAGAAGTTAAAATATTTTCCTGACATACATCCTTGAACATAGTTTAGGTTTACACTTAAACAAAATTCCCAAGTTTTTTTATTCTAGGAGCTACAGATGCTCGACGCACTATTGTAGGATAAAAATTCAAAACTATTTTAATTCTTTGCGGTAACGCTAAAAAACACAGATTAGGTATACTATATGCTAAAATAACTAGTGATATTTTGGTGATTTAAATTATAGTTGAATAAGTTTAACGAGGATTAATTGTTTGTTGACTTCTATAGATAGTAAGAAGACTGGATCCTCACATTGGTTTGTTACATCGTGGCACAGAGAAACTTATAGAATATAAGACTTACGTGCAGGCAGTGCCATACTTTGATCGACTGGATTATATCTCCGTGTTATGTAATGAACATGCCTTTTGTTTAGCTGCTGAGAAGTTACTGAACATTGAGGTAATAGACCGAGAGAGTTGGCTACATAAAAAACCTTATCATCGTTACATGGCTAATTTTTTGTGTGAAGTATCCTTTTGTGTAGCAATTGTGAAATAGTCATGTCTGCCAGCGCGATCTCGGGGCTTAAAGCGGGGGCGGCGAATCGAAAGGGTGAAATTTGACACTAAAAATATTATGAGGTACACGAGTTATAATTGCCAAATAGTTTTTATTTATTATTAGGAAACGTGTAAAATTGTTGACAGACATTTTTCTCGTGGCTGAAATGCCGGCAGACAACGCGAAAGAGGCGAATTTTGATAAAAGAAAATCATCGCATACATGCATATGTCGGTTGGTGGAATGTCATGTTCATTGTTAATTAATTTAAAAAGCCGTATGCTGGAAAAGGGCAGACAAAAAATCGTTATTAAAATAATAAAAAAATATATTTATAATATAATCGTATATTATATGATTTATCTATACTTAAATGGATGAGGCGGCCAGCGTTCCCTGAAGAAAGCGCTAGAGTAATATCGCGCTTTTGATAACTGTCTGCAGCTGATTGAGCCACGATCTTTTTGTCTGCCCTTTTCCAGCATACGGCTTTTAAAATAAATAAATATGACATTTCACCAATCGGCATGCAAATATGCCATAATTTTTTTTCATTCTTCAAATTTCATTTTTTAATAATTTTTAAAATTTCATGCCTCTTTCGCGTTGTCTGTCGGCATTTTAGCGACTAGAAAAATGTCTGCCAACAATTTTCCACGTTTCTTAATCATAAATAAAAGCTATTTTCGCAATTATAACTCATGTATCTTATAATATTTTTAGTGTCAAAATCCCCCCCTTTCCAATTGGCCGCCCCCGCTTTAAGCCCCGGGATCGCGCTGGCAGACATGACTATTTCATAATGGCTACACAACAGGATACTTCACACAAAAAATTAGCCATGTAACGATGATAAGGTTTTTTATGTAGCCAGCTCTTAGACTATAATGGCAAAGAACAGCTTGTTAGTGACTAGCTATAGGCTTGGTGCATTCTCCGCCGGTGCTGCCACCGCCGGAGAATATTGTAAATAACGTATACATAATACATACAAATACACGGGTTTAAATGGGGAATAAACGAAAAAATTACTATATAATTATTCTAAAAGTGTTAGAAAGCATAATTTGTGGAAATTCTAAACAAAAAAATAACAAGGTAAATATTTTTATATCTTCAGAAATTTTTAGATGAGTTCGACTACGGTAGCGAGCATAGTTTTAATCACCGGTTTTGCTAGTGTGGTCATAATTGGCGGGGCTATTTCGGCTATAACGATTTTTTTTAAAGGTACATAATTATCATTTTAGAAGATGTTCATAAAACATTAGCCGATTAAAAAAAGTATACCATTCATATTGCAAATTATATTTTACCCTCTTATAGTATATACCTACTAATATATGTCTATTTAATTTTCTGATTATGGTCACGAGCACTTTGCTTACTCACTTAATTCGTCGAACTGCTTGAATCTATTTTTGCTTTTTATCAAATCGGCGTGAGAAACTATGAAGCAATAAAATGTTGTTTCGGGAGAGTTGAATATCCGGGAAAGTTGAGTTATTGAATGTTATTGCACCCAACAACGCCTTAATTACGCTCTCCTTTTACGCGTGAACATTTTTTTGGGCCATTCTATTAACATTTGAAATTGTCACAACACAACAAGACGCCTACTTCGAATTCTTTTTCACTTATTTTTTACTACCCGAAACAGCGTTACATCACACAAACCTCGTACCCGAGTGTTGTGGTTTTATAGTCTCAATAACTACCCTAGCAAAAAACTAAAATACTTATATATTATGACAAAACCCCGATTTCAATATTATTTTATTGCGATCGACATGAGGCGGCATGAACTTGTTACGTTTTTCGTCGGTTCCGTGTGGATAGAAAGTCACAATTTATTTAAACACTATTTATTTAACACTAATTAACAAAAACAATAACGATAAAAGACTTATAGAACTATTTACAAACGATTTATAAGTAAGAATTTATTTTGAATTTTAGCACGTCAACTGCACTGGTATATTTATAACTGCCCCCTATAGGCCACAGCCGCCGGTAATATACCGACAGGTAAAGAACTCTAGAATAGACCATAGATCGTTAGGTGCGTAGAGAAGGTTTTCGAATCTTCTCGTATGTACTAGTCCATTCCAGTGGGACTCGATTCTTCTCGAACGAATGAATCATTACGGTGTCTATTCTTTAATGCGATGTTAAGGTCATCTGAGGGCGGGACATATAGTTAGGTTAGGTCGAGTCCACACGGGTCCGCAACAATATATTGATGATTTCCGATTTCTGGTGCGCTGCGGTCGGAATTTGTTGAAATCAACTGAAATGCATCAAGCCTATAGATTATTGTCGTGGCTTACTCTAAAGCGGCCTATATATTCAACTTGGTTGATCCAACGGTTGGTCCAACGAAATTGGATATTGCCTCCACACTTAGACAGGGTCGCTGATATGTATGGGAACAGTCGATTATTAGGTAAAATATAGGAGGTACCGCAAAAAGTTAAATATAAAAGTTAAAGGGTTTTTAAATAGCTATTAGCGGGTAATAAATTTAAGTATTACAGGGTCAGTCATAAAGTCGTGGCACATCAAAGTTTCATTTTTTTAAATGGAACCCCTGCATATTATTTCATATTCGGTTCTTCCCTTAATTTGAAAGCAAAAATCGAGATACACATAATGTACCTCAAACCAACCGTTTCCGAGTTATTGACTTTTAGAAATATCACTTAAACAATTCGATTTAATTAATTTCGATGTGTTTGGTTTCATTTAGCGATGCCATTCTGCGGAAACTGTGATACTTATTAATACTTTATAGTTTTCAAGTTAGCATTTATACACTCACCGACAAAAAAAAAACCGGTCACTACAAACTAGTCCCAATTTCAGAGTTGGATTTCTCGCGAACCACACATTAGATTTTGATGATTTTTTTAAAATTGTAAATTAATTCCTTCTTAACGGGTGCTACGTCAGAAATTTTTATTCCGAATTTATTTTGAGCATATACAGGGCACAACAATAAGACGAAGTTTTTTGCTTGAACTTTGTGACACCCTGTAGGGTGCAGCAGCTGTAGTAGCAATTGCTAAATCAAATCACATTGTAGCCTCATCTTTTGTGAGTATTTTGTTTTTATAATCACGACATTATCTCTGTTTGTATTGGAGATATACTGCTTTAAAACGAACGTCTCGGAAAAATGCTTTGCAGGCAAAACCGCGATCAAACCAATTCACATGTAAAGGCGCAAACTCAAGACATGCTCGACGATGTCTTGGAAGTTGCTGGGTTCCTGTGGTAGGCCTCCTTGAAGACAAGCTGTTTTCTTTTAGTCTTCGTTGGATTGTTCTCTCAGTGACTTGAGTTCTACGCACGGCTTGTAGCAGATGTTGATTCTGGAATGCTGTAATTCTACGATTTCGTAAAGTAATCAGGACAATAAAGCGACCGTCAATTGCATTTGCCTTCCCTTTTCTTCCGAAACCCACTCGCCTGGTGCAATTTCCCGTTTCCATATACCGATTCCAGGCATCTTGGACTGTTGTTCGAGATATGCCCAGGGTATCGGACACATAACGTTGACTTCGGCCATCCTCAATTAAAGCAACAATACGGGCAACATCCGTCACAGATAATGGAATTTTTTAATTTGACAACCGTTGTTGTTATATTGCAAATACTCATAAATCCGTTTTCGCCTATGTCGCCGTGAACATAAAACTTTCTGCCTCCGAAGCAATTTTCCGAGACGTTTGTTTTAAAGCAGCGTATCTCCAATAAAAAGAGAGATAATGTCGTGATTAAAAAAACAAAATGCTCACAAAAGATGAGGCTACAATGGGATTTGATTTAGTAATAGCTACTACAGCTGTTGCACCCTACAGGGTGTCACAAAAAGGGGGTCGATCAAAAAACTTCGTCCTCTTGTTGTGCCCTGTATATGCCCAAAATAAATTCGGAATAAAAAGTTTCTGACATTAAGCATCCGTTAAGAAGGAATTAATTTACAATTAAAAAAAAATCATCAAAGTCTAATTAGTGGTTCGCGAGAAATCCAACTTTGAAATTGGGACTAGTTTTCAGTGGCCGGTTTTTTTTGGCCGGTATTTCAAACTTCATAATTCGGAAATAGTTGTTGAATTTAGGAACATTATGTTGTATTACGATTATATACATGCCTTCTATTTTATTAAAAAGTAAAAAAAAATCGGCTTTTGCACTTATTGTGTGTTATAAAAAAATGAAGATTATGAACTAAATGCTTGATTGTTGTAATAATAATAATACGGTGTTCAATTCAAAATATTCCCCAATATAAAGGCTTTTTGTAACGTAAACATTGTACATGTATTTTAACCATATTTTTTTTAAGTTACCAAGAAGAGCCAAATATATCAGAACCTTGTTTGCTGAACTTACAAGACTAATGAATCATTTGGCGTGTACATCGTTCTTAACACTGGACGTTGGTGCTATAACTCCCTTATTTTGGTTATTCGAAGAAAGAGAGAAGCTATTCGAGATATGCGAAAGGGTATGCGGAAGTAGGATGCATTGCGGATATTTTCGAATCGGTGGAGTAGCTCAGGTTGGGAGAGTTTTGATGTTAGGCCATAGAGAAAGATAATAGAATTCTTTTTATTACTTTCTCTATGGATAAATTTTGTCCAATGAACTTGTTTTGATTCTAAAAACACGTAGTAGTTACAAATGTCCACAAAATATTGAAACACCCTGTATACCGAGTACGTCTCAAAAGTGGGTCGCCCTTATAACTTTTTTAGCCGACCATACCAACAGATATGGTAGGCTATTAAGATCGACAAAAAAAAAAATTTTAATTTCACTCAAAATGAATTATTTGGGTCATAAATGACCTAAATACAAAATATTTTCATGGTGTCTGTCTGTCTGTCCGTCTGTAACACGATAAACTCACAAACCGCTAAACCGATTTTAACTTGATTTTAACCAAATTTGGCACAAAAATACTGTGCCACCACTACCACCCGAGAATCTGGCTATTAGTTTTTGGTGGGGGTGGGGGGTTGGTAAGGGGGTATGGGAGGGAGTTAAAAATTTAAAAAAATCGTAACTCACAAAATTACAGTACCAAGCGAAACGCGGTTTTCAATTTAAGATTAGGAATAATATTTGCAACAAAATTTGTAATAACATCAAAATCAGTCAAAGTCGCAGTTTTTGAGATATTCCGTGTTTCCGTAGTCCGTTTTTGAGAAAATCCGTGTGGAGAACTCCAAACTCCTATCGGACGCGACCCCAGATGGCGGATAGGGGAAATAACCGCGGACCAAAATTGGAAAAATTCCTTTACTTTGAAACTAAAAGAACTGCCTACCAACTTTTTATTAACATATTTTGGTATGGGCGGCTATACGTGCCTCCTCTTTCAGATAAAAAAAACGAGATTTGGTATGTTAGTATATGACATAAATTAGGTCACTTGCTGTTTCACCGCAAACGACTACAGCTTTTGATTTTTAAATGGTACCCTCGGTATATTTCTACTTTATTCGATAGAAAATATCAACCTTTGACATTTTCGCATATGGTTTATTTGAAAATGTAACATGCGGTTTATAACGATAATTTGACTCGAAATACCAAGTGTGTGGTACCAAATTATTCGTAAAAAAATGCCTTTTTTAAATATGCTAATGAGCCACCCTTGTTCCATTTGAAAAATTTGAGATATGATTAAAAATACGATAATTTGGGCATCTTTTAACCGGTCAGGACAAGACATAAAAAACATTAGACGATCAAAACTATTTTTCCAAGATTCCTTGATTAAAAATTAGTGTTTTTAACACTGCCATGGCACTCTAGATTGAAATTTAAAATACGATTTGTTTTTAAGCGAAAATGCCAAAAGATTATATTATATGTCATTTAATTCAGAGTGTCAACACGGTGTCAGTTTCTATAATCGTATAAAATAAAAAAAACGTCGAGTATGCCATCATTTCCGGTGAAACAGGAAGTGACAAAAAATAATTGAATACGTCAATCAATCCTAATTTACGTCATATACTAAACATACCAAATCGCGTTTTCTTATCTAAAAAATAAAAGAGTTATAAGGGTGAGCCACTTTCGAGATGCACCCGGTATACTTATTATCTCTGTGTCACAGATTTATGTACCTAAATCAATAAAATAAATTAATTTGTCAGGATATGCCTTTGGGTCTCATGGACGATATATATGAACTTGTTAAAAAATTGCCCGAGCGTTTGGATGAAGTAGAAGATCTAGCTTCGCACAACAGAATGTTTATTGCCAGGACAAAAGATATAGCCGTAGTTACAGCACATGAAGCACTAAATCGAGGATTTTCGTAAGAATGTTCGGTTATTTAAAAGGAATATCATATAATCAATTCAGCAAACTTTCTTATTAATAACGAGTAAAGCTTGATTTTCATGCCTCCGTTGTCCGACGATACGATATTAATTTTATTGGTTGCATTTAAAGATTTCGATTGGTTAGAAAATCCCCGTTCATTGGATATACGATTTGCTTGTGATTGGTGTCATTTTATATTTTCATTTCCATAACGATTTCGCTGTTTCACTTACAGTCTAAGAGCTAGCAACGTTTTCGAGAGAGAATTTTAAGAAAGCTGGTTCTTTAATATATCTTTTGCTATGCTCTCCTGAACAGAGTGCGGACTGTCTGGCTGCCGGTAGACGTTGCGTTTACTACTGCGCATCATATCTGTTTTTAGATCTGTTCACTGCTGCGCATCACAAATTCGCCCTGTATTTCAGGAACTAAGGAGGCTAGGACAAACCTATGTCTAGCATATTTAGTTTCATAAGTGATTTAAAAATCGCATCATTGTATCACGGGTAGTCTTAGCGCGCCATTAAGCGGCCTATACATTATCAAACAAATTGCGCAAGGTTGCGTTGTACAACTCCATAATCACCTATTAATCACTAACGGTAACATTTTGATCAACTTTTTTTTATTAAAAGTTGTGCATTGTTCGAGAACTAAGCGACGCGACGCGACGTCTCGCTAAAAAAACCGGCTAGCAACTAAAATATTGCACAAGAAAGCGCAACACACACATACATTACGCATTGCTACTCACACACAACGCGTTGCGCAAACAGTCCCGTTTCACAAAAGAATTCAAACATTTTTCAAACTTAACAAACAATTGCGCGACGCATCAAACAGGGCCATACACGGGCAACTTGTTGCATAACAGCCTGCATGTGTTGCGCAAATTGTTTGATAATGTATGGGCCGCTTTAGATTATCAATTAATTTCTTAAATTAATTGCCCATTTAGAGGCCCTATGTTAAGAGCATCAGGAGTAAAATGGGACATACGGAAGGCTAAACCTTATGAAGTTTACGATGAACTAGAATTTGATGTCATAGTAGGGACGAATGGAGACGTATATGACAGGTATGTTTTTATTTTTTTATTGATCATCGATATTATCAATATTTCAGTCACGACTTCTAGGAAATATAAATTAGTTAGTTGTTAGCATGACCCTTGTCTATAATCCATATTCAAGGGTATGACCAGGATTGCGTATACAGAATTGTTCGCCACATACACAATGTCAACATATACAATGAACACCTTGTATATTTTAGGGAATCAGATGCACAGTTTAATTGTCTATCAATTTGTATTATACCATTTTTTACCTATCCCTTCAAGTTTCCGTAGAAAATGCATTTTCTTATAATTTAGACCTCAATAATCAATATACCAATGGAATATTTACATTTTAGATTGTTATTAAAGCAACAAATGTACAATATGTACAGCTGCTAAAAACGATGATATTACTAGCCCACTTGTATACAAAAAGAAAACAATTAAATCTTTATAAAAGAGTATATCACATTATTTCCATATACCACATTATTTCCATATACCACATTATTTCCGCCCAAATATTAATTAATTACATATACTTCATTGTGTTTTTGTGTTAATAAATTATTCTTAATAAATGTGGATATGAATCAGAAATCAATATAATAATAAGTTGAAAATGAACGTTTCTGTTGTTATAAATAAGCATTCGTCAAAAAATTAAATAAAAATTTTTAAGGTGTTACTTTTTACCACACTGTCTAATACACATACAAAATTTAGTTTTTTAGTATTTGGAGCAATTATTATATTATTAATCAACGCAAAGAGTCAATTAATGTAGTTTAAATACTGGAATCATGTTGATTGGTTCTCTTTAACAAATATTTATGTAAATATTTTTTTTTTATTTTTTAACAAAATGAACTATATCGACAATATTAGTATCTGTACTCTTTAAAAATTTGTTCCGTCTTTAAAAATAATCTAAAATGTAATGTCAATATTCCATAGGTATATTGATAAATCAAGGTCTAAATTATAAGAAAATGCATTTTCTACGAAAACTTGAAGAGATAGGTAAAATGGCATAATATTCAATTTGGTAGACAATTAAATTGTGCATCTGATTTGCAAGATATCCATGTAAATTAAACAAGTTACTGCTGTTTAAGGCTAATAATTATTTAAAATAAATTTTTAGACACTCTGTATTAAGGTAGTATAATTTGTATTATTGCAACACAAAATTTAGTAAATAGAAATACTTCAGTACAATAGGTATTTGGTTTTAAAAATTTAAAAACGCCTAAAAAAATGAAGAATTAAAATTATTACTGTATTTTGACAAAAACTTAAATATTTCAAAAACAGTAAGATTAAAATGAGGTAAACCTTAATCAAATTTACCTTTATTTTAATCGTAGAAACTAAAAATGTAATACATATATATATATATATATATATATATATATATATATATATATATATATATATATATATATATATATATATATATATATATATATATATATATATATACAGGGTGCTACAAATTCGAGGTACGAGCATTGGTATCTCGGTAACCGTAATTGGGGCAAAGTTGCGCTTTGGGATGTTCACCAAGATGCCATCAAAAGAGTTTCAAAAATTTCAAGGATTGCTGAGTTTTTTGGAAAAAAACGGATTTTTTTGAAAATCAATTTTATTTTTTTCTGTCGTTGCTTTTTAGAAAATCAAAAAACTAATTGCACATTCTCATTGCCACTTTATTAGGGCTATCTGATATATTTTTATATTTTCAAATTAGCTGATAATGTGTGAGATACAGAGGCCAACTTATTTTTTTTAAATACGGACCTGCATTTTTTATTTCAGGTTAAAAAAATAACAGGTTAAACTAATTTCAAGTCCGGCTCTGTTTTTTAAATATTTAATCTATTCATCGTTACAATATTGATAAGCTTTCAAACTTAATAATGACGTGGGGTAAACCATTGAATACGGAAAATCAAATGCAATAAAATTTTAAGATATTTTTATTTATTTGGGACACTCTGTATCTTGTAAAAATATTTTTAAACTAGTTGAAGCCTGGCGCATCCGCCACGATATGAGGAAAAAAATACATTCGTTGAATTAGAAATTGCCTTTTTAGATTTATTATACGCATAGAAGAAATGAGACAATCCTGTAGGATGATCCACCAGCTCTTGAGTAAAATGCCCGAAGGAGAAATTAAAGTTGACGACAATAAAATATCCCCTCCTAAAAGAGCCGAAATGAAGGCAATTAATGAAATAAATCAATTTAATTTGAAACTAAACAATACATTTTTACAGAAGTCGATGGAAGGAGTAATCCATCATTTCAAGTTATTCTCCAGAGGGTTTAATGTTCCTCCAGGATCAACATACACAGCTATAGAACATCCTAAAGGTAAAATTCTTCTTCTAATATTTTTTTTTAATTTATTTACGGGAAACCCCATTACATTACAAAATTTACAAAACAATATAAAAAAAATGTCTATTCTTTTTCTGTCACATCGTATAAAGATACATAAAAACATTAAAAAATAATACAAAAAAAAACAATAAACACTTATAAAAGAAGAACGGTACAGTAAAAAGAAGAATTAACACACCCATCAATCACCACTCCCATTTCTAATCATCCTCCTAAATGCCCAATAAGTGTCATTAAAAATGTCAACATCATGAAACTTGTTCAGAGAATTAAGTGCCCTTGGAATTGGAGAGTGCTTTCCATAATTTCTGATTTGACGAGGATGCAGCAGGAACATTTGAGAAAGATGAGAGAGGATTTAAGAAAATTGCAAGAAGAAGGATGTTCAACCAAAACAATCAAATATGTGAATGGCAGTCTAAGGATAGTTGAGAAGACAAATTGTTGAATTGCGGAGGTGGCAATAAAGAATCAATTTCAGTTTGTTATCAAAACGTTCGCGGCCTTCGCACCAAGTGCAGGGACTTTTTGTTATCAGTTGCAATTTCGGATTATGATATTATTTGTGTGAGTGAAAGTGGTCTGAACGAGAATTTCAACGATGGTGAATTGGTGAACTCTTCATATTCTGTATTCAGGAAAGATAGGAGCAGCACTAAAAGCTCTAAAAATCGCGGAGGGGGAGTCCTAATAGCATGTAAGAACATTTTTAATGCAATAGAAATATCTTCCACAAGCAATAATGTTGAACAAGTTTTTATTAATTTTACATATAACCATTGTCAATACATAGTTGGTTGTACTTATATACCACCAAACTCTCCTTTAGAAAGTTACACAAATGATATGTCAGACGTCAGTCATATTATGAGTAAATACACTAACTGTAAAACTTGTATCTTCGGAGATTATAATCTACAGAATTTACAGTGGGATCCTCTTGACGAATGTGCAAAAAATGCCACTTTTTTTAAAAGAAATTGCCTTTTGTGATGAGAGTGTCAATTTTAGGATTATTTCAATTAAATTATATTAGAAACGCTTTTGGTGTCATATTTGATCTCTGTCTAATTAACATTCAAACAACAGTTAATAAATGTAGGGGAAACCGGGGGAATCCCGCGCACGGGGGAATACCGCGCACGCCGCTGTAGAAAAAACTACAACTAGTAATACACAGGTGTGAGGCTGGAAGTGTTGCATAAGCCATATGAAGTTTGCTTCAAAAGTTTGGAATAATTGCCGGCAGTCGTTAACCAATAACTAACATTTTAGTACTAGATGGGTTTTTCATCTATCTTTTCGGCAATTTAATCGGTTGATGATTAGTAGTTCCTGTGATTATTAAAAGCAGCTTGATTTTATTTCCACTTACCAGTGCACCTATAAGTGTTATTGCAAGCGATCACCAATAAAATGTAAGTACTTTTGCTAAAATAAATGTTTAGGTAAAAAACGGCTCCCGGGGAAATACCGCCCAAAAACAAAACAAACAATAACGCACTGCGCGGTATTACCCCAAATGTGCACTCTTCTTGTTTATTTTTTTATGGCTTGTTTTTTTTAGTTTATGATGCCAAGAATATACCAAAAGGCATCAGAGAAAGGCAAATGGTCAGCGGATGCACTTAAATCAGAATTGGAAACTATGGAAGAAAAAAGAAGAGGGAAAAAAGAAAAAAAGAAGCAAGTAATGTAAATATGAAGGAAAAGAGAAGAGACAAAAGGCAGAAAAGAGAAGCCAATATTGTATTGAAAAAAAAACTCTCAATAACTTTAGAAAGTAAAAAAATCAACAAGAAGCCAAAGCACATTCGCAATATTAAGTTTGATGACGATGATACTAAACCTGAGAGTTATTCTGAAAGCGAGCTTTGGTGTTGATGATGACTTAGACGAAGTTGATTCTTTCCCAACCCATGAAGATGACATCTGTTTAATTTGCGGAGAGTTTGGAAGGGACAACGAGGTTAGGTATCGCTGTAATTCCTGCTCAGAGTGGGCCCATGCTGCTTGTAGTGGAAAGGAGAAAGGAAAAATCTACTTGTGACTACTGTTGCTAGGTAATAGTTTATTTTTTATATAAATATCTGTGTTAGAATGTGTTTTTTATATTAATATACAATAATGTATCTTTACTTTTGTTCTCACTATCATCTTTTTTATTATTTGTGTTATCTATATACCTGTATTTTATGTACAATAAAGTCTTAGTTAAACTGCCTTAAAATATCTCAATGCGTGCCATTCCCCCAGACCATGCGCGGTATTACCCAATGTTGCAATAGTTTGTATTTGTTGCAATGTTGCAATAGTTTGTATATTGTATCAATACTCCTCATAGAAAAAATTACCTCATAAAAAAAATTAACATCAATCTAGGAGCTATTTTGTTTATGTGCGCGGAGTTCCCCCGGTTTCCCCTACTGACAGAGGTCAGAGCAGAGGTACTGACTGGGTCGACCGGTCGACTGCGACAAATCTGCTATATCCCCTTCCACGTCTCTTAGCAATGTGCACAGCACAGTTTCTCGATTTATTTCATACGTTTGGCAACGTGTTTACTGTTCTCTCTTTGTTCAGTACATTATAAACGCATTGTACTCTTCTTACATACGGAAATCTCGACCCAAGACGCCAGCCCTTAGTATACATACGCAAAACTTTTATTCTTAATCTAAGAGCATTCTGTCGATACGCAAAACTAAGCGAGTGCTAACTAAAAATGGAGCAATTGCCCTCTGTTATTTTTTGGATGTGGTCTGTCGAAATAACGTAATCTCTCCAGACAGACTATGCTGTTGTAAAATTAAATGTGTTTTAGGTGAATTTGGAGTATATCTGGTATCGGATGGCTCCTCTAAACCGTACCGTTGCAAAATTCGAGCTCCAGGTTTTATTCACCTCTCTAGTCTAGATCATATGTGCAGAGACTGTTATTTAGCAGATACTGTTGCTGCTTTAGGTATTTGATTAGTTTTTACGGCAACTCAGTAAAATTAATTTTTGTTGCAGCTGCATTGGATATTGTATTTGGTGACGTTGATAGATAAAGAGAAACTAGAAATGTACAATAAAAGTTTGCGTAAACAATTTAAAAAATATTATAATATGTACTTTGTTATAAGAATATATTTTGAATATTTTGTTATATATTAAAATTGTTTTATTAAATATTTTAAAATAATACAGAAAAATATCTAAAACCAACAAATAATTTTTGTAAAACTGTCGTCATATTATATTCTGATTTTTATAAGGAATTCTATTTTTGGTAGATATTATTTGAGAAGGCAGAGTTTTATTTTATATTTTAACTATTGCGATAATGGTATACTTTATTTGCTTTGGAGTCGTAGGGAAGTGGGCCTACTTTTAATTAATACACAGACCTTATCATAGCTTGTCCTTAATTCTTATTTTTTTATTATAACGTTTAAAAATTAAAAGTCCTTCACCATCGTGTCAAAAATCATGTGGACAATTTTAAAATATTTGTTTTGTACAATTCTTGTACCGTATGATCAAAAAAGAAACGGCGTCAGCGATGGCTATGAAATGAATCATATAATGTAAATGTAAATGAACATTTGTAGATCGCTGTAAAATGACAGCGATATATAAATTTATATGAAAAATTTCATTGATTGTCATTTCCAGCTAACTGAACGCCGTTTTTTTCGATCATGCGGTATATTATGTAAAAAACCAAACAAGGGAATGTATTTTTATTTCATTCCACACGCATTTTTTTAACTAATAATTTTGTCGTTACCTGTACACTAATACACTAGAACATTTGTTTATTATTTTTTTAACACTATTAACACCCCAACATTTGCAAAAATTTTTTTCAAATTTAGTTTAGTTTAGAATTTAGAATCTTGTCTTTTTTCTAATGATTTAAATATTAACACAGATTTTAAGCATTATTTTGTTAACGTATTTTACCTTCACCATATTGTCAAGGATAATATCAAATGATAAAAAAAACGGCATCGGTGATGGGTATGAAATGAAGATTGCTGTCATGTTATATGTAAATTTATATGGGAAATGTCATCGATCGTCATTTCCCAGCTAGCTGGACGCCGTTTTTTTCAATCATACGGTAATTTTAGTGTATCAGATTTTAGTCGGATGAAGAAACCTGTAAATGACCAGGTCTTACTTTTCAAACACAGAGGTCACTGAGGTAGAACAAATAAAATCAAAGTCAAATGTCAACCCTGCCCATATCATATGATTTTTTGACATTGACGTTAATTTTCGACCATCCAAACACACTCCTTCAATTCATTTAACAAAAATTAATATTATTTCTTAAAAGAAAAAGTGTAAAAGTATTAAAAATGGGTGCAGCAGCTTTGCCTTTTATTATATTTACGGTTTTGTGGGGTGGTGTTGGTATTGTTTTACCGATAATCGTACCCAAAAACCCGAACAGGGGGTAAGTTTTCTTAAGAGAATAATGTTTTCTTAATAATAACTTATTTATTATTTCTATTTAGCATTATCCAAGTTATTTTGATGTTAACTGGAGCATGCTGTTGGTTATTGTAAGTATTTAGCGTATTTTTTTCGTGTCATGTGATTTAAAACAAAGATCATTTATGTATTCGTTTCGAAGCAGTATACTTACATAAAGCTGTACCTTTGTGTATACAAAATATGCATATTAATATTTAAAAGCATATGATTAAAGTATAAGCGAAAATTTCTCAAAATCTTTAAGCACACCCTTTTAATATACTTTAATTATTAGTCCTTGTTATATTCAACATTTTATGTATTATTTTATAGCTGGTTGTGTTGCTACGTGGCTCAAATGAACCCCTTAATAGGGCCCAGATTGGACAAACATACGATCCTGGTCATGGCTCGAGCATGGGTAATTTTTCTAAATACAGCCAATTTCGATAAATACCTATATGGTATATTTTTTGTTTGTTTTAGGGTAATCCACTGAACTAAAACCATTTCGTATTTGATTACCAGGAAGAAATTAAATTAGAATTATATTAATTTGTTTTACTTTTATTTGTACAGTATTTCTCTACATTTTAGGAACATATTCCACGTTTACAGTCCCCATATTTTGTAGAATGTACATATATTTCAGTCTATATTAAATTTTGTTTTTCCAACAGTTGTTCTTTTGATTTAAATATATGTATGCGACTTTATGGATAAATTAGTAAGGTAATATTAAAAAATCAAATTCTGAGGTAAATTTTTATTTTAAATATTTTTTATACACAAAAGTCTTAGGGGTAAAAATTATTACAATAGGGGAGTTGTTATTGTATTACATTTAGGTTTATAATTGTGTTTTTAAAAACTTCTTTATTGAGTATGTTATGAATAACAGGTGGTATAGTAAATTTGTTAAATGATATAAATAAGAAAATTTATTTGTTACTCTCAAATACAATTTTCTATTTTCAATCATTACTTTTCAAAGCCCTGAAAAAAGAACAAAAATCAATATACAACAGTTTTCTGACATCTGTCTCCTATACCTAGCATTTTATATGGGGTAATTTACAAATATATTCTATAAACGTATAATTTTACATATTCTTTAAAAAGAAATTTATTTCAATGCTAAATTAAAAGATAATACTAAATAAATACTTCAGGTTGATTTCAAACAGTTTTAATATTATGAAGATGGTAGATATGCAGTTTTTTTTTGAGATATTTATAGGAACTCAGTATATTAAAGTGTCTTTAATAATTTAAAACAGCTGCCAGTAAATAAATTAATCTCATATATTGTCAGTTATTTATGCATATCTACCAGATACAGTGGATACAAAATGAATGAAAGTAGACGAAAAATATAAAATGTACAGGGGGACACAAAAACTATTTGGTTCCAACTATTAACTAAAAAATGTTACGAATATTAAAAATAAATTATTAAATAAAAAAATATATATTGTTATTCTTGGGTCTCCTTGTACTTTAATATCATGTGAATATATATACAGGATATGATTAAAATTAAATATAATATATTAAATAAATGGATGATAATTGAAAATATGTAGTGCCAGTCTGATTTTTATATATACTTTTTTATTATTAGTGAGCAAGAACATTAAATTAAAAGTTGTAAATAAATAAAGATTTAAGATAATTGATGGGCACTGCACATTTTTTACAGACATAAATACAGGTTTAAAACAATACAAAATTGTAATTAAATGTGTTTTACACAGTGAACAAAGAAAAGCTTAGAGCAAAGGTTGTGGGTACCTTTGGGATTTTAGCGCCACTACATACATTTCTAACGATTGGTGGGGTGTTTTTTAGTGTTTTTCTTTCTTTTTCCATTTCAGCAACATATATTGTATCAAATTTAATTTTTATTCAGTTCCAATTTTGAATTTTATAATTTGTAAAACATTATTTTATTAAATATAAAGAAAATTTATTTTTGGCAGTATCTATATTTTGACAAAAAGGAATAAATATATTTTTTAAGATTTGCGTTATAGGGATTTATAAAATTTAAGCCAATTTAATATATACTAATTTAATAAGGGTATTTTTTTACTATAAACAACTAAATGCCATTGGTTCTATATAAATGTTGGATTAAGTAGGGTTTAATATTTTGGATTTCCAATTTTTTTAAATAGAGCTGAATTATTTGTATTAAAATAAATATTTTTGCAGACACTTTTAACGGTCGTTATAGATAACGTTGGTTATAGATAATAATATATAAATGCGTAATAGCTTAATCAGGGTTGTTTAGAAGCAAATTAATATAATTTTGAGGAAATGGCAAGAAAGTATCCAAGTGTCTACAAAAAATAAACTATAAGAAACACTAATAATATAAAACGATCTTAAATACGTTAGGTGAGCCCTACCAAAGTTGAAGTTGGTCTAAGTGTAGATGCATACGTTGTTTAATCCACAGAATTGCCAAATACACGAACGACGTTATGGTGGTGAAGTAGAGGAAAGCGGACAGTAGACATTTTTTGTCGTGATACTGAAAAAAAAAAGATTATGTATTACCTGGGTATTACTAATACTACCAGCTTTTACCAATGCTGTTTCAGTATTGTTTATATTTAAAAAAAAAATTAAAAAATTTGTGTAACTAAATGAAAAATACCATTATCTTACACAAGAAACAAGAAAAACCATAATTAATTCAATAAAATTGTTATTTGAAAAACAAATTACGGGCAAGCTGATTTTTTCAGAGTTTGTCAGCGACTGTCTTCTGAGTGTAAAATAAACAAAATCCGAAATTTTCCCCTTGCGGTTTTTGAACAATAGGGGTGGTTTTTTTTAAAACTGTACTACAACAAAATAATTAGACGCAAATTGTACATAAGAACATTCTCTATAAGTTCGCTTAATGATTTTTCGGGTGGTTTTCAAAAAATTTGTTTTACAGCAAATTGACCCGTATGAAAGTTGTTCATAATAAATGGACAAGCAACTTTTCCTCCGATATTTTTTGTAGCTTCATTATTTTTGGAGATAGCTTCCAGTTCATGAATAAATTGGGGTAGTTTCATAATTTTTGTTTAGTTTTACAAATTTACCAACTTATATTCATATTAAAATTACATGCAAACTTCCCTATGACAAGTATTTATTTCCCCAAAACGAAACATGGAATTCATCCAATGAATGCATATTATGATTTTTTTTTATTTGTATCGTCTTCTTTTGTGTGATGGACCTGGCGCATGGCGTTGGCTCCTCAGAGTTATTGTTGGTTCAAAAAAAGTTCATAGGGCAAAGGTCTATTACTAACTCTTATTTTGAACGAGTCTCCTAGGGTGAATTTGTTGAAAAGAGTAACATTGAAACTACCCTAATTTGTTCATGAACTGGACGCTATCTCCAAAAATAATCAAGCTACAAAAAAAATTAATGAGGAAAAGTTGCTCGTCCATTTATTATGAACACCTTTCATACGGGTCAATTTGCTGAAAACAAACTTTTTGAAAACCACCCCAAAGGGCTCATAAAACGGCCGCTAAGTCCGGAAATAATAAACATATAAAAAATCATTAGGTGAACTTATAGAGAATGTTCTTAAGTACAATTTGCGTCTAATTATTTCGTTGCAGTACAGTTTAAAAAAACACCCTCAATTATTGCTCAAAAACCGCAAGGGGAAAATTTCCGATTTTAATTTTACACTCAGAAGACAGTCGCTGACAAACTGAAAGAATCAGCTTGCCCGTAATTTTTTTGTCACTCTTTATACGGCGATACAATTTTACTGGATTATATGGAACTCAATTTTCACCTTCTCTAATATAAGATAACCAAGATACGAGGTAAGTCGAAAAATGCAATAACTTAAAATTCGCCCTGTATCTCAGGTAATAAGAGGGCTGAGACCTTTGGATAAAAAGATTAAGGAAGGAGCATATCAAAAATCTTAGATCGAACGCGACGGGCTCCTAAAATGACTTAAATTCCGGTTTATCAGTGCCGTTCTAATTTTATTCAAAACTTGCAAAAAAATGATGTAGGGTAGACTCAATAATTAGTTGTTTTATTTTAAGTTGTCAATAAATATAGGTAGTTATTAAAATTCTTATAAAAATATACAATTCTAATAAAAATAGGTAAGTTATAATAATTATTTGTTAACACAAACATCCGATACGCTACTGAAGCAGGCAAGTCAAATTGACGTATCAAATTCTTTGACATCTTTGACAAGTAGTAAATAAAAGCAAAAATGCTAGAGAAAATATATAATTAGTTAATTTTAAGTGAATTTCATAGATGATCGTTTTACTACACTTTTGTATATTACGAAAGTAGCGAAAAGTTATTCCATTATTTCCCTGGATTTTTGACCGAGATCTACCGCACGCTACATAACCAACTATTTTACAGACTTTTTTGATATATCGTAATAGTGTCACTGTTAATTTAAGTTCTGCTACAATTTCCTTCTAGATTTACTACTTTTATACAACTATTAGCAGTATAATAAATAATAAATAACATAAAATAAGCTCAGTAAAGACTGACAAATCCACAAGATTTCAAATCAAATTCAAATGCCTCAAATGAATCGTTAAACAGAACTGTCAAGGATCTCCACCCTAGAGTCCTCTTTCCGTCGGCCATGCATGAATACATGTATAGCATTATACTACTTCCTTAATATTTTTATTCAAAGGCTGAGACAAATCTGTGTGTGGCATCTCTAGTTTCATAAAAAAGTAGCACAGTGACGTAAAAACCGCATCTTTGTATCTCTATTCATATACAATTATACAAGAACAAATTGTTCTTAATTTTGAAACCAAAAATCTGTATTAATTTTACAATATCTTTACTGAATTATAAAAAAAAACAGACAAGTTTTAACTATGTACTTACCAAGATCACTCTATCACTTTTTACTCTCTCGAACTCGTTCTCATCGATGTGTTGCACGACCAGACCGTCGCTCCCCCTATTTTCAGTCTCATTAGGAACGATAAACGTCAACCGCACGCCCTCTACCGTCTCGCCATCGTGTCGCTGTACGATCGGGGCGGTTCGGGGCTCGTCGGCTTCGTTCGGGTCGGTCTGCGCAAGATAACTGGGTCCGGCGGACAGTTGCTGCGCATCTGTGTTCGTGTCGTTGGCTTCTGCGTCGTAGGCGGTTTGCATCTGCGGTGGTTGGGCTTCGTCGTTAGAAGTGTGTGTAGCGGCGAATGACAGTCAGTAGCATTTCTTCGTGCAGGCGCATTTGCGCACTACGTCGATGTCTTTCGTGTAACGGGTGCCGTCGGAACAGATGAGGCGAACCTAGAATAGCATAGAGTTTAGACACATATTAATATGTCAATCAAAGATACGTAGGCGTTTTGTATTTCGTCGAACAAAGAGATCCAATTTTATTTTGAAATAAAAATTTCCAAAATATCTAAGCTAATATAAAACAACTAACTATTCTCCAACTATCAAAATTTTAAAACATTTTCAATAACACCTGAATTATAATAATTAGTCTTTATTACTCTGGTATTATTGGATTAATTTTATATATAATTTAAATGTGTCAGACTAGCCGATTCTGACGATGTCTTTCTATAGAATACCTACTTTTTTATACTATGCAAATTATTAAAATTGATTTCTCACGATACTGTTATTTGATTTGTAAACATCTCAGAGATAGAAAGACACTTCAATTTTTCTAATAGTAATTGTAGAATTATTGTTAAAAAAGAACTAGTCTGTGAAAATATGGGCTCTGGTTAATTTACCTTTCGTCGTTTACTTTTTCTAGCGTGACAACAGCTAGACCCACAAGTCCCAATACATTTCGCTATTTTCAAAGGCTTCCTAGACCTGCAGCCGTTTTCTGAATAATATTCTCTGACTTGTTCCTTTTTGCAAGTGGGAGCTAAAATAAAAAAGGACATAAATACATACACGAAGTATTATGTTATTTACTGAACATATTTTTATTTTAACTCGAGGTACAAATGAAAATTAAATGATTATTGAGATATGATATGATGTAAAGTTTATAATTTGCTATGAATATAATATAAATGATTACTAGAGATGTTTACTATTAAAAATGATATGACTTAGTAGCGTGTAAATGAGGACAATTAAAGCTAAAGCATATTACCACAATACCAGCTAATGCCCCACTGGTGATATACTTACTCTCTTCCTCACCTTGCTCGCAGTATTTGCCCTTGTATCCTGGTTTGCATTTACATACGTATTCTCCACCTGTAGTCTCCAAACATTTACTAGAAAATTAAAAGCATACTTAAGAAACTTGGACGATAATAACATTTACTAAATCACCAAAAAAATACGACTTAATAATAGTACATGAAACAAAACCAAAGGAACTTATGATATTTACCTGTCATGTTTACATTTATTGTTAAGACATGGATCTATTGGTGGTGCAGGTGGTTCTTCAATCATCTCATCCATTTCGTCCTCCTAGAATAAAGTGTCAATGGTGAACCACTAGATAAAATGTGATTGTTTCAAATATCTTACCTGTAGATCGTCGTCGAACTTATCTTCTATCGATCCACATCCTGGTTGGACCTTTTGCTGAGTTTTTGCATTACCAAAATCGACTTGCTTGTGGTTTATCCATACTTCTTTCATGCAGCCTATATCAAAATAAATATTTCATATCAGTTTATAAAATTCAAAGATGCCAATGATAAACAAGTAAAATTTAGGCTGTATTCCGTTGCAAAACTAGGCGAACCAGACCGGTAAACTACGGTAAAGAGCGGTTCCTGAAAAACATCGGTTTGATACGGAACGGTTTGGTAAAATACTGGAAATGCCAAATGTTGACGTTTTCTAAATTTCAATACCTTCATTATAAAATTTATCTTTTATGCATTTTTAATGTACCTATTCTCTGCATTTATGTTTGCTTCTTTTCAATGGAGTTTAATATTGAAAAGTACTTTATTAATAAACTGTTAAACTCGTTAGGCAGCTCAAGTGAAGATTTGCAGGTCCAATATTAAACAGATCAATAATAAATATAGAAATCTAATCAATATTTGTATTTTTATAGCTTACAAAACATTCACGATTACTTGTTGTCTTGTTTTTCATGCTTTCTTTAAAATGTTCCTGACTTTAAGAAACAATGGCTGCATGATAAGTTTAAATGGTCCTAAAAATTCATTCTATTTAGTTAATGAAATTTATTTACCTTCACTGCCTACCTCCATTGCTTTTGGATGTAAATACAAAATATTATAACAAATTTTAGAAATTAAATGAGAATTTCGCTCGAACTTCCAATATTTCTTTGATTTCTCTCACATAAATGACATTTATTGACAAACAAAACTAGAAAAATCAGCCTTCTCGGGTTGGTTAGTTTGGTGACAGTTATAACCGAATTTTTCAGGAACCGTGTCCCGTAGTAAGAAAACTTTCAGGAAACTGATAGAAACGGAACATAAAACCATAACCAAGGTAAGCAACGGAATATACCCTTAGATGATCAATTACACATACAACATGATCAAAAAGTTGAACGATCAAGCGTGCTATAATATCTTTGAAATAACATTTTGTATAGTATCAATATTTTAGTTTGCTTTAAGAATGTAACTAAATCGATAAAAAAAAACAAATACTAAAATTTTGATAATTGTGACATCAAGAAGCAATCTGAGAATATCAATAGAAATATAAAAATACAGAGTGTAATAATATTGGACTGGAACATTCCTCAGTCTACTATTATTTATAATTGATATAGATAAATTAATTTTTATCTCAGCAAAAGAGTTGAACCAATCAACAAATCTAAGTATTAGATTGAGCTTCTACAGACTCTACAGGGTGAGTCTTAAATCAGTGAAAATATTTTCAGTGCTGGTAGATCTCGATAAAAGAAATATATTTTCTTTTTACCGTTTTTCAAATAACTCCAAAACAACCGAGTTATTTCTTTGAAAAGTTCCAAAAAAATATATTTTTACTTAATTATATTATATTAATAATTATATTAATAAATTTTGAGAACCACTGGCTCTTTTCTGGATTTTCTTTCTGATAAATTTAATCTTAGAATCTTTCTTATCAAGAAGTTATGGTTTTTAACTAAAAACTAAAAAAACAAATTCAAAGAATTTTTAAAACAATTCCAAATTTAAAAAAAAATCGTGAAAAAAACCTCATAATCGTGTTTCTGAGGTCGAAATATACTGCCCCTAAAATATTTGCACTTATTTAAGACTCGCCCTGTATAATAAATTACTTATAAGTTTTAAGTATGGAATGAGAAACTGCAAGAAATTGTATAAAACTTAAACAATAATAATATAAAGTGATACTATAGCAAGCAAGTTAACAAGTGGGCACCTATAAATAGGTGCATATCATAATTGCTTTAATTATGATAAATAAGTATGTTAACAATATAATATGCTAAATAATGATACTAAAAATCGTAATAATACACAAATCTTCAGTAATAATAATAATAACCAATATAAATAATAACTGATAGTAAGTTCTAAAATCTAAAATATAAAACTATTTGGGAATTAATCAATTTTAAATTTGATTCAAAGTTTGTCAGTGTGACTATTCATTGTGTTAATTCTTAATATCATTTGACCAATAGAATGAAACTGGTATTATTATAGTAGACATTTTAATGACAAATTTAATGCTGTTCAATCATTCTATTTGGGATATAATTAAGAATTAAAAAATGTTAGTTACAAGCTTTAAATAAAATTTGGAATGGATTTGTTCCCAATTAGTTTTATAATATATTATTTTCTTTATTTGAAACTCATATTTCAGATAACTATGTTGATATAATTTTAAGTAAGCTAAGAGGTTTAACAAGTGGACTCCCACCCCCAATATCTGCGTATCATAATTCCTTCAATTATGACATAAAATTGTTATGTTGTTTATTTTTTCTGATTTATACGAACTACAAGCTTTCAGATAGGTATATCACTATTCCTTATTAAGTACTCAATATATGCAAATAGTCTTTAATGGAGCTCATCAAGTTTGGTATGTACTTACCATTAAAACTGGTGAGATTTCTCAGGTGCCAGTCGGTGTAAGCGTGCTCTCCTGGCTCTGGAGGTATCCCTCCCAAATACATGGGCGTTGTCAGTTTGAGGTAATCTTTGGAACCGTCGTTTATAATACTCCTGGCTAGACCTCGGTCTACTCTTAGCGTGAAGTTTTTCTTGATGGCTATCAACTCCGCTGTGTGATACTGACCATCCGAGACCATCTCAAAACTGCGAATGAATCATCAAAATAATAGAAAATATTCTTACAGAAATGTATCTATATGTATATGGCTAAATATTGATTAAAATTAAATAGTAAACACATGATTAAAAGTAAAAAAAACCTGAGGAACAAAACAATAACATTGCAGGTTACACAGAACAAAACTACTCTCTCAACTGTTAAGCTAGCTTACCTGTACATAGTAGAAACTGGATAGTTTCCCACGTTGTAGCTGACCCTTATCCTCCCACTAAATAGCTCTACAGCCAGATGTTCGTTCTGTCCATCGTACATCAGTACTCCGTTCTCGTTGGTGGTCGAGAACACAATCGTAACATTGGCCTCTGGCTTCGTCCTCAAGGGTTCTAACTCAACGTATGAATTGTTGTGCGTGAAGCTTAGACTCGTGAGATATTCGCAACGCTTGCCTAATAGAAACAAAGGTTATTAGGATTTGGATTTGAAGCGTTAGTATTACAACAGAAAAGTATACAACACATAATGGAAAAAGCCTTTTAATTTGTTGTGTCAGTATAAAATAAAAAGGGGTATTGTAATGGCAAAACATTTTCCGATGCACGTTATCAATTATATCGACATTGACATTAAAGTCTATAAATCTGACTAAATGAAATTTTGGCAAAAATGTTTAAATTTGTTGTATAACTTAAGATACAGAGCTGCTCTTCATTCTACTTTTATTTAGATTAAAGCTGTAAAAATTAGTTTAAACCGAATTTTATTATCGTTATGTTGGTTACATTGCGCCGTGTTCAGCAATGTTGTCCTTTACTATTTGACAATTATCCTATTGTCAGTCATTATTTTGTATAATATCGTGTTGTTGTTGAATCTTTGTGAGTAAGTCTCGTTTTTTGCCTATTTTCATAGTCTTTTTTTTTTAATTGACTCAATTGAAGCGAAATTTTTGAGTTTTTGTATTGTATTTCTTGAACTTGTGTGTTGAAAATATGCCGAAGCGAAGAGTTTGTAGCTTCCCTGTTTTTTTAACTATTTTGAACGAGAACGTGAGAATAAAGGTCACAATAAAGGTCGTTTATTACCCTTGACTGCAGTCAGAAAAGTAAGTTTGATTGATAAGCACATTATAACACTTTCAAAGTTTGTTTTTATTAAATTCTGTGATTATTAGTTTGTGAATTAATAGCAGCCTCTTACTTGTTATTACCACTGATGGCGTTGTAAGATGTACATCAATACACTTCAATACATAAATAACCCATAATAACACTTATAATGAATCTTCACTTATAGTGAATCTTCATAATGGACTAGTTTACAAATGAATCAATTAATCACTAAAATACTAGTTATTAAATTAAAAATAAAACCTAAAACTCTTTAAAAAATGATATAATAAATATGTTGTTTGTCAATTTTAAATTAGGATTCATCTGATAAATCCATCACAATCTGGCAGCGCTGTCGCTCAAAGTTGATCACGTGCATCGGAAATTGTTTTGCGATTACCATAGTTAAATTGTGTAATTTCCAATAATATTTTTTCTTTAGATAGATAGAGGTTAGGAAAATGGTGCTCACCGGAATATCCTGGTGCACATTTGCACAAGTAATCGTTCGATCCGCTAGGCTGAAAGCAGACCCCGTGCACGCAATCGTGGTGTTGACAGGGTGAAGTTTGTGGATACATCATGGCCACTATGGGGCTGATCTCGCAGAATTTGCCGGTATAGTCGCCGGAACACTTGCAGAAGTACTCGTTTATTCCATCCACACACAGAGCCCCATTCTATAAATGTCGATTATATCAAAAAAGTAACCGAATATGCACTATACACATATCTCTTCTGATTTACTAGATACATTTATACAGGGTGCGTCTCAAAAGTTGTTCACCAACTTTTTTATTTTTTTATATAAAAAAACGAGATTTGGTATGTTAGTACATGACATAAATTAGGATTGATTGACGTATTCAATGGTTTTTGGCTACTTCCTGTTTCACCGGAAATGACTACAATTTTTGATTTTTAAATGGCACCCTCGGTATATTTTTACTTTATTCGATAATAAATGTCACTCTGAGTAGAATGACATATCATATGTTAACTTTTAACATTTTCGCATATGGTTTATTTAAAATGTGGTTCATAACGACAATTTGATTCGAAATACAAAGTCTTTGGTACCGAATTATTCGTAAAAAATGCTTATTCCAAATATGTTAATGAGCCACCCTTGTTCCATTTGAAAAAATTGATATGATTAAAAAAACGATTATTTATGCATCTTTTAATCCGCCAGGACAAGACACGAAAAACTATTTTTCATGATTTCTTGATTTCATTATTTGAAAGGTTTCTTGATTAAAAATTAATCTTTTTAACACAGCCATAGCATTATAGATTGAAATTTAAAATAAGATTTTTTTGCAAGCGAAAATGTCAAAAGTTGACATATGATATGCCATTCTATTCAGAGTGTCATTTTCTATCGAATAAAGTAAAAATATATCGAGGGTGCCATTTAAAAATCTAAAGTTGTAGTCATTTCCGGTGAAACAGGAAGTGACCAAAAACAATTGAACGCGTCAATCATTCTTAATTTATGTCATATACTAACATACCAAATCTCCTTTTTTTATTTAAAAAAATAAAAAAGTTATAGGGGTGAGCCACTTTTGAGACGCACCCGGAATATGAGACACCATCTATAGATATACAGGGTATTTGGAACTATATTCCAGAAACTCCGGCAGCATATTCTGCAGATAAAAATAAGTAAAAAAGTTCGTATAAATGTGTATCCTAAAATGCTTAGTTTCAGAGATACAGGGTGTAGAAATTTTATTTTTATTTTTTTTTTCCAATAAATTGATGATAAAACAGTATCTGTTGAACTTCTGGCACAAAAACATTTCAAATTTATTATTTCAGTCTAATAACTATTTAGCCAACATGTTTAATTTATGTGAATGATGACAGGTATTGATAATTGCCAAATATCTCGTAGCGATTTTTACCAAGATACCTTTTTTCGTAAAAAACGTCCCAAATGTATATTTTTTTTACTCAGCAGTTTTATACAAGTACAGACAAAAGTTATTACACTTCAAACCAGTTAAAACATATGTAGGTGGCGCCCTCTACAAGTAGGAGTCATATTGACTTCAAAATCAAATTTATCATGTTAAAAAACTCCCAGACACCAATTTTCATCCAAATAAAATAAAAATTATTTCGAAAAAATCGAAATAAAGAAACTTCTACATCCTGTATCTCCGAAACTAAGCATTTTACGATATATATTTATACGAACTTTTTTACATATTTTTATCTGCAGAATATTCTTCCAAAATTTCCGGAATACCGTTCGGACCACCCTGTATACAAAAAGATATGTTTCTTACCTGACACATGTGATTCTCGCATTCGTCTACGTTGGCGGAGCAGTTCTGGCCCTTAAAACCAGGTAGACACTCGCAAGTATAATAACTATCGTGATCGACACAGCGAGCGTTATTTTCACAAGGGTTGTACTGTTCAGTACAAAAGGGAATTTTTCTCTCGCAGTACTCGCCTGAAATGTACAATCTTCATGACAATTATTTTAATGAAACCTCTAACATTTTCTACTAATATCTACCCTAAATAATTCTACATATATAGCAAAACAATTTTTTTACTTAATTTTCATAAACGATAGATTAATCTAGCTAATTCTCAATATTATTCCTTTCTACGACTAAAATTATTACTCACTCATTACATGCATTGAGATAATTAATTGTATTAAGTCATTTTACATAATCCGTATTTATAATAATATTAAATGAATGTCATGCCGGGTCCAAACCAAGCAGACAAAACAACGACAAGACAGAAACATTCATGTTTAACGACAAAATTGCGACAAATCCAATATATTTCTGTGACATTTTTATCTCATTTTTGTTTTGTTTCAAAATTCGGAGACTTTTCAATGTCCCGTCTCGAGTCGGTAAAGATCAAAGTGTTTAGTTTTGTTCGTATATTTTACGACAAGTTGTCGGGGCAGTGTGGATGGCGTGTGCTGCCAACACTAGGAGACTAGTGAAATCACACATTGTTAACAAAACTCATTCGCAACAACTAGACTTTTGACTTTGTTGTACTTTTTTTGTCCTTGCGGTGTGGACAATTTGTCTCAAGTTTGTATTGTCAGAATTCCCCATTTTTGTCTTGTTTTTGTCTCAAAATCGTATTTACTTTTTGTCGCCTTGGTCTGGAGCTGGCATTATTGTTACAAAAATCTCTAAAGCACAATCCATGAAAACCATAACATTTGTCAACTTTTATTTATCATTAATTTTTACTTTTTATTGACTCTAACAAATTTGATTTTATTGGACCTGTGGTTAATTGGCCTAAACAAATTCGTATTGCTTTTTGTGAATGACATTTTACTTTTTAAATAATATAATATTATTTTATTGCCAGTTAAATCCCAATTAAATCAATGTGACGTTATATCGGATATAGCCTGTTCAGTAAAATATTCTATATATACACAGAAGATCCAAAAATATCAGAAAAATTAATATATCTACTATGGTTACCTAATATTACTACTATTACTATATTCTTTAGCAAGATATACTGTTGGATATCTATTGTACTTAAAACACTACTACTATTTTAATTGGTTAAAATATAAATCTAATGAATTCTGATGGCAAAATATCTATAGGTACTAACCCATGAATCCGTTGAGACATTTACATTCGTAGGAGTTGACGAGGTCGACACAGGTGGCGTTGTTATCGCATTTGTTGTTGACGCAATCGTCAATGTTCGTTTCACATCGAAGTCCACTGAAACCGGGAAGACACTCACAGCTGAAATATATAAAGACAATTATTAGAAGACTGATGTTTCTGTAGACGAATATATAAACTCTACGGTAATCGCAAAACATTTTCCGATACACGTCATCAATCATATCGAAATTGCCACTATAGTCTATAAACCTGACTAAATGAAATTTTGGCAAACATGTTTAAATTTCTTGTATAGTTTAAGATACCGAGCAGCTCTTCATTTCACTTTATAGAGTAAATGATTGTAACATATTTTATTTAGATTTAAGCTGCAAAAATTAGTTAAAACCGAATTTTATTATCCCTCCCAAGTAGCATTTTCACGACTTGCGAGCACATGTTTACTAAACACAACGTTGGATTAGTTACAAAAAATAGTTAGCTTCGTACCTTGTACCCATTAGTATTTTTCAAAGTAGAAACAATGCATTTATCAATAAAGTTGTTTGCGTTTAACTTTTTGCTTTGGGTAACGAGTTACAGAGTCGGTTAAAGTCAGGGACGCGCCGTCCATATGGGCAAGGTTGTGCGGCGCACGACGGCGCCAAAGCCCTAAGGGCGCCTGCGGTCGCTGATTTTAAAAAATAATAAAACCATTTTTGAAACTTATCAACAAATTAACATAAAATTTAAGTAATACTTTTTATCTATGAACGCTAGTGGTGAAAATATATTATCCACCAATGTCGAGCGCCGCGCCGCTGGTCATTGGAAATTTTGGCTTAATATTATAATATTGGAGAAAGGCGCCTACCCTTATTTCGCACGACGGCGCCGAAAATACTTGGCGCGTCCCTGGTTAAAGTGTTTCAATAATTATGATCTTCAAACATCCTCCACACTTAAATACTTTTGTTTTGTTTTCTTTTTACTGCCATCTGGCATATGCCTAAGTAAATCATAAAAATAATATTTTTACTATAATTATCCCAATTTAGGATAAAACGCGACTTAGACGCCATATTATTATAGTTTTGTATTTCTGTGAATTAGGATTTCAAACAACGTTGCAGTTTGTACTAAATTAGGCTGCTAGCCAACGTCGGTATCCAACGTCGTTTCGACCCAAAAATTATTCTCCAAACTAGTGCAGACTAGGGTTGGCACGAGGTTGTGCCGACGTTGCGCCCCGACGTTTGTTTGCGTGACACAACGTTGTCCCGACGTCCAAATGCTGCTTTGGCTATGTTGGTCACATTGCGCCGTGTTCAGCAATGTTGTCCAATTTGACAATTATCCTAGTGTCAGTCATTATTTTGTATAATATCGTGTTGTTGTTGAATCTTTGTGAGTAATTCTCGTTTTTTTGTCGATTTTCATAGTATTTTTTTAGAAATTGTGCTTTTAAGCACAAACAGTACTTTTAAGAACTAAATTTTCGAGTTTTTATATTGCATTTGTTGAAATTGTCGAAGCAAAGAGCTTGTAGCTTCCCTGTTATTTGAAAACTATTTTGAACGAGAACTAGAACAAAAAAGGTCCTTTATTACCCTTGACTGCAGTCAGAAAAGTAAGTTTGATTGATAAGCACATTATACCACTTTCAAAGTTAGTTTTTATTAAATTCTGTGATTATTAGTTTGTGCATTGTTGTAAGATGTACATCAATAAATAAATAACCATAATAACGCCTATAATAATCTTCATAATTGACTAGTTTTTGTCAATATGTAATAAGTAAAATAAGCTATAAAACAAATAAATCAATTAATATAACTATAATATTAGTTATTAAATTAAAAATAAAACGTAAAACTCTATGATATAATAAATACGTTGTTTGTCAATTTTAAAAATTAAGATTCATCTCATAAATCCATCACAATCAGGCGGCGCTGTCGCCATCTTTTGTCACTCAAAGTTGATCACGTGCATCGGAAATTGTTTTGCGATTATCATAGTATTTTTTTACTAACAGAAAAAAAAATATACCTGAATCTGCCTTCTTCAAGCACCTTACAGGTCCCTTGGTTCCGGCAGGGATTCCCATAGCACGCGTCAATCATAAATTCACAGTTCTTGCCATGATAACCCGGAGAACACTTACACTCGTATTCTCGTTCAGGTAATGTCAAACACTTTCCGTTGTTTTGGCAAGGGAAGGTATAACACGCGTCACACTTAGCTAATATCTCTGATGACACTTGAGCTAAGAACCAAAAAATAAATATAAATATATAATCACCTATAATATTATTAATAATATTATACCTTTACAAGTAAAAGCTGACGATGGTGTACTCAAAATTGATTTATCCTTCATTGCTGGTGGTTCTGCACAATGGGCAATTCCTGGTTCTACATAATCTACTTTAACCCATTCGGATAACCATTTTAATGAACAGTCGCAGTACAGAGGATTCGAACCCAGAGCGCTTAAAATACAAACATATTTTTAGTAAATATTTATCAACAAGAAAATAAAAATACAACTTACATATGACTAATGCTTCTCAATCCAGAGAATGTACCTTCAGGTATTAAACTTATTTGATTCCCGTGCAGTGAGAGTATTCTCAAAGATTTTAGACCTTGCAAGGAGTCCCGCTGAATACATTGGAGTTTGTTGTAACTTATTATAAGAGTTGAGAGTTTGGAGAGGTTCAAAAAAGTGGAGTTTGACAGCATTCCGATGTGGTTATTACTTAAATCCCTAAAATGATGAATATTTTCGTTATGAACTACTTTCTTTGAAAAGTCAAAATTACTGTAATAAAGTAGAAGCAAGAAGAAACTAGCTAATAAGGATAATGAATATTTTTACTGATAAGTTTAGAATTGAAAAAATTGTAGAGCAAGTCTTTTGGAAAGTGGCTTTTTATTTCTTGAAATGTCTCCTGGTTTAATTAGGTTATTTTTGTGGCTCAGTAAATGTTAAATGATAAAGTTTATTATATAAACTCAAACTTTAAAACAACCTCTACACTATGGCGGAGAACTCTTCGAAGCAGGTCAAGGTCGTATTTCGTCGCCCAACTTTGTCGCATTTCGGTTTATTTCCAGTTGCCTTGACCAACTTCGGTTTGCCTCGACCTACTTGGAGGGCGTGGAGGGATTTTTTTGGCGTTTCCTGTTGCCTCGTTCAATTTTGTTTCGTTTTGAGCTATTTCCAAAACGTGGCGGTATCTGTACCCGAGGCAAAGGACTTTTTTTTCATAAATCTCAGTGAAATAAGTAAACCTAAACGTTTCTAAAATAGCTGTTGTTACGCTGATATTTCGTTAATTATATCTCGTTTTATGTTGATATATATTCCACAAGATTAATATTTGAACACGCGTTTATAATATGTAGAATAGATATTTAAGAACAAAACATTTCACACTCAATCTGCAGGAATATTATTACAATATGTTTATTATTTAATTTTATTATAATGAATTAGTATATAAAATTGTATATGTTATGTTTGTTTACGCGGCCTTAATTGATTAATATAACAGGCTTATTTTTGAGTTTACTTCTGAAAGTATTTCCAAAATGTTTCGCGAAATATTTCCAGAAATATTTCAAAAAACATTTGAGGATAGTGTAGAGGCTGTTTAAGGATATTTCAATATAAAAGAAAAACAGACGTATCTACTTAAAACAAAAAAGTTATTGTCAATTTTCAGTATATTTGGAAGTAACTTATATTGAAAATATATTTTTTTAGAATTTAAATATTGTAGTAGAAATTTCTAATTGGAAAAATTAAAATATTTTTGGTATGTATATTTCTATAATTTTTTATTCAATTGCATTGTTTTTTATTGCTGATTTTGCTGATCTGAAAATTAATACTTACAGTCTTGTTAAAGCTTTCAAGTGACTTATACGGTCAGCCTGAATTCTACTTATTTGATTGAAATCTAAATATAATTCTGAGGTCTCCGGAGGTATTCCTCTTGGTATCTCTTTTAAACTAGCTCTGGTACATCTGACCACAGTACCTATAACAAAAACAACACAAATCGTTGGTATTAAAGAAATTAAAAAAAATATAGATTCCTTACCAGTGCAAGAACACATGGGAGGGCAATAATTATCCCCCAAACATCCCTGATCATTCTCACTAGTACATTTGAATTCTGTTTTCGGTAGTTCCTTGATTAGAACGTCTTTGACTCGTTCTGGGCCATTACATCTAGGGGTTGTACCACTTAAACCCTTATTTTTAAGCCACTCAGAAAACCAGGCCAAGTGACAGTTACAAATGAAAGGATTTTGGATAAGGTTTCTAAGAATAAGTAAAAATTAGTGTTTATTACGAGATAGTGTGGAATGCTATATCTTACAGAGTGTGTAAATATTGTAAAGGATCAAATGATCCAGGCATAACGCATGTAATATGATTGTTGTTCAATGAAAGGATTTTCAAATTATGTAATCCCAGAAACATCTTGTTGTGTATTTCCATCAGTTTGTTTTCAGAAAGTAATCTAAAAACGATTTAAATTAGAACCAAAAAATGAACCAAAATAGGAACCCATAAAATTATATATGTATAAATAAAAAAATATATATTTTACTTATATACAAACTTACAATTCCGATATTTTTGAAGCTCCTTCAAAAGCATTTTCTTCGATTCCTGTGATAGAATTTCTACGAAGATCTAGTTTCATTAAGTTTGGTAGTCGACCAAAAAGACCATCTGATTTAATACGGCCCAAGTCATTGTCATGAAGTAATCTTAAATAAATTGTCATATTTTATTTGAAATTTTATAAACAAATTATCTAATAGTTCTCTTCTACAGAATGTAATTTATGTCGAATTTATTTATTGTACTTACAGTTCTGTAGTATATAACGGTATATCCTTGGGTATATCTTTGAGATTTCGTCCAGAACAATCCACAACTGTTCCATCACAAGAACAACCAGATGGACAGGCATTGTCAACAAGGCATTCGCCACCATATATGGATCTAAATTCATCTTGGCCTAAGCAAATATTAATTTTCTCTGTATATAAACTCACATCGATTATATTAATTTGTCATTACCGTTTCTCTTACATTTGAACTTTTCGTCCTTCAGTGATTCTATTCTTCTTCTTTGCATTCGTTTGGGGGCTTCACATCGAGCACCGGATGTTTCTATGGGGTGCTTATGAAGATATTCTGCTAACCATTTTAAATTGCAGTCGCATATGAATGGATTTCTTGCCAAATGCCTTGAAAATATAAATAATAATGTAATATTAGCAATTTACTGATACAAAAATCTTTCAATTTAAGTTATTAACGTCGAATTCAAAATTTGAATTTATTGCGCATGTGGAAGTAAAATTAAAACATATAGATATTAAAAATAATACGTGTTTCATTAAAAAATAATATATTTTATTAATTTAAGTGCAGACCGACTTCAGATCAACCAATTATCTAGCATAGCTTCGATTTCAACATATTTGTTGTATTTTTATTTACCTTTAATTTCTCTTCTAACTATCAAAATGCAATGTATATCCTATGTAATATATATAATGCAAGCTATGTAATATCTCTTCCTCACTTAAACAGGAAACTATGATACCAGAATAGATATTTAGGTATTTTTTGTGAAATGATATTGTGTTATAAGGCAATTGAAAATATATTATGTGGATATTTGCTTGAAAAAAATCCCTGTTGCTGGGTCGCGCATTTCATATTATGTATCGCGTTGCAAATTATGTCGCGTATTACATTATATTTCATATTAATCGATTCACATGTGTAATCTTCACTCGTTTAATATACTGTAGACAGATGTGTGAAATAATACTTTAATCGCTTTTATTTTACTTGCCTATTACATTTGGCGCCCAACGTGGGGCCATACATGTGTAAAACAGTTGATTGCGTAGTTTATTGCATATTAGTTGACTCTCCAACTTTCTGTCACGTATATAACTGATTTAATTTTATTATTTTAATAGACCGATATGTAAAATAATACTTCATTTGCTTTTATTTTACTTCCGTATTATATTTGGCGCCCAACGTGGGGCCATACATGTCTAAAATAGAGACAGTCGACTGCGTTTATTTCATATTAGTCTATTCTGAATTTCTGTCACATGTATAATCCGTTTAACTTCATTATTTTAATAGATAGATGTGTGAAATATTCCTTCAATTTCTTTTATTTCATTTTCCTATTATATTTGGCGTCCAACGTAGGGCCATAAAGTGTAAAATAGAGGCAGTCGTCTGCGTAGTAAAATAATACTTGAATCTCGTTTCTTTAACTTTCCTATTATATTTGGCGCCCAACGTGGGGCCGTACAAAACAATAATCTTATTTTATAATGTAATTTTTATAATTTTATGACTTCATAGAAGTTTCGTTCAAATTTCCAATCAAATGTACTACATACATATATTTATATTAAATATTTCTAAAGTAGCTAAACCTCCAGAGAAATAGATTAATTGATTTTAAATTTTCAAAATAAACTACTAGTATTTATGTAAGCGATTTTCTAGGACTACAATTAAAATTAATACGAGCAAAAGGAACTTACAAAGTTTGGATACTCCTCAACGAATCGAAACTGCCATTCGCCAGAGTTTGAATGTTGTTATCGTACAAAGACCTAAAACAAACGTTTGCGTTATCAATTTGTCGTTCGGAAACGAAACAAAAACTTACAAAAGGCTCAAGCTGTGCAAATCCTTGAAAGTGTCGCGCCGCACGCAGGAAATTTCATTAGCATTGAGCAACCTGGAATTAATCGGTCATGTAGCGAATTAGTTTTAGAACAAGTTAATTCTACGTGCACATGAAACCATAACTGAGTTACGAAAGGAACGACTTTATAGTATAGATCAATTTTAGCTAAAATACCTCTTTTTTAAAGTTTTTTTTATTTTATTTTTTAAAAAAAATTACATCTCATACATTGGAAATAAAAATTTAACATTTTTATTTCCAATAGTCCATGGATAGCAAAAATACAGCACTTGATGAAGATTGTATCACAAAAAATAGTTATTATTATTTGTATTCAAAATCAGTACAAAATGGTTTGATTATTTTAAAGCTGTATGTCGTTCAACTGGTAAATCAACTAAGTTTCGTTGCATGTTGTTATGTTTCATGGAAAACTCACAAAAGTTGTAAGGAAGTCAGTCCTTGGAACACACCAGCTGGTAGTTCTTTGATTTTGTTTCCGTACAGTACACTAGAAATAAAAACAATAATATTATTACACAAAAAAAGGATGAGTACAATAAATGAGCACGAGCATAATATGAAATTGTACTAATCTAGCTCCGGGTGAAGAATTCTCGCTGAATCAAAATAACTTTTAGCACTTATAAACTCTTCTTTTTATACAAACGTCAATAAAGGTCTAAATAAAAGCATTTTTGCGTTAAAAAATTGATAAAATTCGTCGATATTATAGTTTTTAATTATTTATGCTGAAATAATTTGATAGGGTGACAAAATGATCGAATATGTTTTTTTATTTATACAGGGTGGTTCGAACTGTATTCCGGAAACTTCGGTAGCATATTCTGCAGATAAAAATAAGTAAAAAAGTTCGTATAAGTGTATGTCCGAAAATGCTTAGTTTCGAAGATACAGGGTGTAGAAGTTTCATTTTTATTTCGATTTTTTTCAAATAATTTCTGAAGTAACATCAATATTTGGATGAAAATTGGTGTCTGGGAGTTTTTTGGCATGAGAAATTTGATTTTGATGTCAATATGATTCCTACTTATAGAGGGCGCCACCTACATATTTTTTTAACTGGTTTAAAGAGTAATAACTTTTCCTCCGTACCTGTCTAAAACTACTGAGTGAAAATATACATTTACGACGTCTTTTACGTAAAAAAGGTCTCTTGGTAAAAAACGGTACGAGTAATGATTCTCGAGATATATGGAATCGAAATTATCAATACCTCTCATCATTGACATAAATTAAACATGTTGACTAAATAGTTATTGGACTGAAATCATAAATTTGTAATTTTTTGTACCAAAAGATCAACAGAAACTGTTTTCATCATTTTTTCGAAGAAAAAATTATGATTAATAAAAAAAAAATCAATAATTCAAATAACTACATATCTACTCAACATGTTTATTTTTGTCAATAATAACGTATTGACTATTTCCATTCTAAATATCTTGAGAACGGTTGCTCGTTGCGGTTTTTACCAAGAGACATTTTTTACGAAAAAAGTCTAGGGAATGTATATTTTTCCTCTCAGTAGTTTTATACAGGTACGGACGAAAAGTTATTATTTTTCAAAACAGTTAAAACACATGTAAGTGGCGCCCGCTAGAAATAGGAGTCATATTGTCATCAAAATCAAATTTCTCATGTCAAAAAACTACCAGACACCAATTTTCATCCAAATATTGACGTTACTTCAGAAATTATTTGGAAAAAATCAAAATAAAACTGAAACTTCTACACCTTGTCACCTTGTATCTCGGAAACTAAGCATTTTCGGACATGTATTTATACGAACTTTCTTAGTTGTTTTTATCTGCAGAGTTTGCTGCCGAAGTTTCCGGAATACAATTCGGACCACCCTGTATAATCATCATGTTCTTTACTCACAATAATAGCAAATAATCAAGAATTTTTGCACATAGTGTTGTGATACAAAACTTCTGTACTTATTTATATTTTGTTATCAGTGATAAAAATAAATAACTATTAATACCAGAGCTAAATTTACATTACGTTGAACAAAAAGTGTAAAAGCTTTTAAACACTAAAAGCACAGCTTATTCATAATCAGTTTGATCAGTTTATGATCACTTGCATGGAAATTATCAAACAAGTGGGGTACTAACCTCCATTGAAGCTTGCTTTAAAAATGGACAAAATTGAAGCTGACTGCTGAATAAGCTGTGATGAAAGTAGGCCTTAAAAGTGACACCTTCATAGACGTTTGTAGAAAAAAAGTATAGTTGAATTAAATATATTGTTCAATATTGAGTGATATTACAACTTTTTTATGACTAAGAAAATACGGATACTTACAGTGACGTAAGGCCTTTCAATCCAACAAAAGCATCTGGCGCGATTCTCGATATTTTATTGTTACTCAGGTCTCTGAAAAGTTTGTTTCAAAATTAAATTAAAGCAACAAAGAAATGGTCTTAACTTACATTCTCCGGAGGCGTTTGTAGATTGCGAAAGCTTTGTTCGGAATATTGGTTATTTCGTTCTGTTCTAATCGTCTGGAATAAATAATATATCAGTAAAAGATATCAATTTAAAAATTGTACATATACAACGCGTTCAATCAATGTAAAATTTGGATACATAATATGGATAAATCTTTTAAGAATCTTCAAAATATTTGCCCTAATACATAATAATTTCTAGTTTTTCGTTATTTGTTCTTCCACTAATTTAATTACTAACGATATACTAGAATAAAATCACAATCTATTTTAAGTTAAAATAAAATATATATTTTTATCAATTAAAAAATGGATGCTGCTTTTATAAATAAAAAATGAACTGCTTAATAGGTGTTATGAAACTAGGATCTATTAAGAGAAGACTTACATCTCAGTCGTAGTTTCTGGTAAATGATCTGGCACTTTTGTCAGTCCTTTTTCTCTACAGTCTACAATCCCATCAGCGCATCTACACGGATGAGGACATTGAGGCTCATTTACACATTCTCCATTTATGGCTCTTTCGGCAAGACCTAACAAAAAAAACATGTAAAGATTAGTTGCCAACTTTAATAAATAATTCCAACAGAGATCCCTGATACACTACTTTACAAACTACATTTTTATGATTTGTATTTTCTCTCAAGAAGTAAATATGGACATGAATCATAAAACTGTAAATTGTGTAAAGATCAGGTTTTACTAAAGCGCAAAATTTAATGAAGCTACAATTTCTGCTAGTTTGTTAAGTTTTTAAGGATAAAAAGATATGTTTTCTTATAGTTCAGTCGAGAGTCTGTATAATGATCAGGCAATTAATATGTTTTTTATAAACTAAATTCAAGATCACAATCCAAGACGCGTAGGTCTACAGAGTCTAGAGATACACACTAGTCTACACACTGCAAAAGGTTTTATCAAAATTAGGGAACAATTTAAGAAGTTATAGAGCTCTCAACGTGACTAAAGGTTATTTTTGTATGGAATTTATTGTCGAGAAGACATTGTATTTCATTATAAAGAATATTAGATGTCATAGTTCAGTTACAAAATTGTTTCAAATTTTCAAATTAGACAGTAATGTGTATTTTATATTAATATTGTGTTTAACTTAAGTCAGCAAGTTGAATATATGAAAATTTAATACATCAATTCTAGTAAAGAAACCAGATAACTTTTTCACTTCCTTCACGATTATTTTTTTATAATACTATTTATATTTATAGGTTCTGTATCAACTGGGATCCCTGTTCTAATACTACTAGTTCTACACAATTGAAACTAGTGATGGGAAAAACCGATTAATTTCACAATAATCGGGTACTCGAGTTTCAAGCGATTGCAATAACCGAGTGATCGCTCGAGCGAAATATCACTCGTATTTAAAAATACGGGTTTTCACCCGTCTCTTGTTGTTGTAAGTACTCGTTAGCGCCAAGCGCCAAGCAGTAAGTTGCGTGCGCAGTGATGAATGGCAAGTAGCAAGCGACGAGCGACTCGCTTGATTTTGTTTATTTCAAAGCATTGTCGATGTAGGTCGTAAAATTTTGTTTCTCAGATACGCAACGGATAAATATACAGGGTGGTCCGAATTGTATTCCGGAAACTTCGACAGCATATTCTGCAGATAAAAATAAGTAAAAAAGTTCGTATAAATGTAGGTCCTAAAATACTTAGTTTTGGAGATACAGGGTGTCTACTTGTTGTTGTTTAAGGTCATTTTTATTTCGATTTTTTCCAAATAATTTCTGAAGCAACGTCAATATTTGGATGAAAATTGGTGGATGGGTGTTTTTTGATATGATAAATTTGATTTTGATGTCAATATGACTCCCATTTGTAGGTGGCGCCACCCACATGTATTTTAACTGTTTTGAAGAGTAATAACTTTTCGTCGGTACCTGTATAAAACTACTGAGTAAAAAATATACCTTTACGACTTTTTTTACATAAAAAAGGTCTCTTGGTAAAAATCGCTACGAGTAATGGTTCTCGAGATATTTAGAATCGAAATTATCAATACCTGTCATCATTGACATCAATTAAACATGTTGACTAAATAGTAATTAGACTGAAATCATAAATATGAAATCTTTTTGTGTCAAAAGTTCAAAAGAAACTGTTTAATCATCATTTTTTCGCAGAAAAACTTATGATTAATTTAAAAAAATAAAAATTTATTATTTCAGTCTATTTGACTAACTATACTTAACGTGTGCTTATTTTTTGTCAATAATGACATGTATTGACTATTTCCATTCTAAATATCTTGAGAACGGTTGCTCGTAGCGATTTTTACCAAGACACATTTTTTACATAAAAAGTCATGGAAATGTATATTTTTTTAGTCAGTGGTTTTATACAGGTACGGTCGAAAAGTTATTACTCTTCAAAACAGTTAAAACACATATAGGTGGCGCCCCCTACAATAAATAATTTTGACATCAAAATAAAATTTCTCGTGTCACAAAACTCCCAAATACCAATTTTGATCCAAATATTGACGTTACTTCAGAAATTGTTTGAAAAAAATCGAAATAAAAATCAAACTTCTACACCCTGTATCTCCGAAACTAAGCATTTTAGGACATACATTTATACGAACTTTTTACTTATTTTGATCTGTAGAATATGCTGTCGGAGTTTCCGGAATACAGTTCGGACCACCCTGTATATACGGCGTCATATAAATTTGCTAGGTACCTGCAATGTATGTGGAAAATTAGCTCGGCTCTTTATCGAGTATGTCACATTAAAATCGGATGTCAATATCAATTGCATCGCTCGTTCATAATCGAGCGATGTCGGTTATTTCAATAATCGAGTACTCGAGCGAAATTTCGCTCGAGTGATCCCATCACTAATTGAAACCATACCGGAACATTTGAACTCGTGATCTTGGACATCAGCCAAATTTTGTCCTTTCAGGTGTCCCGGTGAATAACACCTGCTGTACTGGGCCAATCGAGGATAGTGCCTCAAATATCTGGCCAACCAGGACAAATTACAGTCGCAATGCAGCAAATTGTCGGCCAATCGTAACGTTCTTAAGCGAAACATGTTCGAAAACATGTCTTTTCCCAACCAAGTGATATTGTTGTTGTTTAAGGTTCTGGAAATACAAGAGAAAACAGTTTGAAATAGACGTTCTTTGAGTTGTTTTTTATTTACTTACAGAACTTCGAGATCCTTCATAGTTTTTAAAGACGAATCGTCGATACATGTTAATTTGTTGTTGTCGAGAAGCCTGGAATAATAGTTATTGTAAATAGTTTCATATAAAATGTAATACTAAAAAAAGTAGTTACATTTTTCTTGTTTGTTGAAAATTTTTCAAAATCAAATTTTATTTAATTGCGTTTTTTAATGAACAGAATATACTTACAAGTTCTTCAAGTTATTCAGTCCTTTTAAAGTTTTCTTGCCTATTACTGAGATCTGGTTGTGACTTAAGTCCCTGAAAACATAAAAAAATTGTTTAATTATGATAATTATTCAAACTGCTCTTAATCATAACATGATTTTAGTAATGGATGTAAGCAATAAGGATTAATATGCATGTTATTAGTACTAATATTGAGAAGCAATTAGGGAATAGGTATGTTAATACGAATCATATTTTTGCAAATTGAAAGAAAATTAATATATAAAGAGTTTATAATAGACCAGTCGCCAAGTATTAAAAAATAGCTTATGGCGGGAGCAAATCCGAACAAGCTAGAATAAATTTTATTTTGTTTAGTTTAGTGTAAGGAACCACGTGTTAAATTTGCACCACCCCCAAAGCCCGGATTTGGCCGCCATCTTGGAAAAAGTGGCTAACATTCGGTTTATTTTTCATTATTTGTCAATAACTCGATTTCTATCAACTTTATTGCAAAAAATTAAAGAAGAGGAAAAACTCTATAAAAAACGTTCTATGTATTTTTTCCGTGCGACGACCCGTTTCCAACTCATCTCGGTTTAAACACCCTAAATATATTATAAGCAGTTATTATTTTCTCTTTTCTAGGCAGTTTTTGTCTTTCCGAGAACCTTACTCTTTTTATTTCTCCACGCATTTAGTGGCTGCGACACTACATCCGCATTATACAGACAAGGAAAAATGAAATTCGTTAAAGTTTTACAGAAAGAAAAAGAATTATTACAGACAGCTGCACAAACTTTCAAAGACCCAAACGCATCCCCAGAAGATATAGAAAAAGCTGGAGAACGATTTCTTCTTCATCTATATGGATCCAAAAAATGCGACTCATTAGATAAGTACAGACACTAGTGTTTCGTAAAATCTATTATCAGAAGCTTACCAAACCTAGCATCATTACCACCGACCAAAGACGCAGCTGTGCCAAAGGTTGTAATACATCTTGTAATTGTAAAGCAGGTTTGCGTTGCTCGGTAGTGCACTTTGTCAGGGCAAATCATGTTCGAATAGTTTGAAGGTGGCAAAATTAGACGAAGATGAGTACAAGGACAATTTTCCTCTCGATAAAGATCAACGAAAAGAATATTCTGCACTTTATGAACCAGATCCGGAATATGATACAGATGTGGAAGACATTCAGGAAGATTATATTGAACAGCCAGTAACATCAAAAAAACGAAGGAACTCTGATGAACCTTCCACCTCAAAAGAAACCTAAGTTGACATGTCTGTGGATTAGGCCTATTGGAAATGGGGATACCACTCAAAAAAAAAACGCGCCGGGTACTTTACCTCACAGCAGTTCCCTGAGAGATAAGACGGTTAAACTTGATTTTCCACAAGTCGCGCAACAATAAAAATTTAGTCCGTTATTGCGGTCATAATGCAATTTGCGTTCTCCCATTATGACCGCGACAGCAGGCTACTGCCAACCAGTAGCAAACAAGTTTTTAGGCTTTATGTCTCGGGGGTACCGCTCAAGGTAGTGTGGAAACAAGTACACTTAACCCCGGATATATTGAACACGTACATTATATCAAACTTTAATTTTGTTTTCGAAAAATTCGATACCTTGGGTAGTCGCACAAATAAAAAAACTTGATAGAAATCGAGTTATTGACAAATAATGAAAAATAAACTGAATTTTAGCCAATTTTTCCAAGATGACGGCCAAATCCGGGCTTTACGGTGAGTGCAAATTTAATACGTGCTTCTCGACACCAAACTAAACAATATAACACTTATTCCAGCTTGTCCGGATTTGCTCCCGCCATCGATGCACTTGCCGACTGGCCTAATAATTCTATTAAAATAATCAATAACTAAAAATATTGTTATATAAGTATGTAGTCTAAAAAATAATTAGCTATTTTGACAATCATTTAGTTCCTCAAATAGATTTTCTCATGAATAGGGTCGAAATTTCCGTATGTAAGAAGAGTACAATGCATTTATAATGTAACGAACAAAGAGAGAACAGTACAAACGTTGCCAAACGTATGAAATAAACCGAGTAACTGTGAACGGTGTGAACACAGATTGCATTTGCTGTCCTCCGCCCTGGGGCTACTCGAGAACGGTTCTGAAAGGAGCGGTGCGCGATAGCCTGGTGCCTCCATATGGCGCGGAACAGTTCTGGAACTTTATGACTCAATTGAATGAAGTAAGTGTATCGCGTTCTTGAACAGTTCAGGGCTGCTCAACTGCGTGAAAGGAGGACAGCAATTGCAAGAGACGTGGAAGGGTATAAGGCAGCTTCGTCGAGGTCGATAAATTGTTAAATTTTATAAAATTGAAATCCGGTAAGGAATAATTGATTGTAGTTTAAAAAAACTTTCTTAAAGTTTCTGCTATATTCCCTTCCCAGAAAAGTATGTGAATATTTTTACAAATAAAAAAGTTACACGATTGCTGAAAATTGCTATGCACTAAAAGTTAATGGACGCGTTTTTTAAACTTCTTGAACAGAAAAATTATTATTATATACATTTAAACATCTTGTGAAAGATCCGAACTTCAAAATAAAAAAAGTAGATCCCCATTTCTACTTACAAGAACATCTAAACGTGAAACAGATATTTTTTTCTTTCTCAATCGTAAATCTAATTGTAAATTGAGATTCCATTCTTGACTGACTATTGTCAACATATGAAAGCCAGATTTTTCGTTTGACCACTCCAATATTGGTTAGAACATTCTGAATCAATCAAAAAACTATGCTCATATAAACCTTTTTTTACCACGATATTATGACATTAGTACTGTCTAAATATTTTTCTATACCAAAGGAATTATTTAACACTTAACTATCCTTGAAACCGAAACCACACTATCCCAATCATCATATATTATAAAGCGGGTAAAACACCGAACCGCGGCGTGTGAAAATGAAGTGATTCCACACCGAAAAACCGATGAAATATTCATGAATTAAACTAAGGCCCCATAAACATAAACGTGCAGCTGAAATATCGTCGAAATTAACATATTTTATTAATTTCTAGTGTTGCGAGTCGATATTGATGAACGAGTAGTTCAATTTGCCGCTTTACACGGAATGCAATAAACTTTGATTAGTGGAAGTTTAATAATCCTACTGATAGTTTTAGGTCATTTAATTCCATAATTATTTATCCCGTATTGTATCGGAAACAAATGAGATATGTTCTTGTAAGTAGAAAAGTAGTTCTTGTAAGTAGAAATGGAGATCTACTTTTTTTTATTTTGAAGTTCGGACTTTTCACAAGATGCTTAAATGTATATAATAATAATTTTCCGTTCAAGAAGTTTAAAAAACCATGTGTCCATTTACTTTTAGTACATAGCAATTTTCAGCAATCGTGTAACTTTTTTATTTGTAAAAATGTTCACATACTTTTCTGGGAAGGGAATATAGCAGAAACGTTAAGAAAGTTTTTTTAAACTACAATCAATTATTTCTTACCGGATTTCAATTTTATAAAATTTAACAATTTATCGACCTCGACAAAGCTGCCAATGTCTGTAGTTTTTTTTTCAAACGTCACAAAAGTAAGTATTAATTTTTACGACGTGAATATACAAAAGTCATTTTAACGCCTAGGCCGGCCTAGGCATAAAAGTAAAGCACTTTTACGCCTAAGCATATATACAGGTTGTTAATTTGTTTATTACTCGCGGCAAGAGCTTTATGGTTGAAATATGGCAACTTCGGCCCGGGAAAAGTCGGCAGAAAACCCTATAAGTGCATGCGTTCTCAATAGGCAGTGTTGCGATTCTGTTCCCCAATAAGTAACTGTCCAGTTAACAATCTGTATAGAGATTTTGCGGCGAGGCTGTACGTTTGATATACAGGCGATGCACCAAAAGTCAATTTTACTCCGAATAGAACATGCTATTTTTTTCAAACGTTACAAATAATGTTTTAAACAATTTAAAACGTTCCAAATAATGCAAAATATAAGTAAATACCTTGTAAGATGCCTTGCAAGTGATTATATATCGAGAAACTATGATTAGGCTAGTTGAATTTGACACTTATATACCGAGAAGACCAGGCTACTAGTAACATAGCAAGTTGTCGGACGAATTTACGTTTACCCGTTTTGCGATCGTACTCGAGAGTCACTGCCGGCTAGTCGGCTGGTCAGGCAGTACGCAGTTGCAGTTGTGCTTGGACGGGTCGGTCATGACAGACTAGGAATATGACTCGAGGAGTGCCGAGTATTTATTATTTTCATTTTAAGTGTTTACCTTCACTTAAGGTAACATTTAAAATGAAAATACTTAAAATCTTTATTATTTAAGTGTGTTTGCAAGCCAAAACTAAAAATAAATAAATTCTCTAAACTCAAAAAAAACTAAAATATTACTCTAAATAAAAAAAGTTATAACAAGTGTTCAAAAAGACCATCTTCTTAGACTAGACAGAAGCCTAGGCGGTCGTAAAATCCCCGTCTGACATTGGCTGACATATTAGGGCTAATAGTTTGGAAAGCCTCTCGTATTTTTACTTGAAGCTCATCCAGATTATTAGCCCTAATATGACCATACATTTTGGATTTTACATAACCCCACAAAAATAAGTCATTGGGAGAAAGATTTGGTGATCTAGCGGGCCACAAAATAGTTCCATATCCACTAATTAAACGGTTGGGAAAAGTATTGTTCAAATATTCGTAAACAATACGGGCATTGTGGGCAAGACAACCACCTCAGCAATTTGATTACTTGAAAACGTGGGATTTTGATCCGCGGTAGCACAAATAAACACTTGCTTTAACTCCTGTTCTTCATTAATCAACACATCAGGCTTTTTTTGTTTTTGTGGGAACACGCACCCATGTGTTTCAAAATTATTAATAACTCTTGATACAGTAGGTAAAGATGGAATTGGCCTGTCTACAAAAGTTTGTGGAAAAATTGCTTGTATATCCCGATAAGACCTATTTTGGAAATACCATTTTACAATTTGAATTTTCTCACGAACTTCGTAAACATCCATTATTTTAATTAAAAAATAAATTTTACACGAGAACTGTCGCGAGAATCTA